AAGTACTAAAAAAATTAGTTCCGCATTGGGTAAATAATGTATGGATTTCCTTTAAAAAATATATAATTATGTATTATTTAAATCGAGTTCGTTCCGGTTTTACTTCACAATTATTTGCTTTTGGTATTAATAATGATAAATATTGTTTATTGATATTAATACTCTTTCCATTTAATTAGTAATCCCCTTTTCAATTAATTTATTTGCTATGCTTTTAACCATTTGACTTTAGTATCTCGACTCACATATTTTAGTATTTCTCATTATGATCACCTACTACTTCGATTTTTCCTTGGAATTTTCCCTCGCTAACTTTTATGTGGGCGGAGATCGCATAGGCAGTTCCTGTTCAAAGATTTAGGCATTGCCATTAACGCTCCCAGAGAAAAAGCGAAGACAAACTAGAGTCGGCACTTTGAGATTCCATCTGCACCTAATTTATGATGGGGAGAGCTTCTTTTTTTCCCGCCACCAATGGCAATAATAAACAGGAGATGCCGGTACGTGAGCAGTACGGCTAAATGGAGTCACGATCGTTCAGACAAGAAGATATGTATTGTATGTGGGGGCTGGGCAGCCAACAGCCCAAGTTGGGTGTGTCCGGGGATCAGCCTCCTCCAGCGAGGGGAATCTCGCCGAGAAACACAACACAGCTCAGTGGGTTAATAGAACAGTGGCTTTGAAGAGAAACACTTTACGCCAAATGAGGATCTTCTAAGGCCAGATAGTTGGTAATTAATGTCACTTAGTTTTATTGATAATAACACTGTTTATAAAATGCCAACAGATTACTTACCTTTCCAAAATATTTTCAAAAATTTTATCATGCGTAGTTTACCTCAAAAAGTTCATTGATTAAAGAGATTCGTTTAGTTTATTCCTGATCGAATTTGTTAAGAATTTTATTATCTAAAACAATAAGATGTAGTGTTTCTATTTTAAATTTTCACTCTAGAAATTTCTTAGAAAAATCTAAAAAATGGAATAATTCTTGTGATTCTTTTTTTACCATATTGGTTGCAGAACAAATTTTTTTTGGTAGTAGATAGTACCATTACCAAAATATTCTCTGCAGCAAAAGTACAATATATTTTGATAGGACAACCAATTAAGAGCTCCCAATAATAATGGTTTCTAATATCATTTGTTGTATAGTAAATACCAATGAAGTAACCATAAACAAAGGCACAACTTTCTTCCTTAGCAAAAATGTGTTAAATTATTTACTGGTCAAAAGTTAATTGCATATGGTTTTGGGTGGGTTCAGGCCAGCGGGAGGGGGCCAAGCAATAATGAAGGTGAAGGGGCGAGGGCAGGGGCCTTGGGGTGGCTCAACTCTTTTTGTTCAGTTCAGGGCGCAAAGAAATATGGACCACATCTCTTTTTGGCTTTTTAGCAGGCAAGTGGCAGTCGTCAGCTCCTCCGGTGCGTTCGAACCGCTTGGCCACGGTTTTCGGTCTTCGGATTTGGTCTTGGTTCGACAGCCCAGAGAGCAAAAAATAACTTAAACTTTTACTTTCACTGCCAATTTGAGTGAACGAACAGGCCTCGTCTCTCAATTTGCATGGCAGCTGGTTGAGGAGTGCGGAAAAAGGAGGTTTTTTCTGTTTTTCTGCTTTTTTTTTTTTTTCTTCTTTGGAATGGCTGAACAATGTTATTGTTGTGTTGTGTGCGGTGTCTAAGACTCATTTGCAAACGTATCTGGCGGCAATTTAGCGCAGAGATACTCGTTCGCATGTGTGCAACCTGTGCAAAATACCCCTTCGCCCAGATGCATTGTCTCCGGCCTTTAGTTTAATTTCATTTTCACAACACAACCGGTAAAAAACATCTTCTTCGGTTCACCTTTGTGTCCACGTGTATTCACATGTGCTGCAATTTGATCGTCACGTCGCGATTTCAGCCGCAGCAGGCAGCAAATGTTAATGACGAGCATTTGATAATAGCATTCGACTTGGCACAGCAATCTTCTCCTTCGGCTTAACTGATGTTGGACATGCTGCCTTAAGTTGTTTACCCGACTATTCGCATGTATTTCGACTGTCAGGAGAATAATGGTCGTTGACTGCTCATCAGCTCTTCGATTCGGGGAAAGTTTTTCAACCGATCGAGGAGATTCGCAGGAAGGGAGGATGCATTTAACGAGGGGTCTGCCCACGCAAATAAATAAATAAAGTAATCATGGGAAAAGGTTTTACTTGCATAGGAAAATATTTACTAGATAGTTACTTTATTTTTATTTTATAAAAGTTAAAGGGTTAGACAACGCGAATAAATAAAGAAGAATGAAGAAAGATCTTACTTACATTGAAAAACAGATACTTATTTAACTAGTATTTTTTAAAAGCTTAAAGGGTTAGATAATTCAAAAATAATGCAATTAATTGTTTACCAAATTAAGAACTGTTTAAAAAAAGATTATATATTCTTATTGATGTACATATATTATATTATAAATTAAATAATTTTGAAAATGTTTCTTGCCTTTGGATTGCTTTGCTTTTTCAATAGGATTAAAGAAAAATGTACAAAACAATATTTATAGGAGGTTTTTTGAACTATTTTTTATCTTAATCTTAAAATACTTTATGTTTGTCATTTATTAATTTTTCATAAAAAATGCAATGCTAAGGAGGCAATTAAACGGCAATAATCACACAGCACAAACTCTTAGCTGAGCAATGCTATATTCGATTTGCTCGGGCCAAGTTAGTTGGCTGGCGATTCTGGCCTTGTTCTTAATAGACAAGCGCTGTTTTTGCATATATTTTCATGGCAGATGCATAATTAAGCCGTCGTCCACGCCGCCGCCGTACTGAGATATCGGGTTCCACAATTGACCGCAGTGACGATGCTAACCTTGCACGAAAAGAATGCAGCTGCGAAGTTCGTTGCCTAAGTCTTTCGTTTTGCGGCCAGCTGCGGGAATTCTAATCAAGGCCCAAAGGGGCGTGGCCCTGCCAGAAGTCACGTACAACGAAAGCCTAACAAGAAAAACAACAAATAAAACCTAACTTTCTTTCCGACACTCTCACTTTGTGAGCTTATCTGGAATGTGTTTATCTTGCGTCTGCATAAATATAGAGATGCGACATCAAGCATTTCGTAAGATTTAAATGCGTTTCGTTCGGGCCATGTTTTCATTTTCATTCGGTCGTGTGTGTTTATGTTGGAAATCTTCCGATCGGTTACACACAGATCGCAGTTAAAGACGCGTGTGCCTACGTAATCGACTTGGCACGTCTTTTTTTTTTTTTGGCCAGGTGAAAGACCCCAAGATACGAAAGTCGCCCGCGGCGAAGTGCTGACATATTGATGCTGTCTTCTCCACGGCAGTTCAATGGCAGCTCACAATAACAGAATCAGGCCCGAATAGTGTGTGCCACACTCGATTCCACAATTAAGTTGGTAAAAGTCAACAGTCTGAGCTGATATACGAAGTGAGTTTGAGATACGAGTGTCACTATGAATAGAAATACGGTTGAAATTGAGGAAGAGAGATTCAGTTCGAAATTATAGTAATTATATTTTGTACGTTGTAATGAAGATCCACGTGACAATGCAAATTAATGTAATGACATCTTGAGAAGGGATGAACTGAAAAGTTGAGAAAATGTAAACAGACTTTAGGTTTTCTTCATAGGAAAGAGCTTATCTGGCTTGAAATTGGTTAGACCTTTAAATTATTTGTTGAGAATGAATCAAAAAATTATAATAAATATTTTTAAAAATATATTAAATATACTTTACGTTTTATTGATCTGTTACATTAATGTAAGCATAAGGAAGTAAACTTTATATCAACTTCAAACCAAACTTTACATACTCTAGTTTCCTAAACATTCTTCAATTAATTGCAAGCCTCGTTGTAAGAGAATCGAAATCAAATTAAGATTCCGTCCAAAGCTCCGATTCGGCCCCCGGCTGAGCCGGCTTGCTATAAATTTGATATTCAAAGTAAATTTTCAATTTCTACGCGAATAGATATTTCCATAAATAAACTGCATAAATCAGAGCTGCGATCGCGGAGCTGACAGAGCTCAAAAGCGAACACGGCTCATTAGTAATCAAAAGCTGTGCAGCTCCGCAGGCTGAGAAGAATTCGGGGCCGAAGGGGGGCCAGAAGAATCGGAGACAGGCTCTGAGACACGTCCATTCAATTCTGGCCGAGAGCAGAGACTTGCACAAATTGTTGCACAAGCGGCAGACTCGAGATTCGTGGGCTGTAAGTGGCTGCTTGCCACTGGAGCGATGTCGCCAACGCATCGAAAGACTTTGCCTCCGGCGGCTTTTTCTACTTCCATTCATTACGAGAAAAAATGTGTGTTAAAATTTTGTCGACAAAAAGGTTATTGTTTCACCTAAAAGCTAAGTTTGTAGCAGAACATGATATACATTTACAAAAAAGCAAATAAAAAATAAATTAATTAATAAATAATCTTTCAGACTCACATTTTAAATTTCTTAGGAATAGGGTTTAAATACAAGCTTCTTAATATAGGACAAAAATTCAGAAAAAATTCAACATATTAAAATACAGTTTTTATATCTGCACAACATATTTTTTAGTTATTTTTCCCCCTAAGCAATTCAGAAATATAATAGAAACTATTTATTTTTCTCAGTGCAGTCTCTGAAGACCGATAACCAAGACTCTCCAGACCACCAAGCACAGAACCCCTGTTACCTTGTTGACTTTGTCTTAATGGCCAACCGTCCGTGTTGCTCTTTGGCAATTTAAATATTTTAGCCATTTCATTTTGAGCTGACCGGCAAAAACACTCGAGTGTCGCTTGTTCGGAGGAAAAAAAAATCGTCAAAAATTTCTACTATTTTGCATTTCAGTTGTGATCATTATTTCAGTAGTTTACAACATTTTTTTCATGCTGTTCACTAGAGTTGTTGATGTTTAGAGGAATTCGTATTACAGAAGCATAAGTATTCGGGCCCTTAAAAAAAATAGTTTAAAAATATTTACCAAACCAATGGAAAAATGTGTGATGTTTTAGTTTATTTGTATAGCGACCTTTATGTATTTTTTTAACATCTTGAATAAAGGTTAAATGTTCAAGGGAAATTTTCTAGCTTTTGAGGTTGTGTCGAATGATTTACGTGATTTGGTTTTCAATTAAATTTAGGCATTTTTCATTTAACACCTTGGGTTTATAAATGCGTAAATATTTTTGATTAATTAGCAACTTTATTAAATGCTACACATGTCTTAAAATGTTGACAGCATAGAAATTCGAGTAGTGTATTTAAGTCTTTTGAATAAATAAATATTTGATACACATATAACAATAATATGGTAGCAAATAAACTTGGTTATAAAAGCTAAAACAATATGTAGAGGATAGTATATTATCTCTGTTGTTTCAAATATTTAACCGGTTTTGTTAGAGGACTTTTTGACCTTGATCTTGGTTCCCACCGAAGACTTTTTGCGGCCATTTAACTTGGCCTTGTTGGAGGACAATGCAGCTGGTTTGGGCTTAACCACTCTGGCCTCGACCCGAATATAAAGATCGTAGTTGAAGTCGCCACAAGTTTTTCCTAAGTAAAATAATAAAAGTTACTTAACAATAAATAACACGTAGTTAAATAATAAATACCACAACACATTTCCTCGCCACAGGACTCGCAGGTCATCAGTCGAGTTTCCACTATACCAGATTTATTTTTGATCTTCTTCACACAATTGTTCAGAGCGAATTCCCGGCGATCGCGAGCCTCAGTCTTGAGTTCCAGCTTCCCCATCTCGACCATCCGGCTGAAGTACTCCTCCTCCTGTTTGTTCTTGGGCCTCAGCGTGGTCAGCATCTTCCAGTCGATGGGCACGGCACAGAGTTCCATGAGCACCACATCCTTCATTTCACTCGGCACAGGATCCGCATAGGTGTACATCGCCTCCCTTTCTCCGTTGGCCCTCAGTAGCTTTCGCATCTCCTTCTTGGGCATCTTGAAGGCGTAGTCCTTCTCCCGGATCTTTATCTCCTCGGCGCGCACCTTCACCGGTCGCATTTTGTAGTCGGGCACCTTCTCCAGCAGTCGCTTGAACTCCTCCACCGTTTGGATGTTGCTGCGACTGAGGTCCAAAACGGGCACCACCGTTTTCTTTTTGCCCAGTAGGTCATCTAGCTTGCTCATTTTCACTTAGTATACCAGCTAGAAAATAAAGAAAATGTTTTCAGAAAGTGTTGGAAATCGTTAAATAGGAAACCCCACAAAAAATAAAAATATGAAATAATACTTTAAGATACAATTTTGAAGTAAATTTGTAGTAAAGTAAATAAACAAGTTTAAAAGTCAACAATTTTAGAATTTGTAACCAGAATAAAATTATTTTAATTTGTAATATGTATTTACCTTTTTATATTAAAATATTATTTAGTTATTTGATTCGGATTCTAGATTTTCTCTGCTAGCTTCAACTTTTACTCGTAAAAAATCCTTTGCTTGTATCGATTAAATATTTGCCGGTTGCTAGGCATTTTTGCTTATCCAATTCCATTCGTTTTCGATGCCAGCTGACTTACCGAACCTCCGAATTCTCTCTTTCCAGATTCACGAACAACTCTATCACGTGCCGAAGCCACAAGTTGTTGATAAGTCGCTGGGCAAACAAAAAACAACAAACACGACCCGAAGACCCCACAAACCCGTCGAGGAACCAAAAAAAATAAAAACCGAGAAACAGAAACAAACAAATCCAAAACTCTTGGCTGGCATTTCATTTGGCCGGATCGCGTTACGTGGAGCGGTTGGTTGAAGTTTTTGGTCGTCTGCCCGCCGAAAAGAAAGTCACACGACAGTAACGACAAAAAAAAATAAATAAACGAGAAACGAGATTTCCAAGATTCTGCAACGAAAGTCAAAGTTACAAGTTTACTCCAAATTCGAGTCTTTCGGCCCGGTTCAACGTCTTCCAACTTTCGGGTCTCCAGTCTTCGGTTTTTTGGTGTCTGCCCGCGTGTGTGCCACTTTAGAAAGTGAAAATCGAGTGCAGTCCGCGGCATTTTTCTGAATCAAAATCAAAATCCATCGGCGGCCTTTGGGCGCTGCAGTTGAAAGTGAATTTTGTTCGGTCTGCAAGTGATTTTCGATTTTCGGCCGCTCAATTCATCATTATCGATCAGTAGCCCGCGGTTTCTGGCTACTTGAATCCACTACACTTCACTTCAATTCACTTCACATCCATTGGCAGTTGGGCCCGGTAAATAAGTTCAGCAGCAATGGAGGCCGAGGAGGTTACAAAACTCGTCGATGGAGTGTACAGGGTAAGCATTTTCCTAATTATTACAACATGTCGTATTTGTTTTATTAATTAAAGCTTTCCATGAGGGGTTAATTTTAAAGGAAAATGAGAAAAATTTCCTTATAAACAGCTGCAATACTTACTTTAATGTTTTAGGAGTTAAACGAACGAAATGGCGCATATCAAAATAATTTAATATGTATTTTAAATTGGAAAAAAATATTCAGACTTTCCATTTTTAATTGTGTATATAAATTAGAAACTAGGAGCTCTTTTGACCTCTCTGTGGATAATTTCTACCACTTTTAAAATTATGAAAGCAGATGTTATGAAACGTTTCATAAGAATTATTAATTCGTACCCAAATTATACATCATCTACTCCACTTAGCCGGGGGTCAAATCAAAACTTATGTAACCCCACTGGCACCTAAATACTATTTCATGAAGGCCATTTCTATTAGCCACTGGTAACTAATTTACTGCTAGGCTCGTAACGATGTTTACCCTTTTGGAAAACAATTTATAACTTTAAACGTTTTCTTTTTGTAGACTAAATTTATCGCCACACGCGATCTCCATAAGCGGCTGCAAATGAAAGCAACCCAAAATTAATCTACAAAATGAAAACAAAAATCCGTGACTTGAAAGTTCACCTTGAATACCCTTGAAATTTTACAACCATAACACAACACAAAAGTAAAATAATGAATTTAATGCAGATTATATATTCCCAAGGCATGTTAAATTTTTAGTTGGTTTAAAATTGTAAGTTATTATGACTTCAGCTCACAAAACTTTGGCAGTAACTAAATCGTAAAAGTAATTATAAATGATTTGCAGTTTAAACTTTTGATGGTTGTTTATTTAGTAAATAACCTTTGTTTTTATACCGGCATTAATGTCTTTATTTTTAATAATGTAGTTGAAATGCTTTTGGATTTTATCCATAAATTATTGATGAGTAGTTACTAAAAAAAAAAACCGGTGAATGGTTACAAACTTCGGCTTAGGTTTTAGGTGCCACTCAAAAAGGGTATTTAAATCATAACCAGAAATGGAGAACCACAAATATTTGAAGATAAAAATGGCAAAATAACATTTGAAAGTGAGTTTTTTCTTGTCGACTGTTGGCTGCTGTAAATTCATAGCCAAATTTGGTCACGACATACGGTGGTTGTGTTGTGTTGTCTACTGTTTGGTAGTATCTTTCGGCATAGTTTTTTGGCCATATATAAGTCTCGAATAAACCCGTATAACCAAGCGAACAAACGAGTTCAATTGGAGGTTTGATTTGTTTGCTTGCGGATCCCCACAAAATCCTCCCAATTCAACGACAGACTCGACGACTCCGCCTCAAGAGTTTGGCAAGTTTTAGCTTCATTTTTGTTGTTTTTTTTGTTGTTTTTTTTTTTTTTTGCTTTTGCAGCGGTTGCATCTGCCCCAAGTTGAGGTGTATTGCACATTTCGCGCATCTATTTCATTATGTAACTTTTAGTTTTTTTCTTTTTCTTCTTCGAAATGTTGGCGTTGCTGTTTCTGCGGTTTCTGCCGCCTGAAAATTGCGGAAATTTTTGTTTTTGGCCCGTTTCCTTGGCTGTGTTGCACATGGCTGCATTTTCGCGACCACCATTTGCATTTTCCATTTTTCCCGCTTGTGTTATTATTATTTTTTTCTGTTTTTTTTTCGCACTGTTATTGTTTATTTGTGACAGAGTCGCAGCCGTGTAATGTAAATCGAATAAATAGGTGCCGCTGGCTGTTTTTAATTAGTGGGCCGCGGGCACTTGTCAAACGAAAGACTCAGGAAACGAACTAGCTCTGCCGGTGGCAGGAAAATAAATCGGAATTGGAATCTGAATGAATGGTCGTGCATCAATCAACCGAAGTCACTTCCTCAACGCATTCCAGATTATGAGTTAATTCCCAGTGATTTATGCGCAATTGTCTCGCTGAACGGGTTTATCAATCGTTTTACTATATCAACAATTTATTTTCACATTTTTTTCTTTTGTTCAATGCATTAATTGTGACCAATAAATCGTCTGGGACTGTGTGAACTCGCTTCTGGGTTGGTCTGTGCAAGTTTCTGAACGGGTTTAAATTAATTCGATGGCTATTCTAAACTCATTAGCAGACCGCTTTTGCCGGTCTTTATTTGTAGCTTTGATTTGGCCTTTCTAAAATTGGCACACTTAAATGTTTTAAGAGGGTTTCTTCACGTGCGGGTATGCAAATGGAGCAGGAATGCCAATTTTTACTGGTCATTAGCCAGTTGATTAATGAATGTTAAGTTTTTTCTTGCTCCAATAAATTTTTAAAGACAGCTCTCATACACTTGAAATCCTGTAAGTTAAAATGCTTACATTTATCCTTACTCAAAAAAAATGTACAGGAAACGGCAATTTTGACAAGAAATAAATAATCGCTTTCAACAAAACATTTTACCATGTTTGTTGAAAAAAATCTGTTAATTAAAGGCTTTGGGTTGGGTTATAATTTATTGTTATTTTCGCTGCAGTTTTATGTTAAAAATGATTAATTCAGGTATCCTCTGTATTTAAATGCTTATATAATTTACCAGCTTTAATGTAATATATGAAACTTGCTTATTTTTTTTCTTGCACCCGTAATAAATCTTAAACTCCGTTCAACCATAAATTTTGAATGGCAAACGAGTAAATTTGGTTGAGAGATGTACTCAGCAGATGATTGCTATTGCTGCTTTCACTTTCCCTTTTTTAATATATTTATCTTAAAGCAAAATATTATATGTGATTCTGCTGAAAAATGTATTTAAAATTCAGTTACTTTTAAATTTAAATTAAAAGTGAAACAAGCAAGTATTTTTCCCCAGAATAGTTCAGAATTGGTTTTCTTTGTGAAAAAGTAAGAATCACACAACCTCTCGAAATTCTCTAGCGAACAATCCGTTCTCCTCTCTCGTGAATCCATATTTTTTTTCGAGTGAATAAAACCGCAAGTTGGGCCGTCAAGTCGATGTTCAAAACGCATTTCATTCAAACAGCTGCCAGAAAAAACTGCCGCTGGCGATGAATGCCTTCGGATTGTTTGTCATTCGCTTAGATTTATGGCACATTCCCCGCAACACACATAAATCGAAACCGAAGCCGCCGGTGGGAGCCTGATGCCAGTGATCGGATCAGAATGACATCCAGCTGACCACACAAAAGCCAACCTGCTGGGAGAAAAAGTATAGTAAAGTAAAAATAAATAAATAAAAGGCAGGCGGAGGGAGGAGAAGGAGGCGAAGCCCCTCAAGAGTTTTGCTGAAGCTCCGCCGAGAAATGCAGAAATAAATTAAAATTGCAGCCACCTAATGCCCAACGACAGTCTGGGGGATTGGATCTCCATGGAAAGCCAAGTGACTAAAGGCAAGTGGCAAGTGTGCAACACTCGGACCAAAGAACTGGGAACTGCAGCTGATTGCCATGTTGCAGAGGCATTTCTAAGGCTGCCATCGCTGCATTAGAGGTGCCACTTGCCGCCACTCGGAACGATGTCACTTCGTCTGGATGGAGGGAATTGAGGGGATGGAGGGGATTGAGGGGATCCGAGGAGGGAAGGAGGAGGAAAGGAGGACGTGGGCATGGGTATGACCATGGCAAATGGAACTGGGTTAACGTCCGACTCGCCGGCGAGAAGCCCTAGCAGTCCTAGTGGTTCCATTTCTCAATTACCCTATCTCAAGGGATTTTGTAGGTTCTTTCAAATGCCTAAAAAAAACGTATTTTATTTAATATATTAAATGTTCAAAGAAGTATTTGTTATTAAGATCAAAAAAAGATATTCGTTTTGTATAGCAGAAACTATTACAAATGGGAAATATATATATTTTTGGAAGAACAATTTTTGTTTGATAATTATGTTGAAGAATGTTTTTTTTGCTTTAAAAACATTTGAAATATGCATCTTCCTTTAAACTATATATCACTTTTTAGACTGGCATTTTTATTTATTTTCAAAATTATATACTTTGTTAGAAATACATATAAATTAAAATTAAAATTATTTCACTACATAAGAATGCTATTCGCATTAAATTAAAATAACTTAGCAGGCAACCTACGCCAACATATTATAATATATCTTAGTTCCAAACAATTAGCAAAAAGAACATGTTTCTATTAATCATCCTTTCATTATCGTGTCCTTTGCCCATATATGCTTCCCTATCGCCAAGGACATCTACTCTTCGCTTAGAACAGAGGAAATATTCCATTTCAGCTGGTTGTTAGCCGACTGCCTGGGAAGAAGTCACGCAAGCGAGAATTATTTACGTTTAGCATTTTTCACGCACTTTGCGTTCATCTGTCGCCGAGTTTGAGGGGATTGGGGATTGTCGGAGGAGGGGGTTTAACTTCGGCTGTTGCCACTCCTAGGGAACCCCCTGCGATCCCCGCCCCTGAAAGAAGGCGTGACCGGTTGCGCCTTGACGCCTTCGTTGAGGTTTTGTCAACAGTTGACTTGGGTTGCCAGCGCCTTTGAATTGTTTCGCTGGCAAACCTGTTGCGTGTTGCCTTTTGCATTTGTTGGTTTCTAATTGGCATAATTGCGGTTTGCCGTCGTTGTTTCGTTTCGGTTAGTGCTGCATTCTCGCATGCTCACAAGTGGGTGTGTCACTCGCCGGCGTCGTTAAATTATGGCCTAACCTGAAAGAGGCTCTCCAAAACCACCGACATTCCCCTAATCCAAGCTACCAATGCGACACAGAAACAAATTATTAATTAAAAATGTTTTTTTACCTTTCTAGATTTACCATTTAAATAGTTTTGAATATATATGAAATAAATGGAAATACTTAAAGGTTTGAAAAGTTTATTTAATCTTTTCAAATTATTCAAACAAAAAAATATTTATAAATTAAATATAATAAATGAAACTTTTAAGTAAATAGTATTCTTATACTGTTTTTATTATCTACAATTTTTTCTTCTAGTATTTATTTAAATGGTAAACAAGTTTTCTCTCAGTGCACCGCCCAACATTCCGCCTCGTTGGCTTTTTAAGCAAATGGGAGGCTTTCGTGTTATGCTCTGCATTTAGTCTCTGTTTTAATTAAAAAAAATTACACATGTGTGGCGCTCACTGCTGGCGATTTATGTTAAGCGACGATTAGAGACCAAGTCATTTGGGTTTGGGTTTGGGTTTGGGCTGCGGCTTTGGATTGGGAACTGTGAACTGGGATCTGGATACTGAGTACTGAGTACTGAGTAGTGAGTACTGAATACGGGGTACTACCTCAATTAATTTTGGGTTAAGTGTTGTCGGTGGGACGCAGATTTGCGGGCGTGATAAGCGATTGCGTCAGCTTTTGGCCAAGAGTGGGTGAACAAGGAGAAATGTTAATTGCTGGATCGAACGAGCAGGAATTTGTTAAGCGTTTAGGCCAATTACACGAGCTGATAGCCATCGCAGTTAAAGGAAACATGGTTTGCACTTAGGTAACTTAATTGCGAACGATACAAGTACTTAAAGCAAGTTAAAAAAAAATTAAATTGGATTTTTAAAACAAATTTTCATAATCCCAAAAATATATAATAGTTTATTTGAAGAAGAATAAAGATTTAATATTGCTAATCTATATATTCTATTGCTAAAAGTGTATCTTTTTACTTTCCTAAAGTTAATTTAAACTCACTAAGCAATTTAATCTTTAATGACTTATCCGAGTCTCAGTTATTGATTTTATAATCTGTTGTCATAATTACTTTCAAGGCTATAATCATTTTACAAAACCCAGGGTAAGTCCCAAGTGAACACTGAGATAGCGATCCCAAAACACTGATTGCATTAACCACAAAATGTGTTTGCCGCAAAGCGTAGAAAAACGAAACAATTAACATTGATAAACCCATAAACTCACAGCCCCAAAGGTCTTTGAAAAACGCACTTGAATCCACGAAGTTACTTGGGTATCCGTACGTGTTATTAAAGTATCGGTAACCAAATTAAATAAACTACACTGAGGTCAGTCGAGTCAAGTGCACTTGTGGAAAATAAACACTAGAAGATACACCGAAATGCAGATTTGCTTGCAACGGATATCTGTATCTTTAAGCCAACAGTATCTGTTTCTCAAAGTAGAGCTTCCAAATAAATCAGTTAGCTAGTAGATCATAAAAACAAACACTCAAGCAAGTTGAATCGTTAAGCGGAGACGACCTTGCTTTTGAGTATCTAAGTATCTGACTATCGGAGTATCTAAGTATCTGAGCTGGAGTGCTGGCTCGTTTCATTCCCACGCCTTGCTGCCACATTTCAAGCCAATAAATTTTGTAGAAAAGCAAATACAAACTCGAGACGTAAACATTTGGCAATAGTCCATTGGCACAAGCGAAGCGAATTGTTCGACAGAAAATGTGTTGTTTACATATTGGCTTTTTGACATTTTGTTGCTAATTACTTGGGGGCCAAGGAATTCGGTAGTTACTTATACTTTTCGAGGGCGGAAGTGATTGGGTGTTAAAGTATTTGTACACCGAGAACAACAATCAATTACGCTTAACCAAAAAATACTCGATAGTTCCTAATGAACATTTAAAGCGTTTGACTTTGGAACAATGCAAACGGTTTGTGGCCAAAGAGAATTCAAATTTGTGGGTTTGTATCTTTCGGTTTGCGTGTTAAGCGCTCGGCTTTGTCTGCTGGACAACTCAACTTTTGGCCAAGCCCAGGACCAAAGTGTTTCTTTGTCATGTATTTCTCTTTTTTATTTTTGTGTTTTATGGTGTAACAGTCTGGTGATGTCAGCCTCCCTTCCACATGACAAAATCCATTCACGTCATCTCGAAGTAATGCAGCTTCATCTGAAACCCCAGTCTCGAATTGTATTCAAATCATGTGCAAAGTTGCTAATTAATTACCGTTTTGCTGTTCATCATTTTGGATTTTCCGAGGCCTAAGATCAATTGATAATAATAATATGTTATGACTCATTTTCAGGTATATTTTGAGTAGATGTAGTAATTTGTATTTAAATAGATTCGCTTATGGCGAAGTTCTGTGGATAATAAATCATTAAAGGTGTTAAGGCCAAAGAAATCAGGGTTTGAGAGTTTATTGATGATTGATGAGCTCTATGCCGATAAAGGAATATATAATATTGTTTGTTAATAGGTTTATTTTCTGCAGTACATCTTATATAAGTAAGAATAACAATTATATAGAGGAAAAACCAGCTCAAGTGGAATACATAATTCTTAAATGTAATTAGCTTTCCCCTAAAAAAGAACCGAAGTCTTTTAAAGAATTTGTTTGGATAACACGCCATAACTTTTAGAAACGTTCTCTATGAAAAACTAGACTAGATCCAGTTTAACCCAGTCAAGTTTTCAACTACTTCAAAACTGGTTAAGAAATGAAACTTAAAACTGAATGGAAGTCTTCCTTATTAGTGGTTAAGTAAAGATTTTACTGCCGGCAGTAAAAACTGCAACCAATAAATTCAAACTTTATTTTTGTGCCTTCAATTAGCCGAACAGGTTTAACAATATCTAAGTTATGGGAAAGAATTGCAAAGTTAACGTGTTAATTTTTTTTGTGTTCTATAATAAGAATCCCATAAAGTTCAAAACAAAATTAAAAAACTTTCCTTATGCATTTAGCTATTTCTTCAACTTAAAATGCATTTCCCAGCCGCATTTGCTGATGTTTCGGATAACTTTCATTTGCATTCACCACTAAATCACTAAATCATAGATGAGAGATTACTAAATGGTTAATTAGCATTGCGAGTATGTAGTTTGTAGTAGTTTGCAACACGGAACTAATGATGTCGCTGGCTGACCACAACATTGTCTCGAATCAACTTATACAATCCGACTTTTACTGCTCGCGGCAAAACGGGGAAAACCATTACCATTTACCACCAACTTTTGAGGGGGTAAAAGGGGGAAAGGGGGACTAATACCTAATGAAATTGAAATGTTGGTGCATGCTGGCCAGTAAATTACATTTAATTAAGCATGCGATAAGCAAGTGTATATGGATATCTTAGCTAACGACGCCATCGATCTCCTCAATTGCAGAACATACTGGATAGATTCAATCCGGGTGCCAGGCAACTAATTGCGGCGGGCAAAAGCTACCTCAAGGCGTTGCACGGTGAGTTTATATCTGTATTGGTGTATATGTGGTGTTGTGGTATGGTGTGCATATCATAATGCTGCAAGTGGGGTACAGTTAACTAATTTGCAATGCATTCCGTGCCATTTCATGCAACAGGTGCCGCAACCGCCTCGCGTCTATTCAATGAAGCATTGGCCAAGATTGCGATGAACGCCCAGCAAAGCGGAACGGGCGATATTGGTAAGAAGCCAGTCTAGGTTTAAACCCCTCCCTCCCCCCTCTCCCGCTCCCCCCTCCCCATCCAAAAAAAAGTGACAGTGCATTTGATCTCAACTTGTCTGGTTCTCCGTTCAGGTTCGGCTTTGATGAGCGTCGTGAATGTCAACAAGGAAATTCAGGAGCAGCAGATGAATATTGTAAGTAAAGCAATCTTAGACCTAGAATTAAAAAAGAATAAATTTTGATTTTGATAATGCAAAATTGTTATATTGATTTTAAGAAATATTAAAATTAATTTATTTATTATAAATTTAAATTGGACGAGTTATATTGGACTAAAATAACTGAACTAACTCAGTTTTAAAAACAACAAAATGTTGCCTAAATTTCGGTCCCACAATTTTAATTAAAAAGTGTGACTTTGTCTGGTATTTAATTATTTGTGTAATCATGAAACACAATATTCTTTAAAAAAGTAAAAAATAGTACAAAACAATTGCAATTGTATTATATTCTACTACTTTATTTCCAAACTGGAAAGACTATTTAACCCTTATGATTTATTAAGCATTATTTATTTCTTTAACTTTGAATTAAAAACATCTTATTTGTATTGCAGCTGAAAGCCTTCTACGTGGATCTACTGGTGCCATTGGAGACGAACCTGGAGAAGGACACGAAGGTGGTGCAGCACGAGCAGAAGAAGTTCCTGCAGCAGCACAAGGTGCGAATGGAGAGCTACCAGAAGGCGGTCTCCACCATGAAGAAGCAGCGCAAGAAAAAGGCCACGCCCGAAAATACCGAAAAGGAGTTGAGGGTAAGTGGGGATATACACAAACGATCTGTGGAGCCACCAAAAAAACTAACTTTCCCACAGAGCCTCCAATTGCTCGAGGATCAGAAGAAGAAGCTGGATGTGTTCTGCGATCAGAGCTACAAGAATGTAAGTTCATTGGCTGCAGGCCGAATCTTGATCCACCTCTACACATGAAGAAATTATTGTATTTTAAAATTAACATTAAAATATATACTTTAAATAGGATGTTGGATTTTAATAGGGGTTTTATTTTCGAAGATTTGAACAGTTTACTTAACCATTTAATTCTGTTAATAAACACAGAACATTTTTTCTTTTTAATAATATACTTTAAGTTCAAAATCAGGTTTAAAATATTTTTGTAAAATTAATTAAATGAATAAATGAATTTAAATTAATTCTTATAATTTTTAAATTGTTTAGGAACGTATACCTTTTCTTAGGCTTTTGTATACATTTTTACAATAATTGTTGTACATTTTTGTCACGTACAATTTCAACGCATACCCAAATAATCTTAGAAAATTTGTTAAAATTGCCAAGCATGTATGACTGACCGAGTCCTCGACTCTTTCCCACTTTCCCACTTCCGTTCTTGGAACCAAAAAAAAAAAAAAGGCCATGACACAGGAGCGTCGACGGTACGGATTCGTCTTGGAGCGCCAGTGCTCGATCGCCAAGCACTGGATGGCCTACCACACCACCGGCAAGACGGTAATTGATAATAATTTCGAAAATTGGCAAGAGATTGCCGCTTCTCGTGAGATCATTCCCCCGGCCGCCTATGAGAGTGGCTACAGCAGCAGCAACGGACACAACAACAACAACAACATCAGCAACATCAACAACATCAGCGGCAACTTGCGACGTTTGGTGAGTCATCTCCACCACCCATTATAGCCAACCGATTCCATCCGATTGGGCGCTAACCACTCTGTTAACCACCGCGGTTTCTAATTCGAGTTCTCTACAAGCCAACATAATTAGAAGAAGCTTTTCTTGTACACAAAGATTTGCTTTATAGAAACCAGAGTTCATCGGAGATATCGGATGTTTTATAGGTTATAAACATATATCAATTTTAATTTCAAGTTAAAGATATTAGTGATTATTTTCTTTGTTGGTTATAAACGTTAATCTTGAAAATAAAATTGATGTATGTTTATTTCCCATATGTTATCTGATGAACTTTGGTTTCTATTAACCAAATCTTCCATTACAAGAAAATGGGAAAAGAAAATTCAATTTAAGGTTGAACAATGAAGATATGAAGATATTAATTTTTTGATCTTTTTTTTTAACTGAGTCATGTTTTCATTCTAATCAAATTTTTAAGGGTCGCACTTAGATTTTGATTGACCGACAATAAAACCAAATACTTTTAGACATTAGTAATAGGTGTAAAAGAATAAAAATAAGTCTAAGAATAGCAGGAATGATTATACATATGAGCCTTTTCTGCTTTCCTAAGTAATTATTTTCGTTTAAATCTTATAACTTCAACTTCGTCTTGACTTAACCACAATCCTTAGTTTTGAACCAATGACTTTAATATTTAGCTTGTAATTATAATTGTACCAAATTTTTATCAATTAATTTATATATATTTATCCCAAACAGGAGCGAATTAAGGACGGGGACGATGACCACCTGCAGAGCAACGGCTCCCAGCTGAAGAAATCGCGGAGCATCGACGCTCCCTACGGAGACATGCGCACTCTGCACGAGCGGGAGAACCTCTCCGGAATGGGAATCTCCGGGCCATCGCACTATGCCCAAAACTCACTGCCACGTGCCAAGTCCGACTTCAATTTGGCTTTGGTGGGCACTGGCCAGAGTTCAGGTGGGTCAACCAATTGGTTTAGCTTGGCCAAATAAAATCCATTAACTATCGCTCTTTTTGGCTTGATTATGATTTCGTTTTGGTTTTGTTTTCTGAAGTTAATCGAACCTTTTATTTGCGAATGTATTACTTTCGATTGGCAGGCAACAAACACAAGATCCTTGAGGAGCAGCTGGCCAGTTTGGGTGACGATCAGCGAGGGGATCAGCGTCCTCTGGTGAAGGCTCTCTATGCCTACATGCCGTCGGGGGAGAATCAGTTGTCCTTCGAGGAGGGCGATCGCATTGCTTTGGTGGGCGGCAAGGCGAAGGGGTGGCAATTCGGTGAGAATCTGCGAACCCAGCACTTTGGCTGGTTCCCAGTTGCGTACACCAATGCGGAAGTGGCAGAAACCTCGACCTCCGGTGGCCGGCGATATGAGAATATGTTGATGGGTTACGAGCGGAATGGCGGTGGTTCGGGTTCCGGTTCCGGAGGAGGAGGTGGCCTCCGCAGCTACCAGCAACAGCAGCAGGATTACGAGGCGCAACTCGAGTTGATGGAGAGCCATGAAGCCACTTATCGGAGGAGAAGGAATCACTCCGCCGAGGAGTCCTCGCCCACGCGAATGTTCGGCGACACCATCAAGCAGCAGAAGAAGTACCGCCCGGGATCGAACGCCAATCCCAGACCAGGTCCGCCGCCCACTCTGCCTGCTCCGGTGCCCAATGGCCAGCAGAGGGAGTCCTCGAGGATGCTGAACAGCTCGCAGAGCTTCTGCGCCTCCAACGGAGGAGTCACCTCGGCGGTGGAGAGACGCAAGCAAAAGTTATTGAATGGCGTGCAGGTGGGGTTATATAACTTTTGAATTTACTTTTACTTATTAAATTCTTTACTTTATTTACTGTTATTTTTTATATTTATTAATTGGTTAAAATATTATCCCACAGAGCTCCAAGAGCCATCCTTCTGGCAAATCAGGGGTGGCTGCCAAAACCTCTTTGCACAGCAGCAATGACAGTGGCTTCGCCAACGAACCTCCTCCACAACCGGAGGTCGACTATTCCGATGAGGAGCCATCCACACAGCGAGTGCCCATTCGGTAGGTTGAGAAAAAAAACTATAGGTTGAAACTCTAGAATATGGGTTTTATCACAAAAGATTGTTTGAAAAACTGAACTACTGTTGCTCAAGCATTTATGTACATATATCAAGAAATTACTAGATATATTTATATCAGTTTAAGGTGATAACACTCGCATTCTAGAGTTCTTATAAATATAGTTGTAAAAAAAGCTTGGAGAGCACAAATAGAAGATGAAAAATTTAGCATTTGTATGTTATTTATTTAAACTCAAGCAGCTAACTACAACATAAATAAACATCTACTTACAATGAAAAAGTCTTACACACAGAAAATTTTCCAGTAACAATATAATAAAGTTTTTTGAGCCATTTTCATAAAGTTTTCTTTTCTATTTTTGCTCTTCAAGTCAAGCTGCAGCATCTCCGCTTTTTCTTCAAATTTTGTGACTAATCCTTATAAACATTTCCCATTTTAACTGAATTTCTTGCCAAGTTATTTGCCTTCCGTTTACTTCCTTTTTTGAAGTGTCAATTTCAATTGATTGTATTTATTATCATTTGCTTTTCTTTCGTTCTTGTTTGATTTCATGTATCGCCATTTTGCCCTGTTGTCATCCTTTGTGTTAACCCCAAAAAATGCACCACAAAAACCGAAACACAAACACACAAAAACCACACCGAAACCACTACCAAAAACCACTATGCAAAATGACACCAAAAACCAAATAAACCGAATAATTAGACGTCGGGCGGATACGAATTCGCATACCCACACGGTGCCCCGGGATGTGGCATCCTGGACACTGAACAGGAACTTCCGGAACAGCGTTGATAGCCAGATCGACGACAAGAGCCTCAATCGACTGAGTCGCCAGAGCGGAGGAGTTGGCAAGATGCGCTACGATCTGATTGCCTCCGATGATGAGATCCTGCAGGCATCGAGTGCTGGCTTGAAGCGCACGAAATCCTTTTGGAAGTTCGGCGGCGGACGCAGTGGCGAGGATATTCTAGCCGGCATGTCCTTGTGGCAGCATCGCGATCTGGTGGCAGCTCCCAATCTGGAGGAGATGCGCGATCGGGATGAGTTGGAGCGGCGTTCCGACGAGGATCGCAATGGCACACTGACAAAGTCGCACAATTCGAGTTCCTCGCAGGAGAAGCGCGAGCGAAAGGATAGTATCACCAGCACGGAAATTTACGGCGATGAGGATGAGAATATCTACGGGGTGAGTCCCCAGCATCCTCCGCAGCAGCAGCAGCAGCAACAACAACAGCAGCAACATCAGCAGCAGCAGCAGCAGCAACATAGGAGCAGCTATACTCCCAAATCCCGGATGAAGATCATGAAGACCATTGAGATCGACATTGAGGAGCCCACGGAGGCGGAACGGATGAGCACCATGCGGCGAGGTCAGTCGCAGGATCAGCAGCAGACGCATCGTAAGCTGGACAAACAGCTGTCCGGATCGGGATCCCAGCACAAATCGCAGACGCTGAGTCGCTCGAAGAATTCGCAACAGCAGCAGCAGCAGCAATTTCCGCAATCCACGGACGAAGGTGAAAGCGATGAGCACGGAACCCTGAAGCTCAGCGATGTGAACAACTTCTTTGACGAGGGAAAGAACAATGGACACGGACATGGACATGGACATGGACTGGTTATGAAGACGGTGAAACGACAGGACATACTCAAGCAGTACTACACCAGCGAGGACGAGGAGGAGTCCGATGCGGAGCTCAAGTCGACCAGTTCGGATCCCTACGATTGCATTGTGATCAACGATCACTTGGTGCGCAAGGACGACAAGTTGCGAAGGCATCACCATCAGCAGCAACAGCAGCAGCAAATGGAGTTCCACACCTTTCGATCCTCCACCTCCACCACGGCCACCAATACGCTGAAGAAGTCCTCCTCGAAGGATCAGGATAGCACTCTCACCCGCAACTCAACCGCGAGTTCGGGTGCTCCGACGGCCACGATCCTGCCGCGAACACGCCTCCTCAAGTCCTCCTCCGCCTCCGCCAGCAACAATCTGAGCAGCAACAGCCAAACCCTGGAGCGGAACTCGAAGAGTCTAGCCGGAAATAAGAGCTATGGTCCATGGTACGACTTCTGGGATCAGGAGCAGCACGGCCAGAAGTCATCAAGTGCCAAGCTCAAGTGAAGTGGGAAAAAGGATGGTGAATTGGTAATAATAAAGGATATAGGCAACAGTTTCGCCGTCTTCTTACCGGTTAAGAAAATGAGCCGAGAGAGAAAGTGGAGTGGAAAAGTGCAGCTGGGGAAAGGGATATATAATATATATACTCGTATGTAAAACCAGGTCCCTGAATCCCAACCCTTTCCCTCCTTTTTTAGTTAAGCAATATTTTACCCTGTACAATTGCATAGTTTTAGCCTAAGTCAAGTTCTGTTTTTGTTTGTTTTATGTACATATCTTATTTTAGTTTCTAATTTAAACACTTTTGTGTGTGTTGCCAACGCTGATGATGAAAAGGGTTTAACCATTTTTTGTACATGCCTGAGGAAACTTCATAGAACAAGGACCTCTCCATTAAACATTCTCCCCCTGATTTGTTTGGTGCCTGCTCGCATTTCATTTGAATTTTGAATTTTATTAGTCGAAGTAATGTGAACGTAAATTGCTTTTCTAGCAGGCGCGGTATTTATCGCAACTATTCCATAGACTACTGACCTGTAACGATTCCGTGTAGTCCAGCTAGCCCCACCAAATCCCCCCGTACTAGCTTGTTCCCCCAGCCTCCTCCGTAAGTAGAGATCCCGGATGGGATAAGGATGGGATCTCAACCGGACAAGTCCTTGATCTTTTGCAGAGCCTCTCAGTTCGCCACGGTTAAGTTGAGGCACACGAAGACCAACGATCGATCCGCCCCGATGATCTATCGGAGTGTGAACAAGTAGCAACGACTGCGGAAGGTGGAGTTCTCCCTGTGACCACGAAGGCTCCAGCCACAAGACACACGACACATCAAACTCATCCGCACCGCAACACAAAGCATCGCAGTCTATACAAATCACACGTTCTATATAGCGCATATACTCGTACAGTTGAAGGCATTATCAGTTAGATCCTCCAGTTGCTCCAAAGCCTGGATATTTGGTAGTCATTAAGTCGTACTGTTTGTTAAACATTCTGTTTGTATGTACTTCTATGTTAAAGTTCGAAATGTATATTCAAATACCATAATGATTAATAAACCTTATAAAGTTTAAAAACTAAAAGTCTATACTTTTTATGGATGGGAATGGATAAAAATCGATTTTAGTTTACTATGTTTTACTAGTATGAATTATGTTTGCCTGGTGCCTGAAATCAAATCTTTTGGTCGAAAATAAGAATTTTCTGAGTTTTTTCATTCGGGAGCAGCAGGCGAACAGAAAAGCCTAGAAGGTGGCTGCAAAAATCTACAAGTCAACAGCCTTGCCTGGAACCATGGTTCGAGTCTCGACTAATGGTGATCTTAAAATGCAAAGGTATGAAACTCAGATATTTAGATCATCATGGGTGGTTCGAATCTTGAATACTGTTTGTTCGACAAACTGTATAGTCACCTTCTAGGCATTTCTGCTCGCCTGGTACTTAGTTTCCTGAAACCAGCCGTTTTGACTGTCCAAATGACCGGGAATCCGGGTCAAATAAATAATATTAATCGCGGACTAAAGTTAGTTACTTTCTATTCCTTAGGATAATTTTAAAGAATGCCCTAAATGCCGCCGCGCTCTTTTTATTCAGTATTTTTTTGAATACCATTTTCTTGTAAGCAAGGCGTTAGTGAATTTTCCCGCTTGCCGGCTGGTTTAGTCCAAAAATAAACAAACAATTGGAGCAGTCTTTTTAAGGAGGAATATAGGAGCTGGAATCCCTGTCCTGCCATGAACGGGTCGTGGAAGCTAGTCCTGCCCGTGGGCTTTGTGCTCTACTCGCTGCCATTGTTCCTGCGCGTTAATGGCACCTCCGACTACGTAATTGATGAGGAGTTCCACATCCCGCAGGGATTGGCTTTTTGCCGCAAGGAGTTCGATGTGGTAAGCGGCAAAGAGGAACCTAAAATGACCAGGTAATCATTCTCTATCCTTCTTTTCAGTGGGATCCCAAGATAACAACATTCCCGGGCCTGTACCTGATCGCCCTCGTCCTGAATCCTTTGAATCTGTGCACGGTGACGGGATTGAGAATGCTCAGCTTGGCCGGTGCCGGAATCAATATCCTGTTGCTCTACAAGATCAGGCGGCGCGTCCTAGCCGGTTCGGGGGGTAACTCGTATGCTGCCCATGAGGCGATCACCATGTCTGTGCTCCCGCCGCTCTACTTCTTTAGCCACCTCTACTACACGGACACCTTGTCGCTGACCATGGTGCTCCTGTTCTACAACTACTGGCAGCAGGATGCGCACCTGCCGGCGGCCGTCTTTGGGGCCGCCAGTGTGCTTATGCGCCAGACAAACATCGTGTGGGTGTGCATGGCCACCGGGATAACTGTGCTGGACACGCTGGTCCAACAATGCGCTCGGACACGGGGTGTTCCCAAAGAGAAAATTCGGCTGTTGGGCAAAGAGGTGGGTCACTTATTATTCATTACCAATATATTAACCGTGTTATTTTGCTTTGTTTAAATTCGTAACTCATCCATAATTAGAAAACCTTTTTAATGTGTTCTAAAATGAATACATTTACTTTTCATTTTAATTTGAAAAAAACAAATCCATCAAAGCTTGTGTATATTTACTCTCTTAATTTTCAACTGTAAACAAATTCTGTGTAAACAAACAAATATTTTCCATTAATTTGTATACGTTTCTTGTTTTTCAGTTGTGGCTGCAGCTCTTTACCAGCCCACAATTGCTGTTCAATTGCATCCTGAGCATTTTGGCAAAGTGCTGCTTCTACGCTTCGATTATTTTGCCCTTTGTGGGATTCCTGTGCATCAATGGTTCCATTGTGGTGGGCGACAAGAGTGCCCACGAGGCCAGTCTGCATGTGCCGCAGATTTTGTACTTCGTTGTCTTTGCCGCTGGCTTTGGAATATCCAATACCTTGCGCCAGTTTCGTCCAGCAGCCGAGCTAATTCGCAGAAATCGTGTGATATCCCTGCTGGCGTTGCTGCTGATCCTGGTTGTGGTGCACCTGAACACCGAAGTGCATCCCTATTTGCTGGCGGACAACAGACACTATACCTTCTATATTTGGAGTCGACTTTACGGACGGTTCTGGTGGTTCCGCTACGCCATGGCGCCGGTTTACCTGCTCTCCATTTGTGTGCTCTTCTGCGGACTGCGACACATGCCGGACAGCTTCAAGTTGATGTTCCCGCTCAGTCTTTTCCTTGTGCTGTGCTTCCAGCGGCTTCTGGAGCTGCGCTACTTCCTGGTGCCCTACATTATCTTCCGGCTGAACACACGCTACACTCGCAAGGGATACGCCGAGTGGCTGGAACTCGGCGTCCACCTGCTGCTCAATGTCGTCACCTTCTACGTGTACTTCACCAAAGAGTTCTACTGGCAGAACTACCGCTCGCCTCAAAGGATCATTTGGTAGTTCCAATAAACTGCATTCCCTTTTAAGACAAAACGAAGATTTTGGCATTTAAAAATAAAATCGCTTGGCATTTTCAATATTGCTTTTTATTCGATGCATTGCTACTTGAGTGAGAAATTGCTCTACAGTTTAGATTAAAAATCGGGGCCGAGTCCTACAGATAATTATAAAAGTGTGGTATTAAAAAAAGATAAATAACCGCATTAGTTGTGTATGGACTATTGGGTCATATAATTTAAATCGGACCACCTTAATGTGTAAATACATGTATAAAATGTTTTTGATAAATATGTAAAACTTACAAGCTAGACAAAATGGACATCAATAGATAATACTGCCGAGGCATACATAAAAATACAGATGATAAAATCGTAAACACTTTGAGCGTGCTAAGAGAAACTAGTCAATCTCTACGTTAATGGTAAGTAATAATGCTGATCGCGTTGTCGAATGCACAGAATGCAAAACTAGGCAAGAAATGCTACTGACTATGGTAATTAAATGAGCACACACTTGGAGCGGTACGGCTGCAGGGGCCAATTTGTGGTCTCTGTTTGGCACACAACCCATTGAATTCAATTGATTTCAATCGATCCTCCTCCTCTTAGTCGAAGGCCGCCTTGCGGGTGAACGAGGTGAGCGAAGAGATCTCGCTGGGATTGGAGTCCGATGGCAAGTGGCTGAACTCGATCTCCTCGCTGGCCGCCGAGGCAACAATATTCTCGTTTGACTGTGTGGTCTCGTCGCTCTGGTGCATTGTCGGCCATTGCTTGTGGCTGGGGGCGTACAGGATGAGCAGGGCGAAGATGTAGATGTTCCACATTCCGTATACGCCGGTCAGGAAGGCGGATGTTAGCTGAATCTCCACACTGTCGTTCCAGTCCCATTGACCCTCGGCCATTTGTCCCATTATGAATCCGGCGACAGTCAGAGCAGCACACACAAGAGTGGCCAGCATCAGGAATTTGAAGCGGTAGATAAGTCCTGAAATTGGGAGTAATAAAATGTCGTATAAGTATGTTTCATGATAACATTAAATTTGGCTTTTATGGGAAGACTCTTATGTGAAGAAAAACAAACTGTGAGTACACCGAATATAATGTATGAACTGTGCTTCACATACCTTTGCCATTTATACGATCTATATACATTGAGTATAAGAAACCATTTGAACATTTCCACCATAACCGTATTTTATTGACCAAGGGGGCATCACGAACTGTGACAACTGATTAATAATTTAAAATAAAAACTCTACATCACTTAAAAAGAAAATAACTTATAAGAATATCTGAAAACTTTCCATGTCTTAAAATTTATCAGTCATAAACTAACTTATTTCGAAATAGTTTTTTATTAAAAAGTAATATATATCAAACACAAAAGTTTCAGAGATTCGGAGAGGAAAAATTAAATAAAATGCCTTTGGGGAACTCACCTTCGTAGTGGAGTCGCCGCGCCTGGGACATGGATGGCAGCGAGGTGCGCTTGTCGCCAATGTTCCTGAACACCTTCCAGATCATGTAGCACAGAAAGAGGAAGTAAATGGCTGCCGAAACGCCGGCCAGCACAATGAAGGTCATGGCCACCTTTGCGCCCAGTGGAGTGGTCCAGATGGAGTAGAAGGGATTGCGCAGCTGCACGCCCCTCTCGCAAATATCAAATACGAACAACGAGATGCAGCCCACCACGACAGCCGAAAGATGTTTCCAGTAGCGCGAACGAATCGTCGACTTATTCGGGGAATCCTGGATGAGCATGTGCTCACCGGCAAAGACCAGCCAAAACGAGAGCAACATAGCGTAAAAGATTCCCTGACGGATGTCACTCAGCAGCAGCATATACGGCATCTCGAAGACCAGCGACAAGTACTCCAGCGGCAGGTTGAGGAAGGTCAGAGCGGCACCCAGGTAGATCAGCATGTACTCCAGCAGGGCCGGCGAGCGCTGCAACAGGTGCACCCGTCGCCAGAACCAGATCATAATGCCCACCACGAAGGGAAAGAGCACCGTCTTCAGCAGCAGCCAGATCTGGGTGAATCCTCCGTTCTGATGGATGGCCGTCAGCGTGAGATCGTGCATGTGCCCGAACTGCAGGTTCATCTGGCGTGGTGTGTCTAGCGGGAAGCGCAAATTCAGCAGATAGAAGCTGTGGTGCAGGGCGCCAAGTTCGAACAGGGGGATCATGTCGCAGGAGTAGAGGGTTTCCGAGGGTCCCACATGTGAGGTGACGCAGTCCAGGTACCGGTGCTCTACTCCGTGGGCATACAATTTCCAGCCGTTGTCGGGATCTCCCTTGTTTCGGTACGCGAGGCGCATATCGATGGTCAGCTGCAATTCCCTGGGAGGTTCACGCAGTTCCGATGACGAGTCATACCCAAATTCCACCTGTAGCACCCCAATCAGGTTCTGCTGCCAGCGGGAGTAGTCCAGGTCGCGAAGATCACGTGGCAGAGGCATTTGGAAGACGTGCACCAACTCGTTGGCCATCTTCATGGAGTCCCGTTCCACTTCCTCTCGGGTCACTGGGATACAGGCTCCAACGCCGCGTGAGTATAGTAAGAATCCGGTGTCGTTCTGGCGCGTGTGATCCTCGCGACATAAAGATCCCAGGACGGTGACATGACCAGCGGGCAGGGGAGCGTATAGACCGCCTAGCAAGAAGCAGAGCACCTGGCACAACAGCAAACTGGCCACCAATATGGACAGCTTGCGGCCACTTAGGTTCTCCAGTATGGTGCCCGACATCTTGGTTTTCCGAGCGATTCGAGCTCACTGGTTCACTGCCCTGCGTTCGTTCTGTGTATACAAATAGTGGGGCGTAATGTAAACAAATTGTTGCACTTGAAAATTACACTTCAAACGCGCCGCCGTCGCCGCAAACAGAAAAAATCCAGAACCAAGAACAACAAAAAGGTGTGACCCTACTTGGACTTTTGAAATAATACAAACGCTCTCTAAAATATACCGAAACTACCTCAATACTGAAATATACCGCACACTTGTTTTGTAAACTTATGTATTTGAAAAAAAAAATTTTTTTACTTTAATTCTTAATTTTTTGGTAAGAGGTCCTTCTCAGCTGTGGCGATGTGGCTGACACCTTGTAACAGGTCAAGCTTTGTCATCTTTAAGGCGGTGTCACGGGAAAGTCGGAGCGTCCCCAACAAAAGGACACGCACATATGTATGTACTTTCTTAAAGATTTTTTCCACTCCTGGATGCGGGAGATGCTGCGTACTGGTGGCTTACAAGTCATAAAGCTTAATTGTTAATAGTTTTGATGTATGTATATAGTAGATGTTTCAAGTGGATTTATTTCTCCCATTGACAGTCGTTTAAAAATCCGAGACAGGTTTGAACTTCTCGAACCGCAAAATGACGAGGTTGCCCCATCAAGGCGGGGGTTCCACAATCAGCTGTTTGGGCTTTCCAGCTGACATCGCCAAACAGGTGGGCAAAGGCTAAATGTTCTGAACTTTGCAGCGGGCGCACGGAATATGGGACCTCTCCAGGTGAGTTATTTAACTCTTAAGTGTTTGATAAATCTAGTTAAGCCTTCTATTTTCGATCTCTTAGCGTGTACGGCAGCTGCTGAGCCTGGGTAGCCGGATCCGCAGTCGAAGGCCCATCCATGAGCAGCGGGATGCGCCTGCCCAGAAAAGAAGGGTTCCGGTCTTGCGACTAAGTCTTCTGGCGGTCGGAGCTGGTGCTTTGGGATACGATGGAGTAGTGAATGACTTCACTTACTGTGGAGCCTCTGTGCGTTTCGTACGATCTCTGAAAACCGCCGGATTGATAGCAGCCGACTATCTGAGGCTGGACGAAAACGATCCAGAGTACGAGACCAAGGTGAAGGTACTTCACAAGAAGAGCGCCGAACGATTGCTGGAGACGTGCCTTCTCAACGGCGGCTTATACATCAAGGTGGGCCAGGGATTCGCCGCCATTAATCACATCCTGCCCGTCGAGTACACCAGCACGCTGTCGTTGCTCCAGGATCGCTGCCTGCCCACCACCCAGGCGGATGTGCAGAAGGTCTTTCGCAAGGATTTCGGCCAGTTGCCGGAGGATATATACCAGGAGTTCGACTATCGACCCGTGGCGGCCGCCAGTTTGGCACAGGTCTTCAAGGCAAAGTTGCCCAGCGGCGAACAGGTGGCCGTCAAGGTGCAGTACAACGATCTCCAGAAGCGATTCATCAGCGACCTGGGCACCATCATCTTCCTGCAGGACATTGTCGAGTTCTTCTTCAAGGACTACAACTTCGGCTGGATCCTGAATGATTTGCGAAAGAACCTGGTGCTGGAGCTAAACTTCTTGCAGGAGGGCCAAAATGCTGAGAGATGCGCCAAGGACATGGCGAAGTTCACCTATGTTCATGTCCCCAAGGTCCATTGGTCGTATACTAAAACGGTGAGTTAATATAATTTTTTAATAGATTTTTTACGACTACTATAAAACTGTTTTATGTTTAATTTAATTTTTTTATTTTATATTTTTAGCGCGTACTCACCCTTGAGTGGATGGACGGCTGCAAGATTAACGATCTGAAAACAATAGCAAAACAAAAACTTAGCCTAAAGGACATAGATGTAAAGCTGTTTAATGCCTTTGCCGAGCAGATTTTCTACACCGGTTTCGTACACGCCGATCCACATCCAGGAAATAGTGAGTTAACATATGATTGCAAGTATAATTTCTATCTCTATTATCCCTTATTGATTTCAGTTTTTGTGCGACCAAATAGCAAAAACGGCCGAGCGGACATTATTCTTCTAGACCATGGCCTTTACGAAGAACTTCCCCAGAATGTGCGTGGACCTCTCTGCGAATTCTGGGAGGCCACCGTTCTGCGCGATGAGGCAAAGATGCAGGCGGCCGCTGAACGGATTGGAATTGCCGACTACATGCGCTTCGCGGAAGTGCTTTTCCAGCAGCCCCTTCGCAACCGAGGTGGCCGCATCCGTGGCAAACTGTCGCAGGAGGACATCGATCACATGCAGGAGATCGCCAGGAAGAACTTTGAGCACATTATGGGCACCCTGAAGGAGATGCCCAGGAGTATGTTGTTTGTGGTAAGTCCAATGGTTAACTGACTTCAAGTTAGGATTAGTACACTTAAACATCCAGACTTTTTGTGAATTTATGTTAATATATTTTTACCAAACAGGTCCGCAATCTTAACACAGTACGAGCAATAAGTCACCAGCATGGGGACGTTGTTAATCGGCCTCGAGTAATGGCCCGCTATGCCCAGAGGGTCCTTTATACTCACGACGGCCGATCGCCCCTACAATATATCCGCTGGCTCAGCAGACGCATCTACTTCGAGTACTGTCTCTTCTTATCAGCCTTCAAACTGCGTCTCTTCGACTGGTACTTCAACATCCTCTATCTACTGGGACGTGCTCCTGCCTCGGCCAGAACTGTAATGAGGGATATCATGCAGCCCCCGGAACCAGAGATGCTGAGATGAGTGCTCACCTGCTTATCATAATATATCCTAAATCATAAGTTGTAAAATGTATTTTCTAAGTAAATGTTGTATGTAGCCTAATCTTCCATTGACTTATTCTCAAACATATTTAACCTGTGCATTTAAAATTCTTAAACCCATGACAAATTGGCCTTAATATTGTAACAAATTTGAATGAGAATGAGTCGGTAATAGATGTATATTTATTTTGTAAGTCTATATTGTATAAAAGCCTTTGGACGCTTTACTATAATTGGAAATTACGGTGTAGGAATTGTGAATAAATTGTAAAGTGCAATGCTTGACTGCTTGTCAAAAGGGAAGATTTCGTTTCCTTGTCCTTAACGACCCTTCAAGCCACTATCCTTCAACACTTGGGCCGAGCTTGATCACTTCTGACACCCCAGGACTTTTCCCATTTCCCATTTTCCTGGCCAACCGAATGCGGCAATCGCTGGCAGTTAAGTTTTTTGGGAGTGCATGCCAAGTCTGGGACTTTAATAAAATTGCCGGTGACTTGCCCAAGGTTATAACCAGCCAGACAGCCAATCAGCCAGTTATTGGGCCACTTTCACTTCCATTTAGGCCCTCCCAAAAATTCAACAAATCAATCGCGGGGGAGCCAGCAGCACAGAAACACGAGTGCTGTCTAAATTTAAAATGGTTTGAGCAATACTGCGGTGGCCGCTGGAATGTCTTTCCGAGTGTATTATTGAAGTATTAACACCCGGTAATGTGCACACACCGTTGAGGGCGTACAGATGTTCCTGCCGCGAAATAGGCACAAATGGGCGTCAACTACACATTTCCGGTTGTGTGGAGCGACCTGACAGGCTGCAACATGCCAGATTCCAGCTGACTATAACCTCCACCTATGGCCAAACCCATGTCCCATGTCCTCCGGCCCTCTTGTTCCGTTATAACACTTTCACCTCCTGTGCCACATATATCGAGTTTCGTGTGCCGCACACAGAACTAAATTCAATTCAATTTCATTTAAAGTTACTTTCGCTGACTGACAGACAGCGAACGACCCTCTCAGCCTGAGCCTAAGTCCCAGCACAGTGGGGCAAAAAGTGTGGGGTCCTCTAACAAATTCTGGTATCTAAGATATTTCCATTTATTTAAGGAGAAAGTTTTTAAGTGGTATGTCAATATTAATTGATTAATTCTATATATAAACTTATTCTTTTTTAGTGTTTACTTTGACACTTTAATTTAGTATTCATAGTTAGTTATAGTTATATTAATTTTAGTGCACTTTTCTAATATGAGGTTTGTTCTTTTTCACCTTCTATTAAATATCAAAGAAAAGCTATATAATTTGTATATCCTTATGTCGTGGATTCGCCCCACTGTTACTAACTGCCACCTGACTAGCTTCTGTTTAGTTGCGCATACGCCCCGTGCGCCCACGACTAAATATGAAATTAAAAATCCATGCTGAAGTGTGAAATGCCTAGGAGCTGGCTGACTGGAATGGCGGCTGTCTGCCGTCGCCGTGCTCCCCACCACCACCATGTGCTCCATGTGCTCCTCCTCCTCCTCCTCCTCCTCCTCCTCCTCCTCCTCCTCCTGCTATTTCAAATCCCAGCTATGGCTCGAGTTTGGAGCCCGGAACCGTGTGCTCGGCGAGAAATCATTCGCCAACGAGTCGCAGAGTGGAGCAAAGGTCTCTAGCGGAAACGGAAATCAGCAGCTAATTAGAAAGGCTCAAAAAGAGAAAAAAAAAGAGAAATGAACAAGGAGTTCATCACGCAGGGCGGCACGCCCATTACCGCAGAACTGGCCACGGTAATTAGCACACACTAGTTATCCGGAGTCGGACGCGATTTGATCCTGCAGCTTGTGTGTGTCGTTTTGTCTAGGATCTGCGCAATCTGGTTTTCGGTACGGCCGCCATTCCAATGCGCGCCGAATGGCTGCAGACGTCCTTTGTGTTTGGCGCCCAGAAGGAGGAGTTGGCCTACGGTCTCCGTTCCCCACGGAATGCCACTCGTGGTCTGTTGTCCGTCGTCCAGGGATTCGTACTGAAGTATCTGCTCTTCGCCCGGAAGACCAGTCGCGTCGCTTCGCTAACCGAGTGCGTTTCCATTTCCAATTCCGTTTCCGTTTCCGGTTGAAGCGGCGGCCATTTTAAGTGGATTATCCCATTGTGGCTGAGTGTGTGTTTGTGTTTCTTTTTTAGTCCACTCCTGGCCAACGCTGAGATGCAGCGAGAGGCCCTCTTCTGCGCCCTCCTGGAGATCCTGCGCACCATCTCGGACAAGGGCAAGGTCACCATGGTGCTGCCCTCGGAGGACGAGGTGTTCGTCGACCACAGCGCCTGCTACTTCCACGACTCCGTCACCGAGAAGGTAGGAGTCATCCATCATTGCATAACTAAAACTTATTGATTATACAATAAATCGCTTTTGGAAATTCCCTACCAATATCCATTTAAACTTAACACTTATTTTAAAGACTCAATTTCTTTTTAATTTAAAGGAAAACATTGTTGTCTACGATTTAAACTGAATACATTTTTACTATTTTCTAAGAACAAAGTTTTAATCTTTTCGGAATTATCTTTTACTATTATTTACTATTTACTATTGTAAGATTTAAATTGAAGAATTCCGAAACATTTAGAGTTAATACATGATTTTGTTGTATAAAAAATCTCGTTAAAAACAGAAAACATAAATTTGATTTAACTTCATAATTTTATTAACCTTTAAAAGTAAATAACTAGTAAATTTAGCATCCTAAGTTTCTCTGTTTAATTATGTTAGTTTTCAGGCTTTTTATTTATGTAAAATATATTTATAAGTCAGATACCCCTACAAAATATCGATACTCAAAAATAAATATTTATACATTTTTTTCGTTCTTTAAAAATTTGCATTGTTCTAATAATCTCTTCCAGCTTTATCTGTTTACACTATCACCCAACGAGGAGTTGGAATACTTTATGAAGCGAAACTTCAAATACGTAAGACCCAAAAAGCTAACTGATTATTGAAAACCCTATTTAATCAAAGAGTTTGTACTCAATCTACCGAAAAGTTTACAGAAGAGGAGACACCGGGAACTCTGCTGTTTCTTTATAGCGCCGTCCTCACGAGATCCATGGGAAAGTAAGATTGGGCCCAAGTGTCTGTATATGCGAAAGCAACCCTTTCTTTCAGAGACCCTTTATAATGCATTATCATTTACCTTTCGGCGGTGAATACTTTCGAATGTTTTGCAGAGTTCGCACTGACATCGATTCAGCGAAATCCGCACCATTGACGTCGAGCAACCACGAGGAGGGATCTCTGATGATTGTCACCCTTTTGCTGACGGGCAGAGCCACGCCCTATATACACAACGGAGTTGTAAATGTGGGCGACGAGAGTAGCTATGTGGGTACCAGAAATCGGGAGAATATTATTTAGAAACTTTCACCAATGGGAATGGGTTTAATCTTGACAATTTCAGGCAGTGCCACAGTATGGAGTCCTGAAACGTTGCATGATCGGTCTTTTGCTCTGGGACATTGAATCGGCTAGTGTAAGTTTATATTATTTGGAAATAACAATTAAACACAGTTAAACATTTATTAAATAACACATACATATAAGTATAAAGCAATAGATATAATTGAATGTTCAACCGAATCCCTACAATCAACTAAAACCTCAAAACAATTAAAAACATTGCTTCTCAAAGTAACGAATGAAATACATTTATTTGTATTGTAATTTAAATTTAATTGAGTTAAATGTATCAAAATGAATTTATATTTTATTTTTTATAATTGATTTATGAAAATTGTAGGGCTTACACTAAATAATTTCAATACTTATTGATTTAATTTTCAAGGCTATAAAACTTCCATAAATTGACTTGGTTTTTTTTTTTTTGTATCTTTCCAACCAGGCTGCTGTTAATCAGTCCCGCCAGCCGGGCTCCCGTCTGAAGACGCCGAACTACCCGATCTGGATAACCAGCTGCACGGGCCACTACGGCGTGATCTTCAACAAGAACCCGGACCTGCTGCGCAACTACCACGCGGAGTCGCGATTCGATGTGAACTACTACAGCTGCTCCGGCCACCAGATCCTGATGACCATCGACAATCGCACGTACAACGAGCAGGCATTGGTCATGTTGGAGCGGCAACCAATCACGCCGGAGAGTGCCTCGATGTCCGGAAAGGAGGAGGGGGGCGGTGGCGCGACGTCGCCAACGGCCGTTTCCGGAGGCGGAGGCGCTGCTGCCGGCGGCGGTTCGGGTGGCGCTAGCGGCGGTGTTGGTGGTGCTGCTAGTGGCGCTAGCGGTGGTAACGATGTGGTCGCCAAGGAGGAGTCGACGCTCAACACCCCGTTGCAGCGTCTGATTCGTACCAAGTGGGAAGAGGCAACTATAAGCTTTCACGTGCAGCCATCGATGTTGAGTTATCTTTTTAGTACCACGCAGTAGAATGCAGGATCCAAAGGCTATATACTATCAGCTACAAAGCTATAGGAGCTCCTTTGCTAAAGTCAGATAAAATATTTAAAGATAAAAGATTAGTTTTTGGGTTGGTTCAAGCTTAATCGTAGTTACATAAATATTTTATAAAGAAGGAATTGAGTTAAATTTTGAAAAGTGTTGATAAGCTTTTTATTGCAAAACTAAATAAGTTTAAATAATATTTTTGTATAACATTTTTGTTATAAATTTGTAGGAAAGTTAATTTAAAGGATCTCATACCCAAAATTATTACTTTAATTTTATTTAACTTCATCGCTATTCATTTAAGCATGTAGGCTTGTTATGTTGTCTCTTAATCTATGATATAAATCGACTTTCTTGGCGAATGACCAATGCACCAAAGAATATAAACAACTATCTATATAGACTGTTTCTATTCGCAAATCAAACAAGTAAGTTTCAATTCCAAGTAGTATAAAATATTGTAGGCACTGAAAATGAGCAGAAAAAGTTTTCTCTAAATATTCCTAAATCACAAAACTTCTAGAGTTCTCAATACATATTTTTCCAGATTACTTCTATTATAAGAAAAAGGTATCCGAATGGAGTTTTCGATTAACTCAAAAAAATGATATTATGTAGATTAACATACTTACCAGATTAGTGCCATATAATGTAAGCTTAATAGATGATGCACGAGACTATAAATTAGCTAGCACTAAATGAAGTAGAATTCTACTGTTGCTGTCCATCCGATGGAAAATCCGTATTGGTATTTTAAAAAGATATGATTGGTTGAAAATCCAAAGTCGAACCAAAGCAGCGATGGTAAATACACGTAAAATATTCCAAGTAACTGATCGAATGCGAACGAGCTAAGGCAGATTTATGAAAAGCGGGGAGAATCCTTGGCAAATCTTCAAAAATCTGCCTGATTGAGGCCTCTCTTTACGGGAAGAGCGACTGCAGGACTCTAAACCAGTTGATTGATGCTGCCGCCTGAAGCCACTAGACGATATATATTATATTATCACATTCTGTGTAGATCACCAACATGCTTCGATTACTTCAATCGCACTTTTTCGATTTTGTCAAGACTCTGTTCAAAAATAAAAGCTCATGTACAACCTCTGCAAACAAAAGTATTATTTATTCAGAAGGAGAAATAAAACAATTCGTTGATTATTTTGAAAATTGTTAAGAAAATTGTATCAATTTATTGAAAGGTATTTGTATTTTGTCAAAAAATGATTGAAGTTCCTTGCTATAAGTCCTCTCAGGTTTAAACATTGTATGTTGTATAGTTTACTTGAATAAGAGAATAGTTTTAGACTTTAATCCGTATCTTTAGTATTCATTGAAACATTTTGAGATATTCTTGAAAAGGTTTAAGTTGATTTTCTTGCGTTCTTGAGTTCATCATCGAGACTCCATTGGTAATTTATTATTTTTTGTAAGATTTTCGTAAGTACCTAACTAATTGTTTTGCGGCTTATCGTATTCCATATTCAATTGTATAAATTGTATAAATTTCGTAATACCATTTTGTCATAGGTTTTCTCACATCCCTGCGCTTCTGCTCCCTGCTTTTTGCGGGACGTGTAAAAGATTTGGTTACAATATTTGGTGATTATTATTTACATGTAGGCGATTTCAGTGCAGTTCATAACTTCAATATAAATTTCTTTATAAACTTAACTTATCGTACTTATGAGTAGTGAAAAAGTGTTGCGTTGGAAACCCGTTTTTTTTCGGAAAAACAAAAACGCACATCTCGAGCAAACAAAAAGGGATTAGATTCAACAAAAAAACAAGTAGTGCTGAGCGCTTAGAATGAAATTGATTTTCGGCAAACTTTTTTGAGCCATTCAGTCCCATTAGCCGGAGCCATTACAATGTTTAAATTGTGTCCCCTTCGTCCTGTTCGTGCAATTTCAGTGCAGCACGCGATCTGGATTCTTCGAGGGGGAAAAAAAAGGAGGCTCATCCTTGCACGAGTTATCTGTGCCACTCGCCTCGAAAAAAAACATCCGTGTGTCGGCATGAATTATTGAATGGCTTGGCCCGCTTTCGGGTGGGAAATTCGTGGAAATAAGTTTTTGTTGACACCTTGCCCTAATTGATTGTTGATGTGGTGGAGGCCTTGACCTCGAGGTCCTCCGCCTGTCGCATGTGATTGAATTTTCCCCAGGGGAATGTTGAATGCAAAACTTGAGGCGCTTTTTCTTTTGGTTTGTTGGTCTAGGAACATCTTATCCAATTCGTTGCTAAAGTTTGGTGTTGGTGTTTTTTTTTTTTTTTTTTTTGCTGAGAAATCAGTTGTAACTTAAGGAGTACAAAAAATATATAGCACAATATGTCTAAGCTTAAATCAATCTTTGCGATTATTTACAAAATAGTCGTGGACGCAGCGATATGATACAAAATAGTTGTTGCTTAATGATAATGATAAGGTATTTGCGGTAATACGGATTACGAGTTACGGGGTCAAACTCGGCCTACGGTGCATCTAATCAAATTATCGTAGAGGTCAGTGCGCTTAGAGCCTAGCTACGCGTATGATTATGGTAATAATGTACACCGACTGCTGATCTGATCAATTCTGATTGGGTTTACCCGTGCCTTGGGTTGTACCTGTACAACCCGTCGAAGGCCACGGTCAAAATGGGCGTGAGCCACCCACCGGCGGTACGGTACGGTGGCCCCTAGCTAAGCCTAACTAGCTAACTACAGTCAATAGCCCTACGGGCGCACCAGCAGCCTGTCTATGTGCTCCAGGTTCGTGTTCTTGTAGCGCGTCCTGTTCAGCGCCTGGGCGGGCGCGTTCTTCTTCGTCTGCGTGTGCCAGGTGAGGATCTGCAGGATAAGAAGTGTTTATTAAAGGATATAGTTTAATAGTTATAATATATATATAATAGGTATATATATTAGGTAGGTAGATAGGTATATATAAGGTATTAAGCAAATAAAACATTGGAAATATTAATTGGCGAAGTCTTAAATTAGATTTGAAACGAAACAAGAATAAAATACTAATACCAGGGTAGGATCTTTAGGAGAATAAATGTTTATTTAAAGGATATAAAGGAGAATAAATTTAATTTATGTAAAGGATACACTTTAATAGTTATAATATATATATAAAAGTTATAAAAGGTTTAAAGCAACCTCAACATTTCAAATATTGATTGACAAAGTCTTAATACAGATTAGAAACAAAAAAGAAAAATAAAATACCAAAGTAAAAGTTTCCAAAGCAAAGAACGTGCAAACTAATTAAAGATTCAAGGCACTTTAAAATTTTAAATTAAAGTATTTCCAGATTAAAGTAAAAACCCAATTAATATACAATGTATATGAATTTCTTATTTTATATTACTCACATCCCGGCAATCGTCGGCCAGCAGCTCGATTTCAGTATTATCCAGTGGCGCCAGACTGCGAAGGAAGCCGTCCTCCTCGTATCCAGGCTTAAATGGCATCTGGGCATTCGGGCGCTCCTTCAGAAACTTGACGCTCACTGCAAAGCCGGCCATGTCCACGGGATACTTGCGACCTCCGATCCAGCCATCGTAGTAGCCCACCAGCTTGCCGTCCTGGATTATGGGACTGCTCACTCCGGTCTTCGTCACTAGGCCCACTGGCCACATGGCCACTTTGGTGGTGTAGCGCATCTGAAAGAAGAATATATTAACTCTGTTATATCCTTGCAATGAAACATCTGAATTTTATATAGAACCAAGAAGGGAAGTTACCCAATTGCTACTATAACAGCTATATAAGATCGATTTTAATGAAATTTAATTCATTTATGTATTTATATAAAATCAATTGAACTAATTTTATTTTAGAGGAATGCCACATCAAAATCTGATTAAAATTAAAAACGTTATGGCATTAGAATTACTTTTTTGTTCAATTTTCAGCAAAACCATTTTTGTCTCCTTTGTCTCCCTCTGCAAGGGTATAAAAACAATTTCTTTTTAAATTAACTTATTTTTTGTACTAAATGGGAATTTAAAAAATTGCTGGTTTGCTTAACATTTGATCTCATTATTTGGAATGGAGAATAAACTCTTACCCCAGATTTAGTTTACAAAAGGAGCACCTACAAAGTAATTGAAATTCTTTAAACTACAATTTAATTCATTGTTATAAATGGTTATCCCTTGACCCTTGGTTCAGGTGAATTGTGGTTTATGTGAGAGAGGGTCAGTGGGCAAGTGGCCCGCCCACCTGCTGCTTCCTGCCATTGCTTCTCACCTGTTCGAATATGCTAATGTCGTAGGTGTTGTCGTCGTCGGCGAAGTAGAGCACTCCCTCGGTGGCATTCCTGCGCAGATACTCGAGGCCCCGATTCCGATTGGAGACGCCACGCGGCTTCGCCCGCTTCGTCTGCTTGTACTTCTCCGGCATGGGAGCTACAAAATAAAAATGGAGAAACACCCGGAGTGATGTAGTAACCCGTAAATATCACTTGAATGTGTCCCAAACACGGAATAACAATACTCACCAACCATGTACTCGTAGGGCACGCCGATGCGATCCAAGGTGTGCGCCACCAGGGGATTCGTCTTGTTGGCATCCTCGATGACCAGCCAAAGGAGATTGGTCACATGCTTCAGGGTATAACCGAGTCGGGTCAACTCCGCCGTCTGCTCGGGTCGTCGGTAGGTGGGCGTGATTATGTACAGTGGCGGCTGTGGGTCGAGTTTTGGAGAATTGGGTTGATTTGAGTCGAGTGTCATTAGGTTATCTAACGTCGCCCGTCGCTCTGTACAACGGGGCGTATGTGTGTGCACTGCACTTGGACTGGTTACTCGATGGGCAAGGTGGCTAGGTGGCAAGGTGGCTAGGTGGCAAGGTGGCAAGTGGGTTGCTGGGTGGCTAGCTACGTGGTTTGAGTGCCTAGGTGGTTGGGTGGCTATCTGTTTGGGTGTTTGGCTGTTGTTTGGGTGGCCGAGTGCCTCGTTAGGTGCCAGCAGTGGGTGGGTGGTGCGTAATGCGGCGTGAGCTTCTTTTTATGAGCAATTATGCAAATTAATTTACAGCCCAATGGCTTGACAAGGCGAGCAAGCCACATCCGCCCATCGCCGTAAGTCTCAGTGAGCCTAGGCTCTGGCTCGGCAAAATAGGTCGCATTTCGCCAGTTAAAGGCACTCGGGAAAAAGTTTTGCATATTTGCTAAAAATACGTACGTAGTTTTTGCAAAAATGTTTAATGATATGGATGAAAAAATATAAGTAAGAAAGGCTTTAAAGAGTTTATTTAATAACAGTTTCTAAAAGAATTTCAAACTTTATTTCCCATTTGTAAAATGTTTACTTTTTTAATAGTTTATGACTTTGGGTAAAACCTATCATGAATTTCAGTTTTTTTTTTTTTTTTTTTTTTTTAGAAATATATATTTTTTCCGAGTGCCCTTTCCCACACACATATGGTGCATGTGTATACTAAACACCCGTTCTAGATATGTTGTGCCTGTGAACCCGTGGCCCATTGAACGACTGACGTTGAAAATAAATAAACTGGCGCACTCACTTTGCAAATTGTCCATTGTTGACACACATGCACCCACATCCCACCTCCCACAACCCACATCCACACCCATCGCATGCAAGGGGTGGAAAATAAAAAATGCATTCAAATTTATTTTGCAAAATAAACTGGGATATTCAAATGAAAGGAGATACATAGGTTGAATCGAGGGGTGGGATGGCATGCAAAGTAGCTACGTGTTTACCACATGTAGCCTATTTACATTTTATATGCTCCAATGATTTCCTATAGTATCCCAAACAAAACATGGAATATGGCACAATATAGTATCTTTAATAAAACAGTAAGATTAACTATGAAATAACAGATCTTCTAATATTTTATCCTTAATTTATTTCAATTTAAATAATAAAGGATCATCATGTTAGATAACTAACATATGGTGCTTAAAACCTATTTTCATTCCCTTAAGGTTTTCTTAATGCTCCTCTGAAGCTTTAATGAAATTATTTATATCTGATTAATTTTCAGTAAGTTTCTTGAACATTAAAACTTTAAATTCCGTTGACATTGAGTCTGAAAGGCAGTGGAATCACTATAGTTGCATCTACTAAATAACAGAAGCCAACAAATGCGCGTGAATCTTTTCAATTGGCCTGCATTTTGTATTTTGCATAAATCTGGAATCTAGAATCTAGAGCAACCACCGACCGCACTGCCCAACTCTCCACCACCCCATTTCTTTGTTTAATTTCAATGCTAGTAATTTTCGTACATTTTTTTCAGTTGCAACTTGATGCGGTTTTGGTTTTTTTTGTTCTGCGTGTACATTAGACCAATTTTTAAATTAGGCTCATGCAAAATGGTAAATGAGAAAACCTTTTTGTTGCAATCGCCCGCCCGCAGATAAAAAGGCTTGTTGGTTAATATAATACAGGTGATTAACCCAGAAATCGTGATACAGATAGCCTGCAACCAATTTGCACATGGGGTGGCCAACAAAAGTTGGTTAGATAAATAGTGCAATTTGTGCCGGTCAGCGTCCCTTTGTGTTGTTTGCTCAGCGAAGTCGGTTGGTAATATATTCCCATTTAGGATTTTAATGAGACTTTAATTAACGTACGACTGGCAAATTTGACTGGGCAAATGTGGGGCACATTTGTCACCTTGTTTATTTTGGTTTTAGCTTGGTTTTAGCTTGGTTTATTTAATGGCAAAATTTGCAGATATGCGGTTTTCTCCAACAAACGTAAAATGTACTATCCTATCAGAAGGAAATTTTAAGTGCTTTTTAACGATTTCTTAACTACTAAAAAAAACAAAACTTGAACTGATAGTTAAAATCTCGATATTGTTAAAGTTATATTCCGTACTGCAAAGTCAACTAATATTTTAAAATAAGTTTTGCAAATAGTTTTTTTTTAAATAAGAAATTATAATTCAATGTTTAAATGGAACAACTCTCATAACCTTTTTTGTTCAATTAATATTTTAATAACCTATATTTATATAACCTACTAAACTAAACTTCATAATATAGTGAAGTGTTATATTTAAAACACAACCCCAACCCTAAGGAAATATACATACATTGCAACATCCAGACTCATTCAGTATATAGTAGTATATATCGTAATGACTAGCGTGCAACGCACTTGCAAAACGCAAATGGCAATTAAGAAAATTAAAAAACGGGGTGAAGAAAAGCGATAGGGGAGCAACCAGAAGGTTTCCAGTGAGTAGTGAGTATTGAAAGGGAAACAAGTGTGACATTCAGTTATCGAATGATGACAAGCAGCCCAACCACACAAACATTTGACATCACACAAACAATGGGTTCAAACATGCAGTAAACAAGTGAAAATAATATGCAGATAAGCTTGAAAAATGCACTTCCGAAGATTAAAGCGAAATAAGTGAAATGAGGGAGAAAAACATAGTGTAATATGTTTGGTTAGTTGCGGGTGTCACTAAGAAAAAAACTTGTATTCATAATCAAGAACAGAATTATATTATTAGTGGCGAATCCATTTAGATCCACTTATAAAAACATAAATACATAATTTTTTTGGGAGTTTATTAACGGATATTACTTTACTTTACTTTCCTTACTTTACTTTACTTTCCTTACTTTACTTTACTTTCTTTGTATAAAACAAAGAATTTTTAAAGTTTAGCGAATTTGTTGATTAAGTATTTAATAACATGGAATTTTTTGAAATTTATTTAAACAAAACCATCGCCTTAAGTTTATTTAATTTATTTTTAATCTTTCAGTTAGCTTCCCTTGATTTGAATAAAGTTTTTTAAAGTGTACTTTAGGTGGGGGTGCTCGGATTGGGTTACGATTATGTCAATATATTTACGGGTTCGGATGCGGCAACGAAAGTTGTTCGAGACTTATGGCCCTTATCCAAATGGGAGGCAGTGGGCGTGGCCGCGGATGTTTTGGCGCTTAGTTTCGCTGTAGCTGTTATGGCCGTTGTTGTTAATTTGTTTGTTGCCAACCCACTGGCTGCTGATGTTGTTGTTGTTCTTGTTGTGGATGTTGTTGTTGTTGTTTTTTTAGTGGTTGCAGTCTTTCGATGGCCACCCACCACCAAACCCGATCTTAATTCCGATGATGACGACGGTATAAATGTGGATCTGGTTGCCGCTAATGAAACCATGCGAATGGATGCGGAAGATGCACCCACTTTTTGGCCCATTGTGCCTGAAGTGGCTGTTGTTGTTGTTGTTGTTATTGGAGCTATTGTTGTGCTTGTTGTTGTGGAATTGGTATTAATGTTTGATGAGCCATTGGCCATTAACAGGGAAATGGGTGACCACAAATATGAGGCGATATATGAAGATGTTTTCTCTTGATGCTGAAGTTTAGTACGCAAAATGGATTGGATTGTTAAAAGGGAAAAATCGAAATAGAACAAGAACACATAGAAAACATTACAATAGTATATATTCTAGTTAGGTTCCAAAGTTACTAAAGGTTATTATTGGGTAAGGTAAGGTTATTGATAGCCTAGAGTAACGAACATCTACAAAAAAATGCGACCCTTCTTATCGAAATGTTTTCATGTAACTTCGTTAAAAACATTCTTTTTTGTTCTTTTTGTTTTAAGCACGTACAACTCTAATCAGCACTCTCATTCTCCACCCTCAATTTACAACCTACAATTTTTTTCGTTCTTCTAGTTTAATAATATCTCTATCTTTTTTTTAATTGCAGTCCAGAAGAAGTAACAAATTGTACATAATCTGTAAAGATTATTTTTATGTTTCCTGCTTTTCTTAGTGGGGTTTTTAGCTCCAACAAATATCGCCAACTTTTGTTATCTTTACTAGACCACTTTAGGTTACCTGCTAGCAAAGAAAGCATTATCTTTTTCAAAAGGTTCACATTGTAGTTACCCGGGAATAACTTAATTTCATTTACGTAGAGTTATCAAAAAAAGTTACAAAAACGAAATTGGTTTGTGCACTTAGTCAGCATTGTTAGCTTCAAAACGACCTTTCTCAACAAAAAGTATCTACTACAATTTTGTATTGGTTTTCGAACAAATCTAATCAGCACTTTCAGCATAAAAACAACTTACAAAATATTTTTGAAAAACAACGAATGTGTTAAGATAAAAATACCTTCAATTTAATTAATTTTATTAATTTATATAAAAAATACGCAGTTTTTAGGCAATTGGCTTGACTGGGTTTAGATAAGATTATTGAATTAGTAGATTCCATACGACTCTAACTCAGATAAATATGATAGAAATACATATAGTATGTAGGTGACGAGTGACTGAACAGTAAACGAATTTGAAGTTTCAAAACACACTATGTTTAAGGAAAACCAATTTTAATCTTATTCTAAATTTTTTCCTATCTAAGCTATTAAAATGGTCTACGGGTTGTCTAATTTGTAATAAGTACATACAATTGTTATATATATAATAAAACATTTTACTTTTTATTAAATTCAATATATATATTAAGACTTAAGAAACATTTTCAAAATTGCTAGAGCGTTTCCAAATTATTAAAAACAACATTTTCGATATGGGGAGAAACGAGCAGTGCACTTTTTAAAGGGAAACCAATTAGAAAACAGACAAAAACAAAGAATAATAAATATAATTGTTAACCCACTTATTTAGAAGTCAGAATTATAAAAGTGGTCTTCGTTTTATCTAATCCATATTAAATATCTAGATAATGAAAATTCTTTAATGAAAACAAATATGGTATGCACATAGAATATATAGTATGTAGTATATTAATATTAATTTGTTTATTCACTTTTTAGATTATATTTCTGACATATTTCCCATTAATCAAAATTAATATTTGAGTGATGGTAAAAAAACAAGTTTTTCAAGCAGTGCATTGGCCCACTCACCTTGACAACTTCGCTGGCGGCGAAGGGCTCGCGGGATATGTGGTACTGATAGAGCGCCATGTAGATGCAGGTGGTTAGTATGAAGATAGTTAGGTACATTTTGATGGATTTGCCCAGCGTCATTTTGCCGTTTCCGTTGCCACTGGCGTTGATCCCACTGTGCGTGCCGAGATTAATATAGTTGTAGCCCTTCATCCTGATTGCCAAAAAAATAACCGTTATACTTTAGATTGCTTCTCCACTTGCAATATGTGTTGGTGTTGCTGTTGCACGTGCAATATGTGTTGCTGTTGCAGTGGCAAGTGGTGATTTCTTTCGTGTTGGCCGCGTTACTCTACGTCTGTTTTTTGATTTCATTCGTTTGCCTTCGAATGTTATAATATATTTTTTTGTTTTGGTTTGGCCCTTTCTTTTTTTTTCGTCAACTTTGCTGTTTCGCTGCTTTAGTGGCTTTGATTCATTTCATGTCACTCCATTTACTGGCTTTCCGATTTGTTTCCAAGCTGCGCGCCGAACGGAAGGGGCGGGACGGACGGCAAAGGGGGCGGGGGGCGTGGCCGGGCGGGACGGTCGAAGATAGGGCGTGTGTAGCCAGCTACGCAACGAATTCTGGAATTGTATGGTTATTATGATTATGTGTTCTTTATCACATTTAGCCTTTGCTATGTATCCACATGTGCACATAAGTAGAAATATTTGTAGCACTGGACAGCGATATCAGCTTGGTGAATGATTTGCTTATATTATAGTAGTCCACAGTGTTGATAGTAAAAGTCGCACTTACAATTCATAAAACTATTCGAAACATTGGAGACCTGAAAGAGATGAAGAAAAACATATATGAATTAAGCTGGCAAAAAATTGTATTATTATATTTACAAAAAATGTATTTATTATTTGCAGTTCAATAAAAAATTCATTTCTACACGTTTTTATATAAATATATAAAAACGTATCCATAAACCAACCGACCGAAAAACCATGTTTTATCTATAGTTGTGCCAAAAATATACAGAAAAAATCTATCGTAATTGCCGTTTGGTTTGTCGTAATAAAAACTTTTTTTTAGGAGATATATAGTATTTATTCATAAACAAATAAAACATGGAGCAAGTGGCGAAGTCACTGATATGAAATAAATATTTTATCATGCTTTTTATTAACTGAAATATTGTATTTTTTAAATATTATCTTGATATTAATAAAACTTAACAAAATACTTCCGTATCACTGAATTTTATTATTATTATTATTATAGAATTTGTAAGTCCTAAATGTATTGTAAGCTCTTTACTTTATTAAATGACAATAAAATCCAATGGCTTGGAAAGAAATTGGTTATCAACCAACTATAATTCCCTAATTACATTGTTAGCTTGTTATTGGCCTATCAATGCAGTCTTTATTTGATTTGCCTAATTAATTGGCTAGAATGTGGTCAGAATTTTACTAAAAAAAGCAAACCAATTATATTATTTTTTGTTTGTTTTGTTTGAGTAATATAATATTTCATAATAATATTTACAATAGATTTTTTTATGAAACAATTTAATTGCAGATACTGCCACTTAAAAATGTAATTTGTGTATTATTTTAATGGGTTACATTTGGCCATGCAGGTCGGCTAATCACTTGTGCTTAAAGCAACGACCTCCTAACCACTTCGACTGCACTTTCCACTCTTCCATTGTAATTTGCGCAAAGTTGTTAACAACTGCCTGGGGAAATAAGAACAGGGAAATGGGAAAAGGGGGAGGAGGGTGGTTCGGGGGCCTATCAGCTGGTAACGGAAGTTGTTTTCCCCCAGACTGAAGCACATGCATTTCTATATGTATAATGTATAATGTATATTGCATATGAGGTTGTGTGGTACTGGCGATTCTTACAGACTTTTCCAATTATGATGGGGCGCGGCTGTTGGAGTTGGAGTCTCGCTCGCGTGTTTAAGCGTTTTAAAAACCATTTTCGCCGGTGCTGCCGCCGTTTTTGATATGAAAGTTCAATGGCCAATTGCAAATGTGCTGCGCTTTGCATGATTTCAACAAAGTTGGGCGCCGTTTTGTTCTTTGCTTTAGTTTAGTTTAATTTGGTTTTGTTTCTGTTTCTGTTCTGTTTTGTACTGGCTTCAATCTGGATGCAATTAAAGTCCACCCGCGGTTACGGAAGTAATTTGTAATTGTGTTTTTGCGATTATCTCTTGCGATATCCTTTGGGATCGCCCTTATAGTTTAACTACAGTAATAATCACAGTTTGCAGGGGTAATACTTTAATATGGTAAACCACTCAAGGCATTAAAAAGGTATATCAGATAAGATTTGCTATCATAAACTGTCGGCAAATCGTGACATCTGTTGTCTTTATCTATGGTTAGTGCAAAACGTATATACTTGGTTTATTATCACAATTGGTAGTATGACCAAGATTAAAATAAATAAAATATCATAAATATTTTTTTGACATTTTTAAAATCATATTTTCAATTACTCGTCGTTAAATGATACTTTGTTTAATCATTAAATTTGCCTTTTGATTTATGTTAGTCATTTGATATGTGTTTCTGAGAAATGTTACAAATTTAATAAATCCACAAGTAAAATGCAGCTAAGCTGACAAATCCATGAAATTGCATTTAATTTTCATTAGAAGACAACTCTTTATTGTCTTTTGCAAGCTGGAAAGCAATTTAAATATAAATGCCTTGCACAAAGGACTGACTAAAGCAGAGCAGAGCACAAAATGCAATTATCAACAAATACTGCAAATCTCTTTATGCCCGCTGGCAAAAATTGCAGACATTTCTCGGTTTTGGTTTTAATGAATAAACGGGATGACCAAGCGGCCTAGGCTGATGTGAAAACAGGATCACGGCCTTTGTCTTGATGTCCGGAGATGGGAAATGATTTTGGACAAAATGTCAAAGCAAGGGCACAAATGAAAAATCTGAACAGAACAATTTAATGTCAGAACTTAACCCATTTACATGACAATTCCAGGACAGTAAGGCCAACAAATAAAGCCGCAAACGAAAACGGAAACAACTGAAAATATATGTATACCAGCCAGACAGGCTTATGAAGTGGGCATGGTTGCATGCACTGAGGAAAATTACCACTCCATTTTATACTATACTCAAATATTCTCATCCTATTTAATATAGGATATAATAAAAATACAAAACAATACCACTTAAAAATGTTTTAACTATTGTAGATTGCATTTGAAATTATTGAGAATGCTTTAATTTGAATTGCAATCAGTTAATCTATAATGTACACTTCAGAAATTTTATAAAGTAAAAACAAAATTATTTACATAGTTTTTTTTAATAAAAATATATACCTATATATATATTTTTGTTAATATTCTTTTTGAAGCTAACTAATATTCAAGCAAACAATTTTCCTTTATAATGTCTGAATGAGTTATTAAATGTTTCCTGTGCAACAATGGCTGGGTGGGGTTGTTAAAAACAAAATACCGCACAAGTGGGTGCCAAGTGCTGACAGAGGAAAACCCGGAAAAAAGGCGGGGGGTTTGGGGGGTTGTTGGGGAGATGAGAGCGCGTCGCCGCCAGAGTGGAAATGGAACACTCTGCCATGGCCAGGGTTATGGAGAGCGGCGTCGAGGAGCTGCACCGAACACCAGGCTCTCGAGCACCCGGATGCCATTCGAGAGCGGTGCCAGGCCATGTCCTTGAACGGACATAAACACCCATCCATTCAACCAGCCACCAGTCACCAGCCATCCACCCACCACCCACCACACACCCACACCAGCACCAGCACAGTGGGCGCCACAGTGGGTGGCCCAATGCCCAACGAGACGGTGGGGCACAAATGTCAGAGTGCAATATCATAATATTTTATTTTTCGTAATGGCTGAATTAAAGATGTTGGCATTTGTCACGTATCGCTGACAGCTCCTCTCATCCAGCCTGACTTACGCCAGAAAATGTTGATAAACATGTTCTCTTAGTCGTTATAAACAGTTTGCCTTTTTTAATTCTCATACCAACAATGTGAACACAATGAGTGGGGAAAGTGATTTATTAAAGCTCAGATTATGGACTTAAAGACAGTCGACAATTTAAATTGTTTTTAAGAACAAAATTTGTCATGTCAATTGCTAATAGAGCTTTATTTTAAATATCTACAAGCTGCTTAATTTTATATCAAGTTCATATATGCCCAAATAAATCTTGAAGAGGATTTGTAATATAAAAGAAAATTTTGTTTTAAAAGCTCCTTTTTTTATACAAGAACATATAAAAAAGAGTTGGCTTTAATATTGTCTAGGATTCAAGTTAAATACTAAGAGTTGAAGGACTTGGCGAAATTTAAAGTAGTTTTTGCATACCATCGCTTTTTTTGCAAGAACATTTTCAAATGCCGAAGTTTCTATTCTATTTTTATCTTCTAACCCCCACCATTTATTTTTATGTTATTTTTTTCATAAGCGAAAAGTAAAATATCCCACTGTGGAGAGCCATCAAAAACGACGCCGGCATCGCAATTTCTTTTTCGTATCATATTATTTTGTGTGTCTGTGGTAAAAACAATTGCATAACATCAGGAGCACGTGTTTTGTGAAGCGGTGTTAGCTCAAAAGCTATTAACTATTTCTTTTTGTATGTAAATTATAACATTTTTCAAAGACTGAAAACTATTTTTTATCAAACGATCGTAGCAAAAAAGTAAATGAATGAAATTTAAAACTATTGTCGCGTATCTCCTATCTGAAATTGAACTTTTTCCAATATCTATTTTTCAAAAACGATGTTCCTATTTGTTTCAGTAATTTATAGCTACTTTAGCCACTTCAGACTGTCCTCGAAGTTCTGGGGAAATATGGTGAAAGTTTTCGCACAGTATGCACTTGGAAATAAGCGAGGTGAAGGCAAGTTCTTTGCATTTTGATTTGTGTTGGCAGCTTTCGAGGAGCTTGAACCCGGACTTGACACATCGGCATTACCCATGCGCATGGCATTTATCTAAATGCGAGCGGGATTTCCAGGATCCACCCGTTCTGCCAGCGAAGGACTCCGCCGCCAAAAGGCCACCCACAAGAACATATTTCAAATTTAATGGATTAACGAACAGTTCTGGAGGCGAGGAGTGCAGTTCGGGAATGGCGGTGTCTGAACGCCTTTACGGTCATGTGAGTTATAGTGCATAGAGTCGTTTATATCCGGTTTGGTGGCAGCTCTCAAACGCAATCAACGGAAACGTGCCACAAATTCTTAAAAGCCGCGCTCCGGTGCTTCATAAATTTTTTTTTTTTTTTTTTTTGGAGTTGCCTTGCGTTTGTGCTTGATGAAGTGAGGAAAGTAAGTGCATCTATAAAATCCATCGAAATTGATGAATGGCAAGTGCATATGAATTTAAAATTTATGCACCTTTATATGGCAGAAGATAGCTTAAAGTTTAGTTCTTCAATTTCAATAGATACAGGATTTATAATAAATTGAAATTGTTTATTAATTTAAATGGGTAGAAACTTACCCAGGAAACATGAAAACATATAATCAATAATTAGTTTTTGTTAGGTTTTTAAACCAATTTAAACAAAATTAAAAAAAAAATAAATGCAATAAACTGTAGCTTTTGTTAGCTAGCCAACATTGTTATAACTAAAAAAAAATCATTTGAGCTCCTGCTCAATTACCTTTTGTTAACGTGTGTACAATGCATTCTTCACGGTAATTATAAATGTTAAAAATGTTGACTCAATCGTTTCAATACTCTTATCTTAAATTGTTGTCTTGGTTCAAACATTTCTTTGTTCTTTCCAATATATTTCGCTTGCACCCAAGTTTTTTTCACAAGTCTTAATTATTCCAAGTTATTTTTTTTTAAAAGTCGAGAAAAGATATGTGTTTGTTCTTACAAAGGCTTCGATAAACTAAACTAAAAAAAAGGAAACCTTCTTTGTAATGGTTGCAAAAATCAGGAAACTGATTAATAACTTGCCTACATGTCGCGTGGTATGGCACAGATTTGTATCCATAAAATAGTCAAACAGTTGGGCATTTATCAACTCATATCTGCCACCCAACAATATAAGGTATTTAGATCCAATTTGCTGGTATATAGTACGAATAAAGGGGATATTGTGCGCCATATAAAGGCAACTTTACAGCAGATCCATAAAATGTATGACAACAAATTAGTGTGCTGCGACTAATGGCTCGAACAGGCTTTTCTGGGTTGGGCCTGGTTCGATTAGATGGCTTCACACTGGAAACGGCTGAGCTATTAGGCCAATGAGGGATACAGTGGATAGAAATTATGATATTTTAGCATTTCGGTTAGTGACAAGACTAAAATCGTAGAAAATGTTGAATATTTGGTAATTTCATTGATGTATTATAAAATAATCAGTAATTCTAATAAAGTTAATTAAAATTTGTATCGTTGACCTTTCTTCTATTTATTTAGATAATATTTACACAACGTAGTTACAGAATAAATATTTTGCATAATGCCATATCAATAACACCTGCTTATTATCTCTTACTAGAGAATAAATATTATTACTCCAATACCCACAGAGTTACATCAAACAAATATGACAGTAATATCTTCCAATTATAATAATTAATAACACTCGAAAGTATCTTAAAGTTCTCTAACCATAAAAAAAACTCTATAAAGCTTTCGCTAATTTTGATTACCACCCAAGTTAGATAGCATTCCACTGTGTTATTAAATGGAATTTCCAAATTCTAGGCCGAATTCTCCCCAGCGGGAATCATCAATCGTTGGCGTCATCAATCGAACTTGGTGGGTGGTGAATGAATTTCGGGGAGTTCAGAAAACTGTTGAATGAACTCGGGTGCTCCCCTTTCTTTTAATTTTTGGGGGGACGCAACAGTTGATATATTGAGCCAAAGTTTGGCCCAAAGAATTTCTTTAGTTTGGGGCTTGCCGCGAATGAATCGTTAGGCAAACTATTTGAAAGTTATAAACATTTCCCTGTTTCGCATGTTGAATCACATTCGGCTTTCATTATCACCTGTCAAAACGGTTAAGCTAATTCATTAAGGCCTAAACTAATCTGACTTTTAACAGTCAAGTGGTTGAATCTCAAGCCAATTAGCTATCGATTTTAGTTTATGGAGGCAAAGCACGTAATATTTCCATAATATAAATAAAATAGCAATTTAGTGTCTACAAAATACAATAGTGCGATGACTGCACTCGCTACGTGTTGTTGCTATATTGAGCAAATAAAATTGATGACTAATGATTTGGTATTTTATAGTGATTTTTTATTTAACCAATTTTAAAGTAATTTGCATAGAATATATTTATAGCTTATATTGATTTTCTGTGCCTCATAGAGCAAATTTAATAAATAAACTCTTCTTCCGTATGAGATCGCATAATGATTAATGATATTTTACCTAAAAGATCCGTTCCACCGTAACTTAATTACTGACCTTGTTCAACAACTGATTGGAGTGGAAGTTACTAAGAAAACTAAGCTAAAACTCAAGTCGTCTTAGACAACATATTAATTTAAATGTATAATCTTTATTGGGGTGTATGTTATTTACTAAATTACTTTTTCAGTTATCTCTATTTTGCACATTAACTCGGAATGCGGCCAATGGAATAAGTGGTTTTTGTGATAAGCAAAAACATAAAGCACTTGGGTTTCTAAAAAGACTACGATACATCTTTTGGTTTTCGGAACCATTAAAACGAAAGCGATTACCAGCTGACTTTAAGGAAATTTCCGACAGCTCAGATATATGGTAAATGAAATTGCACTTCTAAGGAAAGAGATTATGTCAAATGCGTAGACGTTGATGAATCACATACGATAATGCAGGTTATTTAAAAACACAATTAGACATTCAAAGTTGTTAGAAGTCCATTTTCGACAGGAAGTCGTAAAACTAGATTAGAAGGAAGCCAATCTTCAAATAATATATTTTTTTGTAGTTTATGTGTTCAACTTAACATAGAATTTGAATTGGATAATAATTTCTATATGTGATTTTGAGTATGAATTTTATTTGTAGTTGTGAATCTATTTTACTTTTAACTCTTAAGTGCCAGAACTGATTTTTAAATGGAAATGACCCTTTGGGAAAAGAAATCAGATACAGTTTAATGTTCCCATTCATCTCAACTAGGATGAGAAATCTGCACTAAATCAAAGGTTTTTGTGTTTTTGTTCCATTACCTGGCAAAAAGATGTGGTGCCTGTGCCATATCTCCTTTTTGTAAATTTCTCCTTTTGAAAGAGAAGCTGCTGGAAAGACAAAATATGGCCAGCAATCTGGGATGTGTCCAGTGCATAATCAAATAGAGTTTGCAAAAGATTTCATCCTTGCTTGAATGGCCAAAGGGAAAGGCGAATAAAAACGTTGTTTTCATTTGGTTTTACTGGTCGCATTGAGATTGCGCCAGACTTTGGACGAAGTTCATGGCTTTTGGCCAAAGGAGGAGGAAAGTGAAAAACTGTCCAAATTGCCAATTAAATTACAAGCGAGGCACAGAGGCACAGAAAACAATGTGAGAAATGGCAATGCGGGCCAAATAAAAGTCCAAAACGAATACGGGTTCAAGGGGCAAAGTTAAAATTGCATTTTCCAGGGGACAACAGCTGAGCTGCGAAAATCGCAAGCAAAACACAGAGGAAAAAAAACGCATTTTCAGGATGCGGGGGTTTTAGGGGGCAGCAAATGGCAATGGAAATCGGGGGGAAATCACATGAGTTGGCTAAAAAGAAAAAGTAGCCGCAGAGGCGCCGGCACTTGGCGCCGGATTTCCTCGATGATGACACACAAAAAAAAAAGACAAAAGGAAACACACACAAACTTGTAAAAAACTTTCTTTTCAGTTTGTTTTTCTTCTGGGCGATTTTGTGCTGGTCGGCCGCACAAAACTTGCCATTCTTGGCCACAAATTCAATTTACGTTTATTTGCGAAAATATGGCCGCTGTCCTTGGTGTCCTGCCGCCGCTCCCTTCCTCCCTTTCCCCACCCGCCGTGGATCCTTTTTCACGCTCTGGTTTCTATTCGCCAGCAAACACACATACGTATAAAGACGCACACACAGACAGTTGGCATTTTTAATTTCCACTGCCGTTCGAAATTGCTTTTGAAATGGCATTTTAAAAATTTAATTGCCAGCACCGTCGCCCCAACTTCCCCCAGCTCCCCCAAGGAAGTGAAGATGCCTTGCAGCAGCGTCTGAGTGTCCATTAGAGCAACTGCTTCGCCAAACTGACAGTCACCGGCGAAACACAGAGAGAAACTTAGACAATGACTTGCATTGTTGGTAACAACTTAGAAAAATGTTTGAAATTTTAACAAGTTACAATTACTTAGTTATTATACAAATTGTTAGTGCACAAGCAAAGATTTCGTGCTATAAAAAATACTTATTTATTGTGAGCAACATATTTTTAATTAAGTTAAGAACCGGTTAATAAAAAAATTTTAATATATTTTAAACATTTACCATCATTTTGAAACGGTTTCAGCATTTTATACCTTTTAAATTAGTCCATTTTATAATTTACCCTAACATTATTTTCAAATAACCTCATATAATCTATAAAACATATTTTTTACTGTGCAGAATGCAGTGGGCCATGAGGCGTTCTCGTTTTCGTTTCTGTGTCATGTTTGTCAAATTGACTGAAGTAAAGTCCTTTCGCCAGCCCCTCAACCCCCTCTCCACTCCACTTTCCATGCCCCTCTTGTTAATGTCCTGTCCGCTGCTTGTCGCTCCTGTTGTGTTCTGTTTACGCAGTTGTTGGCTTCCTTGAGGCCTCCAGCAAAAAGCTGAGGAGCTTCAGCGATGGAAACGGTCAGGGAACCAGGAAAAGCGAACAGGACAAGAAAATGCAAGCCATGCCTATGACATTTCCGAGGGGCTCTCGATAAAAATGGCGGTAATTGGTTAGGAAATACCACTTAAACATAATGGAATTCATGACTGGGAAAATAAATTGTCTTTTCATGGCAGATTTTATATTTGTAAATTTTATTGAAGTCATAATATCAAAACAAATTTTTTGTTTAATTTTTTTATCAACCAAAAATTATACCTAAAGAATTTAAATAAATAAGAACTCGCTTGATTGATTTAAAATTTGTTTCATTTATATAAAATACACAAATACAGATTTCAAATAATTATGAATTATTGCAATTTTGAACCTTTTTGTTCCTTTTCCCCTTATTTGCAAGTCGAGTTGAAACTTTGTTCATTACTTTTAGAGCTGCCAGTCAGCTGCAAAAGCGGACGAAAGACCCAGGACTTTCGCAGTTTGACAGTCCGCCGAGAGAAGGATTTCCTTTTTGAAGAGCGTTTCTGGAGAGGAGAACTTCAGTGGAAATCGTGGCTAATGACTGCGGACATTCCACTGACGCATTTTGGCCGACTTTGCGGCGCTTTGAGCCAACCACTTGACGTTCAGAGCAGAAATTTAATATTAAAATGGCAATTACGCCCCAAATTGATTGATATGCAAATCTATCCAATTACTTTGACGACATATTTTTTCGATATGTTTATCGTAATTGGTTCAGTTCAAATAAAAAGTTTATCCCATCGATTGATGAACGATAACCGTGTGCAAAAGCTGTGCTGAATTAATGTTATTTCAAAGCCTTTTTTATTTTTATACAAATGAATTTCAACCAATTTTATGATCAGCGAAACGCAGAATTGGTTTTACAAAACAAACAATTGAAATGCATATTTAATTCAGCCTCTGGTAATTTCCATATAATAATCACAATTTAATAATTGCTAATTGTCAATATTGAACCCATTTAACTGTGATAAATGTCTCTTTTTTAGCTTTTGTGTTTATAATTTGGGCACATCATTAATTATTTTATTAATTGTTTTAGAAAATAATAATAAGCAACTACTAATTGAAACTACCATATGGCGAACGAGATTTAAAAGTAATTGGATTTAATTCCCAGCTGCAGACACCCCATGAAACTCACTTTAATAGAGCACAAACATAAGTTTGACAAAAGCTCCCCAGACGAGGCTTACACAATAAACCTTTTTAAATACGCGAAACAGAAAAGAAGGATTCCAACGCAATCCTAATTGTCATAATCACGAGGGGGGACACTTGAACGTCCTTTGCGGCGTCAAAAATTAAAACGTGACACAAATTACTCGGTCGGCCTGAGTCCTTGCCGGGGATCCCCTTGCCCCTCTCCTCGCTCAAATGTCATTAACCAGCACAGAGGCAGCTAGAAAAGAGGGATTCGTGGGGGAGGGGGAAGCGGGGAATGGGCTGGGTCCTGTTTTGACAACCGCACTGCGCCTGTCCCAAGGGGGCACGTCTCTGTCCCAGGATCTGTCCCTATGTCCTCGGCTCAGTCGGTGTCCGTGTCACTGACGATAGATGTAATTCCTCATGTGAACACACTAAAAAAATTATCTCTAAATTCGTTTTATACTAAAAAATATTTAAAGGAAGTGGAGCCACTTTAGATGGGATTTTTTTCCTTATCTTTTTTACTTTACTTATCTTCTTTATAAATATCACGAAACATTCATTAGTTTCGTTAAAATTTCAAATAAGTTCTGTTGTAAAACACTTTGATAGGTAAGGTTTATTTTATCGGTAGTATTATTCATTTTTCTGAAGTACATCCTATAACAGGCATAAAATATAGAACTGGCAGATAACATTTACAGTATGTTTTAAAGTATTTTTCGTAGTGCACGACTAGTACAAATCCCCACCCACTCGTTGAACCACCCCTTGTTGCCGCACCTCAGGGAACCTTTGTTAATCATTTTGCCTCAGCTCGCAGATTTCGCACGCACGCACATGGGAGTGGATAAAGGGGATCAGAGATAGAGAAGGGGGCACTGGGCCATCATTTGCATATGTGTCAACTACCAGGAGAGGTTCGCAAGGAGGTGCTCATTTATCCACCTGCCTCGGGCCAGCTCAGCTGCTTTCTTTTATGATGATTGCTGGGATGTAAATTTGATTTAGGGCTCTGGGTCTATAAAAGAGCTCCTTCTCCCGAAGGCAACGACACTTTAAGCGACAGGTTCTCGCTTTGGGTCACCAATCTAATGAGAGGCAAAGCCGTCTGTTTCGTTTAATAATAGAGATCTAACGAGGAAATACTATAAAGGCAAAGATGTATATCAGTGGGTCAAAAAACTTTGAAGGGCTGTTAGGAATTTCGCTTTATATACTTTTTGCATATTAAGCATATGTTTGAAATGTTCTGATTTGTTTCCATAAAAAAGTTTAAGATAAGTTGAGAAGCCAGCTAACATGTGTGTCTCAAAATATAAAATCTTATGGATCGCCGACAACTTTAATGACTCTTACAATCGTCATGGTTTTTATTTATTATAATTTAATTTATAATGCATATTTTACTTAAACTTTTACTTTCAAGTTTTAAGTAATCAATTTGAAGCACAAAAATCGAAAAGCTTTTTAAAAAACTTTTACCACAACAAATTATATTAACCTGAGTGATTGGTTTATAATTTACTAAACAAGAATTTGACATTTCACTGCACCGTTTATTTAATTACAATTAAAAGAAATTCTTTTTACTTCTTGAGGTTGAATATTGAATTAAAAGTTAAAAGCTTAATCTGAATTAATTCAAACACACAGCACTCACATGAACTAAAAATTGATGGGGTATTAAATGAAGTGTGGAAACTTGCGTTCTCGAACTTGAAGCACTAAACTTGCTGGCATATGTTCCCCCATTGTGAAGACGGTTTCACACATGCTTAGCCATGCTCCCTATTCCCTAAGAGGCCCCTTCGTTTTCTTAACTCCTCCAACTTTTCCACCACCTTTTAGCCCGTTTGCACTTCGTTTCGTTTGCTTTTTTCACGTGCCATTAGCAGCTGCTCACGGCGACGATGAAGGAAAATCTAACAGCCGCTAATAGAAAACAGCAAGCAATTGGCGCACACATGCGACCTCTTCCACGGAGAAAAACTAAACTCAATTTTCATTTTGATAAACCATAAAAATAATACTTGGTTACTCTGGATAAAGTTTTTAGATGGTTGGTACCATTGCCAAATAATGTAATTTTTCACTTTTAATTCAAGTTCTTATCAAAAAACTGTTCCCAATTTCCGCCAGACCAAACATGTTTGAGATAGTTTGCAATAGGAAACTGAGGGCAAGCCAACTACATAATTGAAAGTTTTCATTAATTCGTTGCCCTCGGCAAATATCTATTTTTGAACTTCCTTTCCCTTAATGTTAACATCTGTCACTAAAATCATTTTTCAATAATAACATTTGTAATTATTCAGTGTGTGCCAGAGACAGATATGAAAAGGAAAAGTACTTATCAAGATGAACTTAAAGAGGAAATGTTTTTCGCGGTGTGCGGCGATATTAAAAAGGGGTGATAGCACTCACCTGGAGGGCGAAACTCCGCCTCTCCATTTGGCTGGATACCGGAAATCTCTGTTGGCTGCTCATCAAAGTCGGAGGATACAGCCACTTTCGGTTTTTAGTGCCGGCTAAAATTTGTATTTCTATGGATTTTCCAGACTGTCTGGCGGGGCTTTTTTCTTCTTATTTTAAAACGGCAATGTTTTTGAAATGAAAATACCCCTATATGTGTGCGGTTTTTTTGTTTTTGTTGTTTTTAACGGTTGCCAAAGCAACAACAAAAAAACTTGGCCAACAGGAGCGGCTAAAAGCAACAAAAACAAGAACAGCAGGTGTGAGATGAGAAGCACACGCACACACACACACACATAAAAGGAGTCGCCAAGTGTAAATAGAGTAATAAAAAAATGTAGGGAAATGAAACAGGAAAAGCAGGCGGAAGAAAAATCGAAGGAAACTCGTCCCGCGAGAGAGAGAAAGAGAGCAAGCTTCTCAAAAAGAGAGAGAGAGCAGGAAAACTTTCGCCTTTTTGTTTATTTCACACACACACGCGCCATTTACAAACACTGACACTTTTCCAGGATGCGGCTTTTTAAATTGACCGACCCGATAAATTTGCATTTCTCTTTGCCATTCATTTATTCCTCTCCATATTTATTTCGGTTTTCATCTCCAGCGTCTTTTTTCTATTTTTAAGCACGCACTTTGCGCAACTAACTGTAATTTACCGCACACCCGCACAAGAAGTCACAAATTACGGTGGTCAAAATAAGTTTAAAACATCCCCAAACTTGCGTTTTATTTTCCTGACTAATTTGTTTATTTTGGAATTTTGGGTCTGGCCTTACAGCCAATGTCTGTGTTTTTTGTTGATACTCCTTAAAGTTTTTTGTTAAAGGGGGAACGAACCTGCTTCGCGGATGAAAATCGAGCAATAACAAAGAGCGTGTTTTGCAAAGCGCTTAAATACATTTTTCCCCAACTGAATGTGGTCTTTCAAACTGTCGCAGGTTCGAAGCCTTAAGTTCGATGCAACATATGCGAACAGTGACTCGACTCTGACATATTTGGAGTAAAACATTTCGGAGTTTTCGGAGTTAAACTGGTTTTTTTGATAATGTTATTGAAACTATATAAAAGATACAATAGAAGCTTACAAAGTTTAACAATTCACAAAAATCTTCTCTAAATTACGGTTTTATTACTTTTCGCAAGGCCTATTTTCTCAAAGAGATTCCTGGGTTAAAAAATAAATTTCTAGAAAAAATATAAAATATCTACACACTATAGATCAATAAAATTATCTAATAAAATTAAAATAGGCCTAATCCCACTATGCAGTATGACCTGTAAACTGGATGTTGTTAACTGTACATAACAGCACAAGTTTGAACACTGTTACAGTTCTTTGCGTGGGTGTCAGCGCTGTTGATATCGCTGGCCTGCTCTAGTGAAACAGCTGATGTAACAGAACCATGTCTAACAGATTTACGTTAACAGTAGCACAGTGGAGTTGATCTGAAAGCTTGAGGAGTAAAAGTTAAATGTTATTAAAAAAAACTAATATTAAAAGAAATTCAATAAGATGTATCAGTTCCACAAAACAGAACCTTAAAAATTAATTCTTCTTGAAATAGTTATTCTCTAAAAGGGTTTTGATAGTTTTGGAACAACCAACTTTTTTCTTAGCCTTTACCAGATGTAGTTTGAGAGAGGAAAACAATGTTAAAAACATTAATAAATCAATTAATTTATTTAGTCAAAAATTGAACACTTTGCACTTGGTAAAAAAGGCTTACAATTAACTTAAGGCTGCAACAGATTCATCGAGGGACCCTAAAGCTATCGATCTCAAAGTAGTATGTAAAATCATCAGAAACATAAGGCCGAGGCCATTGCCGCAATTCCATCGGCACAAATTGTTCATTGCTCATTGGGCTAAGTATGCAGTTCTTTGGATTGGCCAATATGGCAGTTTGATATAGAGTTCTAAGTCATAGAAGCTCCTCTCTATGGATCAATGAAGGAAATCATGATGTAGCGGGTGCCATTAGTCACAAGTAGCCCCTCATGGTAGTGGGTCAGTCGTCCCGGGTGCATCAGCATCCATCCCTTCTTCGTATCGGTCACGGAACAGTTGTATCTGATGAACCGACAGCCACCGCCCTCATAATCGATGCCTGCGCGGTTCATCGCAATGTTGATGGTGTACGTGGATGAATCGTGATGGGGTCGCAGTGAAGGCTGTTCATCCGGGCGGTAGCGTACCATGAAGTTCATTAGTGAACGGGGAGGCTAAGAGGAAGATCAAATTGGTATATTATTTAATATTTTGTTTAATTTAATTTAAGGGGCACAACTAGTGTGACGGCCTAAAAAAATGGTGATGTTTGGGAATTTTTATAAAAAAAACTACTTGATCAATTCTTTTCAAATTTTCAGAATATATTTATACATGTTTTAAGAATGTATAGTGAAATTTTTAAAGAAAAAAGTGAAATATTTTTTAAGTTATAGTCGATCTCCAACGGCGCTAAAAAAAAAAGTGCCTCAACTGCTGCAGTGATTCCGGCCCTCTCCGTGGACGAAATCAAAAAATGAAAAATTCTCGTGAAACTAGATAATATTTTTCATACCATGAACTACGATAAAAAAAAAATATCAAAAAATGACAAAATGGCAGCGTTTAAAAAAAAAAAAATCGAATTTTAACCAAAATTTCGGTCGTTTTTTGCCTGCCAAAATTCGATTTTTGATCGGATCAAAAAACCGATAGTTCATGGTACGTAGAACTATATAAAGAACATGTAAAAAAAATTTGGTAGTGATCGGATCATTAGTTTTTGAGTTATCACTGCAGCAAATTCGGAAAATGCTGTTTCGAGAAAAACGCGTTTAAAGATAAAATGATCGCTTGCACTGCTATGAGAGCGGCTGCTCTTAAAATTGCTATAACTCAAAAACTATTTGAGATATCGATTTTAAATTTTAATATGTTATTTTTAAAGGTGTAATCCACCGAAATATGAAAAAAAAAATTTTTTGATTTTTTTAAAACTTCACACTAGTTGTGCCCCTTAAATAGTAATAGAATTACTTACATTATGGAAGTATCCATCAAAGACACGCTCCTGCAGCGGACGCACGAACAACTGAAGGAACTTGAGATACATCTGGTCCAGTCCCACCTGCTTCATGTGAATGTCCCTGGTGGGCACCGCCTCGTATCCACCCTCCAACCGGCTGTCCGAGTTACTGCCGTCCGACCAGGTGTTGTGCGCCTCCATGATGGCCACCAAGTCGTCGCAGAACGCGTCTGTCACGATCTGGAACCAAAAAACATCCGGACACGGCTGCGGTATCGGATAGCTGGCGTTCAGCTGGAGCGAGTAGTTCGGGTGTATGTACTTCTCCGCCCAATCGTACCGGTTGGTGAACAGCGTGTGAAAGTCCGGACGTGTCACCGAACTATTGAAGTTATCGGTGTTGACCAAGTGACCGAAAAAGCGCAGATTGCTAATGTACATGAAGATGCCCTAGAGAAAAAGAGTGAACATATGTATAAATAAATAGTAAATTAACCTGACCACCTGTTTGAGTTTCTTAATGATTTAATAGGAAGCATAGTGATTTATAAAACATAATTTCTATATTTTTCATAACTTACCGCATTTCGGAGTGACTGACACATAGCCATGTCGGGATCAAATTCTTTATGCTTGAATGAAATGGCATCGAAGGCAGTGTACTTCACCAGATAAATGCTAGTAATATGGGGCACGTTGAAGATTCCACTAAAAAAAGGGGGGATAAATAAAAGTGATGAATGAGTAAACCAAAACAGAACTACCGATAAAGTCGAGAACAAAATAGTCGCGATGTCCATTGAATTTGCAACAGTGTTGCGAAAATGGAAAGTGACGTCGCTGCGCCAAAGGCCCCAACTAAACCACTTAATTTAATCAAAACGCTCGGATTTAATCCACGGAGTGGATGACATTCCGTACGGGAGCGCAGTTTGAAAACAACATTCACCGTAGGCGATCGGAATCTCGGCTCGACAATAATGCCGCGTGGCATCTGGAAGCTTGATCGGATAATACTCCTCTGCCTCTGCTTCTTGATTCTTGGGGATTTTGTCTATATAGCAGCCCAAAGTAAGTGATTGAAGTATTTAAAAATATAAGGTGATTCCCGAATTTTATCACAGGAAGTACTGCGGGAAAGACGGAGCGTCGAAACTATACGGGCAAAAAACCAGTAGTCATCCAACACCGATCGCAGGATGCAGTTAACTACTATGATCATGAGAATGTAAGTAAACAAATAAAGAATAAACCATGTTTTAGTACTTTAAAAACATATTTTTTAGGGTGCCAAGATCATAAAATCATCGCATTTTGAATTGGATTACACCCTGGGACGCAAAATTACTTTCTTCTGCATGGCTCAAGGTGAGATTTAAATAATTAGCAGTACAAGTATTATTTAATAATGGAATTTTGAATTTTTAGGCAACCCAAGACCTACTATCACTTGGTTTAAGGATGGAGCAGAGCTTTACCAACATCGATTCTTTCAGGTTGCCTTTCTTACAATTTTTTTACCAGGTTATATTTAATTAAGAATTTATTTTTTAATCAGGTACACGAATCTCATATTGAAGCAAACATCGTTAAGTCTAAAATGGAAATTGATCCAACCACTCAAATGGATGCTGGTAAGCAAAAACCATAGGAATTTTCTAATTTATTTAAAAACCAACATTTTTTTAATGTTTCTTAAATTATTTTCAGGGTTCTACGAATGTCAAGCGGACAATATATACGCCATTGATCGTAGAGGCTTCCGCACGGACTATGTTATGGTCAACTTTTGAGCCAAGTTTCCAGTTACCATTTACAACATACATTTTAACACTTTGATACTGTAAAATGTAACTACTCAATACTTTGAAGCATACTTTTAAATAAAAAATATTCAAAAATAATTTTTTGCGTCTCACTTTATGGAAATTTTTTATCTATTTCAGTCTGACCTTTTACCTGCCATGAGTATATAGTATGGGTGTCAGTATTTGTGAGTACCAAAGTTCGTTTGTGTGCGCACAAAGCCGACAAATTGACTCAATTACCCAATTTAAATGATTTTTTTGCATTTATTTTATTAAAATGTGTGAAAGCAAACCAAACAAACCGAGGCTTTTTGGTTCTAAAGTGTTGAGTGCTCACAGCCTTCAAAAGGGTACAGTGGGGTAAAACTTAGGGGAAATAAATAAAAAACTAAAAAACATTTATGTACTTTTATTTTAAAGCTATAATAACAGTCTAGAGATTCTGTTATTTAAAAACTATTTCAAGAAACTTTTTTAACAAAATGTCTAAGCGCTATTCCAAAATCGGTTGAAATGTTTACAAGTAAATATTCTGGTACGATAAAGCGATCACCACTGTAAACTAGACCGAATCCCAGCAAGACATTTGGAAAGGGGTGCCATGAGCCACCATGGCGAGCGATATCAGCAAGAGTCCAAATCAAATCTAGCCAGCGAATTGAGTGAAATATGGAAATGCGGCGATGAGAAAGCCAAACCAGAACGAAAAAAAACCGCGAGCGGCAAAATATTTGAGAGTGCAGCAACGGATTAAATCCACCGGACAATTGTGGCAAATTAGATGGGATGAGCAGAATGGTGCAGACTCTGGCCGAGTGGATCAGTCACCGAGCAAACGAGATTCGCACAGCAACTGGAAACCATCCATCAGCAGCAGAAGCACAAGCGATCGCGATCTCCGCCAGAAATATATCCATTTGTTATCCGGAGAGTCATGCAGGTCAAGTGCCTGATCATCTGCCTCGCTTTGGGGCTGCTCATGCTGGCCACGCCCCTTTGCGAGGCGCGTCGTGGGCGTGGCCGTGGACGAACCAAGTCCAGGGTGCAGATCGGTCTGCCAATTACCGGAAAATATCGCGATCCCGAGTCCGATCAGTACTATAACAATAATAATGTGAGTATGTGGTGGAAACACTTGTGATATTTGTTTTGGAGGCATAAATTTAAATTAATTCATTATAAAAAGCAACCATCTTTTAAATAAATTCAGCAGAATTATCAAAGTTTATCCCTCATTAAATTTTTTAGGGCGCCAAAATCCTGCAAGCCTCACATTTTGATCTTGAGTACGTTTTGGGCCACAAGATCGCCTTTCTTTGTGTGGCCAAGGGCAATCCTCGACCTCATATCACTTGGTACAAGGATGGAGCAGAGATCTACCAGCACCTCTACATGCACGTCCACGAATGGCGCATCGGCGATGACAAGGTCAAGTCGAAGATTGAGATTGACCCTGCCACTCAAATGGACGCCGGACTCTATGAGTGCACTGCCGACAACATGTACTCCATCGATCGGCGCAGTTTCAAGACAGATTTCTCCATCGCCTTCGACTGAGCGGATCGAACTTCAACTTCAAAGTGCTTTCAATTGTTTGATTCCAAAGATTTTTTTAACTTGGCAAGATTTGAATATGAAATTAAACATCGGATTATGCAGAAACAATTAAGTCAAGTCTAATATCAAGTTGTACAATCCATTTCAAAATATAACTTGTTAAAAAGTTTGAAACTATTGTACAGTTTAAGAAGTCTTGTAATGTAATTGATTTGAACATAACTTTTATATAAAGCTGATTATATAACACAAATTAAATATTTCTCAAAGTTCTAACTTTATAGAAATCGTTTAAAAATGTTTAATAATGATGGGAATTTGAATTGTAATATTTTTTTTAATTCACTCAAAAATGTTGTATACTTCCACTTCCCCTTTACGAAAGCTAAAAAAGTCAAAAGTAAATATTAGTTTTTACTTACATCAAATCGCGTTTCACAATATCCACGTAGTCGTGCGACCTGGCATAGTAACCTCCCTCGGAAAGGGCTCCCCAGAAGTTGCTCCACAGCTCTTGGTGTTTGGTGAAAAGCGGCGCCACAAATTGCCTGCAGGTGGATCATTAATATTTGGTAAATCAGGTTTAGGCAACCTTGACCTACCTGTTCAACTTGAGCAGCTCACGGAGCACATCGCCATCATCAATGTGGGCATCTGCGTCCACGTAGAAAATGTAGTCGCTGTGGTGGAGACGAGCCTTGTCCCTAGAATCAAAAATATATTCATATCTTTTGCATTTCTTTAAAAACGACTCTTATAACTTACAGTGCCAATTGCCTGCCTTCGCGTTCATCCAATTCATCCGTGGAAAGAGCGAACTTGGCAGTGGCATATTTCTTGCCGTGTTTGCTCACAAACGCCTTGCTATCATCATCGTGGAGTGCAGCATTGCTGTAGATGAGCAAGTGTAGCTTTTCCTTGGGGTAGTTGATCCTCTCAATGCCTTCGAGGAATTGGTCAAAGAAGGGCACAGGTTGTGCGACAATCACAGCCAAAGTAATTACAGGAAGATCTGATTCCTAGAAAATAAATCAAATATTTAAATACGCATACAAGAAAATAAAAACAAGAAAGGAAGCTAGCTTCGGCAAGCCGAAGCTTATATACCCTTGCAGTCATCAAACATATCGAACAAAATACATAAAGGCTAACAACATCGAAGCTATGACGACTTTTCTATTAATTTTCCATATTTTCGACTATTGTTCATATGGCAGCTATATGATATAGTCGTCCGATTTTGATGAAATTTTTTTCTCGGTTCAAGGGTAGTTCATAAAGTCGATGTTGTAAAAATCATGCTCGAGGAATAAAAAACAACAACGTTATGTTTTTTTTTCCATTATTTCTATATATATTTTTTGATCTTTCCTATGGCAGCTATATGATAGGGTTATTCGATTTTGATAATATTTAATCCGAAATTTAATAACCGTTAGAAAACGCCATCTTAAAGAATTCAAGTCGATCTGATCAAAAACAACGGCGTAATAATTTTTTATCCTTTATTTTTTTGACCTCTTGTATGGGAGCTATCCGATATAGTCGGCCGATCCGGCTCGTTCCGACTTATATACTGCGTGCAATAACTACACATATTTTGGGAAAGTTTCAGCAAGATAGCTTTAAAACTGAGAGACTAGTTTAGGCAGAAACGGACAGGAGGACAGACGGACAGACGGACAGACGGACAGACGGACAGACGTACAGACGGATTTGGATTCTGATCGTGATGCTGATCAAGAATATATATACTTTATGGGGTCTGAGGTGTCTCCTTCACTGCGTTGCAAACTTCTGGCCAAAATTATAATACCCTTTGCTCTGCAAGGGTATAATAACCACTCACATCCAATTCCATGAGGTTTTCCTCGCAAAAGAGGCAGCCGCCGTTGAAGGTCTTGGCCAAATAGTTGCCATAGGCATTCAGGTCCACCTTGCTCAATCCGTTTCCATGAATGATCGCCGGCGAAGTCATGAAATTCACATTCTGCAGGACACCCTGATTGGTTTCAAGATCCACCTTCAGCTTTACATCGTTTTTGGCACCATGAAGGTTTTGGAATAATCTAGACTGTGTATCCAATTTCATATCCAGCTTGGCGCGTTTGCTCTCATCAAGGAAAATCTTAGTGAAGTACAACTGATCGTCGTCGGTGTCGTCAATGGGATCCTCCAAAAGGGCGTAGACCTGTGATGCATACCCAATAAAGGCTCCCGAGTTAAGGAATCGGGAGGCCTTGCCCTCAATCTCGGGATAATCATTGGCCAGACTTTTGTCGGGCCAGCAGTATTTCTCGGCAGAGAAAAGTATCTTGGCTCCCAAATCTTCAAACCTATCATAAATCGTTTCCAGCGTGGTGGTAAAAAGCACATCGTAGCTGAAAGAATATAAATTATTTAGTAGAGTATTGTAAGGTTTCCTTTAAATAAATATTAACCTATCTGTAAAGAGTATAATAACTTCTGGATCGTCTTTGAACTCCGCAATGGCTTTCCGTAGGAGATTAAGCTTGAAACCACCGCCGGGTCTTTGCATATCTCCTCCCTTCCATTCCTCTCCCAGACCAAGAGTAGTCACCTATTGGATAAAAATATTATCAAATTAATAATACAAATGCTGAGCAGTATATTTATATCTCTATTGGAAAACTGGATTATAAGAAAACCTATTAATAAAATATCAAATCGTTTGGTTATGAACTTTAATTTCTGCTTACGGTTTTATGATTTTTAAACAGCGATATTATGAATTTCTTATGTGCTCATATCAAGTATTTTAATAACAGGTTAATAGTGCTTTCTAATCTATACATTTAAAGTTTACTATATACAATACAATATATATACAATAACACAAATAGTACAGAAATTAAAATAACATAAATCTATCCAGGAATTATAAAAAAATCATAGAAGGCATATAGGAATTCAACCCCCAAACTTATTCATTTAGAAATCGCTGCGGGATTAAATAACTTAATGGGTCGCACAGTTCTTCATATACAAAAAACACGAAATTCGAAACAAAGGGGGAAAGATCAGCTTCAACTCGTGAAAAAGCCGGCTAAGCGACCTTATCAGCACTTTTTGTTGCCGAGTATTCCTTTTTCGAATTGAAAACATTGGGAGCCGGCGGACATTCACAAAAGTGTCACATATTCTGTGCCTGATAAGAAAAATCTCCCCGCCGCTTGGTGTGTAGAAAGTTCTAAGCTATCAATAGACCGGCAACAAAAATCTGAATGTATTGTGCTAATTACTCCCGGCAACTGCACCGAATCCGTCTGGACTACGTGATCCCAACATGTGTGCACTATATGTTGACTATATGCTGCCGTTGCCCCACAATGTCCAGCCAATCTCGGTGTTCCACATCAGAAAATCGGACGCCAACGCCGGATGCTCGGTTAGCGGCATACATTTACAGATACATACATTCATACTATATACCAAACAGACATTTAAACAATACAAAGTTGCTTAAGTGTGCCAAGCCGCCGGACAAGTCTTGGGAGTCTTTTAATGAACACAAACACACAGCTGCCATATACCCCATCAGTTCCTATCTTTCGTATATTTTTATTATATACTAGTTTTCATGCAGGTTCTATTGTCTGGAAGACGTCAAATTAGAAATTCGTCAATAAAAACAATCAACTCGAATTAGCATACAAGTAGTTGGCCACAGATGTTCTAGAAACCATAAAAGTTTGCCAATTTGGGAATGAAAAAAATCATTATTGTATTTAGTGTGTTGAATTGTTAATTAGGTTTAAATAAAATTATATATATTAAAATATATGCTTATAAAAGACATTACTTTTAACTTTATTATAAAATAAATTTCCATTTAACTTTAAAAAGAATACTTTTTATATACTTTTTTAAAATTGCAAATTCATGACGTTGTACAAGTCTCCCGAAAACTGGTTGTAACTCATCATTAACTTCTAACGGTTCTTTCAAAACCACCAAACCCATACCCCACCTCATTTTTTTTTAGATATTCTTAGCTAATTAATAAGAATTTTACACTTTTAATAAGTAGGTCTTACCTCAATATCGTAGACGCGTGAAGATCTAAGATATCTATTGTAACCATCGGTGGGTTCAGTGGCCACAGTAAACACTTTGATTTTGTCTGTGGAAAAAGTTAAAAACAATAAGGTTAACATAATCAATTATTTATAATTATGTTCAGAATTCTCTAAGCTAGCTGTAGAACTTAGGTAAGCTCTACTGTAGTCTAACATGAGTTATTTTATGGATCTATTAAAACAGTATGGTAATTGGATCACATTAGAATGGCAAAACATTTAATATGTATTGTATTGTCAGGCATCATTTAATGTTGAGCATTAACCGGTCATTTGAATTAATAAAGAAGTTAAGCAGGTTTAATGAGGTTAGTTGTGAATATCTGAGAGAATTTTCTATATCTAAATCGTTTTGTATCTTCCATCTGAGATGCAGATGCACCGGAACACTTGTATCTGCATCTGCCCGCTTCCATGCAATTCCAGAGTAAACGACCGCATACATCAAAGGGGAATGAAAACAAAAACAATTTCAAATGGCAAGGGGAAAAGAGACTGAGCAGGGACCATAAACAAATTCTGAGAGATATGTACTACTTATACACAGAAAACAATAAATATCGTATACAAAATTTAAATGATGCCAAGATATAAACGTATATGAAAAAATTTTCCATTCAAAGTCACGGTAATAACTAGCAATTTAATAATTTTTAATAAATTCAATCTAAAATGTTAACGTTCAAAAATTGGTTTTGAAATGATAAGAAAAATCGTAATAATTTTTGTTTGTGCATCTAGGGGACTACGTGAGTAGGATGCACTTAAAAAGCCGCTTGTTTGAATGCATTATAATTTTCTATGTCTGCTGATGAACTCATTCTAGTTAAGAATTAAAAACAAACCATTCCAATTAGACTCCGGCGCTGCAGCGACGTCGGCGTCTGCGCTGACTCCTTGCGACGTCACAGCCAGCAGCAACAAAAACAAAGCGCTTTGTTGTTGCATTTTCATGATGCTGTTCTCTTTAACTCACACCCACACAAGCAGTCAAGCACTCGCCAAATGACTGAATTTTCTTTAGTGCGCTATACTTTATACTTTGCACATTATTTTCAAAAAAGTGTAAGGGATCCAAACGGTTTCAGCTCCTACTCAAAAAACGTCCCGCCCGCAAGAAATTCAGAAACGCGAATAACAAATGTGTGACCGCGGTTGGGGTGGGTAGAAAATAACATGCTTCAAAAAAATACCCTAAATAATCCCATGAATATGTAGACTCAGCTGATTGATGTTTTAAGTTACAAATTTTTAAGTAATACAACCTTTGGGTTTTTCTACAATATGGAAAAAAAGGAGTTTCGTGTCCTTATTAAGCACTGTTTTTTGATAGGAAAAAATACAGTAGAAGCAAAAGCTTGGCTTGATAAACATTACCCAGATTCTTCTCCGGGAAAATCAACCATCAAAGATTGGTACAATGAATTTAAACGTGGTCGTGTGGACACCAAAGACGCTGAACGCAGTGGTCGCCCAAAAACAGCAGTTACGCCAGAAAATGTGGCAAAAATCAGAAAAATGGTATTGGCCGATCGCAAATTGAAATTAAAGGAGATAGCTGATGCCTCAAAGATATCGGAAGGCAGTGTGTTTACGATAATACATGAACATTTGGACATGAAAAAAATAAATATATAAATAATATAAAAATATAGCATACATTTGTGGGCTGGAAAAATATCCTTATAAAACCTTATCCATTTGGAGAATTTTCCCGCTCTAAGAAATCATATATATGAATACCATCGATTCGGCACACAACTTCAAATTTATTTAGGAAAATATTCAGCGGGTTGCGTCTTAAATGTGGGTGTTACATAGGTGAATTCACATAATATGGTATGTGGTGTATATTTACATTTAACTGGGCGATAAAGGGGAACAAAATCGCATGTCCGTTCGGTCTGCTCGCTTGCCATCGCACCAGAAATTGAGCATATATATGTTGTATGTATATTGTCTCATAGAACAGGTCGTATCAAAAATAAATGGCAGAACCCAAAACGAACTCAAACCCATCAAAATCTCCTTTTTTTTCTTCCCAGAAAGGTGGTATCAGTTCCGATGACAGACTTGGACTTGGAGTTAGGACTTCGTGACAGAATATGTAATGGTTTACAGCATGCCGAAGCCCTTCGAGTAGTTGATGGCCTTCATCAGGCGCTCCTCCAACTTCTCCCGGCTGTCGTATTCGGGCAGAAGCAGCACGTTGAAGCAGGTGTGCGAGGTAGGCAACCGATCGCTGTCCGGACCGTGTCTCGTGATTAGCAGTCTCAGGCACTTTAGCCCGCCGACTGGAACACGTGCCGATCCTGTCGTAAATTCGAGCAGCTTGCGCTTCGATTCGTTTGACATAGCATGAACAATGCTCCAGAAGTCCTGGATGATCTGCGTTTTCTCTGTGTAGCCGCCCTCGTATTCCGTTGAGTGCTCCAGCTCCACGAAGTCGAACTCCTTCAAAGGATATATTAATTATTAGCCAGGTTCATTTTGCACAAATGAGATTACTTACCCGACTTCCGCACACCAACATTTCGATCTCCTGAGGTCGGAAAAGCAGCTTTAGTGGCGATTCGTCCGTGACCATCTCGAAGCCCTTGCGGAAGGCATTGAACTGCTGCTTGATGTTCGTGTTTAGCAGGAAGTCACTGTACAGGTTAACGAACTGCCGCTTGTTGTGCTGGCCCACCAGCACATCATTGCCATTCGGCAGTAATTCGTGCTCCACCATCTCCCCAAATACGTTGCTATAGCTGATTTTGAAGGTCTGGTCGAATACTTCCTCCATGTCCTGGCCTTGGTAATCCAACATGGATTTCAGACTCTTGTACAGCGTTGGACTCCAGTCACTAAGATCAGCAAAAGTTCCACGATATCCCATCAGCTTGCGGTAAACCACCATTGGAAAATTAACAGCCAGGATCACATTATTATAGATGGCCAGACCAATAATTATTCCTATAAGGGTAAATTGAGCTCCATTTTCGAAGGGTGTTGCATTAAACCTAAAAATAAATTTTTTTGCTTTAAATTCTATCCAAATAATATTTACATTTAAAATCATACCACATATTGTTGGTTTCCTCCTGCTGTATAAACATCCCAAATGCCGGATTGAAAATCTCCTCAACGATTAGCTGGAAGAACTCTTTGGAAACGCCACCTTCATCAATGCCCTGCTCACCGACGAACTCCACTACCAACTGCTTTTTGAGATCTTTCGGATTGCTCATGGCCACCATTTCCAGCTAGGGAAATAAAAGTCAAATATAAATAACATTTCAATAGGATGTTAATTGATTTGTATATACACACCCCGATGAGCGCATCGTTGATTAGCTGATCTCTTCGGACTGTAAGCTTAAGATCCGGTCGCGTAGTGCCATCGTTCCCGTCCTGACCGAAGTTATTTAGGATTGAATAGAGCGAGGAGTAGCGCTCGCTGTACATCCTCATCCGACTGTCATAATACAGGGCATCTACCTTCGTCGCCGGCGTGAGGATAAAGGCGTACAGCATGAACGAGAAGTAGTTTGTGCGGCCCGAGCCCAGCTCGTCCTCCATGGCCAGCGTCTTGTAGGAGAGGTAGTCGTAGTGCATCTGAATGTTTTCGCTGAGTGCCTCGTTGTAAAACTCCTCCAATGGCACAAGTGGTTGCCGGCAGTCAATGGCCGACACCTGAAGCGCCTTCTCTAGCTGATCTTCGGCGAACTTGGGCATGTGAGGCTGCAACACTGAATTGTAGGCAAACAGGTCCTCCTCCACTGCTCCACTGCCGGAGGCCGAGGTGGCCGCCGTTTCCGTTCGATCCTCCAGCGAAACTCGGCAGGAGGGTCGTTCCAGTTCGCTTGCCAGGATGTTGGCAAAAAATACAATCTATAAGAATAGTAAAACAAATGAATTGGGAAAATATAATTAAAGTTACCGATGTCTGTTACCTTTAACACTTTGGTCATGCTGATGATGGACCCGTTCTCACGCATCGATTCCTCGTCTAGGAGCACTTGCAGCGTGATCTGTTGCTGGCACGCAGCCACCAACGAGTGCAGCTGATCTGAGCAATGGGCCGCCCAAATCCTAGCCAGACGTGCCTGTCCGGGTACTGGCATGTACGCCGCCGCATGACAAAGCTTGGGCAGCACCCTGTCCGAATAGTCCAGATCTACCACACTATGTTTGGCTGAAAAGGTAACAGAAAATGTAAGAAAAACAACTTAGATGTTAGAATTCGTATACTTACTGTTGGTGGCCAGGTCAAAGCAAATGACCAGACAGTGAATGACCTTCTCCCAGTCGTTTAGGAAGTAGGGCACGTCGTTTCGATAGACGGAAGTCACGGAGTCCGCCAGCTCAATAACGCTGCTGGTCAGCATTTCCGTAATGGCTTTCTGTTGAGAATCGAAAAGAATCCTCTGCACGCGCCGCAGTCCTGGCAGATCTACCTGCGTGTCGCTGCTCTGAGACGGATCCTCCTCTTCAGTAGATTCTGTGGGCTGAGCCATCGGTACGTCATCGTCGTCCTCTTCGTCGGTTCCCGCTTTCGTTTCGATTTCTGGGCCTGGTGATGCATCTGTTACGGCCTCTTCTGCAGCCGCCCCTTCTTCCACCTGTTGTGTACTGTCCTCGTCCTTGTCGTGTTCTCCTTCTAGAGTTCGAAGCTGCTCTTTGTTTAAAGCCTCTGGTGGATTGGTCAACAGTTCCTGTAGACTACTAGAAGCCGCTGGCTCTTCGCTGCGTATGAAGCTCTTGCTCAGTCGATCCAGGTTGGAGAAAACATCGCCGATGGCGTGCCAAATCCTGTCGTAACTGGATGCCGCCTTGCATTGTTCGTAAAGAGCTATTAGGCTATCAGCATCCAGGCTGTGAACTGGGGGCAGGGTGGGTGTACAGGGTTCTGAGTCGCCGAAGGTGGGCTCAACGCTGCCGAGATCCAACGACGGTACGCTCTGGACAGGATTTGGACTGGAAACCGCCACCACAACGGCTGCTGGCGTACTCTGCGATTGTCTGCTGGTTGTGGTGGTAGTGCTGGCTGAGGTTATAGTGCTCGTCGAGCTGCCGCTGCTACTGCTGCTACTGTCGTTTGGGGACAGCATGTCCACGTCCTGGGGACTAAGGAAGGGATTAGTGTGTCAAGGCTTAAAAGGGTTGTGCCAAATCAGGAGAACAGTTTTTCCGCCTTAATGCGTTTCAAGGCATGACAACTGAATAGTTGGTTTAGGATTGGGTTTATACTCCTAACTTGGCACAAACAATTTAAGGGATTCGCACCTGCTGGTCGCCGAGGAGGGTGCTTCACAGAGCTGGGCATCCTGGGAGAAGAGCTGTAGGGCCCGGGCGGCAACCTCGTTGGGAGTCATCGGCGCCACCTGGCCGCTGGAGGCGCAGTTTGCATTGGTGCAGTGGGCGTTCCCGCAGCCGGTTTGCAGTTGGTGGAAATAGCGCTGGATCAGGCTGCGCACCGCCGAGCGCTTCATTTCGGGCGTGGCACGACCGCCCACCGTTCCAGCCCTAGGTCCTGATGCACTGGGGGCAAACCAAAAATTGGGTTACGTACGCAAGAAAGACAAATAAAAGAAGTTATTCACCTGGAAACACCTGGCAGATGCTGCTCCTCATCGCCGCCACCGCCTTTGCTCATCTTCGCTGAAATCTGCGCACTTAACGCCCCCTCCGTCGCCACCCCTTTTCTTTGTTTGCCAAAAGATATTGTGCCCCGCACGCAAAAAAAACAAAGGGTGCAAAAAAATCGATGTTGATGTCCCTTTTTGTCGTTGTGACCTTAAATTCTTAAGTTGCCGCTGCTCTGCTGTTGTAGCTGCCTCTGCCGCTGGCTCTGCTGACCGCGCAACGAGCTCTAAACATCGGCTTTTTTAAAATATGATATCGATCATATATCTACCAGCACAACACGATTTGACAATTTTGAAGTGTTTTTGAAGCCAGGCAAAGCAATATTGAAAATCATCAGCCGACAGTGTTGCAAGTCGCGCGCTGCATCGGTGTTCTACACCGTTCGACTTATCGTTTTGTGTATCGATATGTTTCGGTTAAAAATTTAAAAAAAATGTATAACTTAATTGCTGTTAGATTATTACGTTATGCCCGATCTTTTATTTCGGTTTACTCGAAACTGTTGCGTTGAATTCATATTCAGCTTAAAACTTTAAGTTGGTATAGTTATTTGTTTTGGGGTACAACTTTGTTGACAAGTTACGACATTTTTATTCGTGAAGTGTTTATATTTTTCTAGGTTTACTATTAGAACTGATATGATTACAAATTTGGTTTCACCTATTTCTTTCTGTGCACAAGTGCAGAACTATTGGATTAAATAATTTTAGTTACTCAGCGAACCAAATATGTAAATGTTTATCTCAATATCTGACTCATTAGTAAGTCATTAACCATTCAAAAATCAATAACGTTGCAGCTTGGCATATTTTAAAAATCATTTGGGTTTCATTGACAAAATCATGCAGTTCATAAAAGTGTTGAGTTTGATGCTGATTGCTTTCTGTTTTTATAACGTATGTATTAAAACAACAAAACAACATTCCTAAAGTAAAATAAATTGTTTATTTCAGGAAGCTGTTATCTTTAAGTTGACCAATTTTGTTTGTGAGAGTCACACATCCACTATTTTAATTAACCAATGTCGTTTAGAAGCAGTAAATCGCGAAAAGGTTTTGTTAAATTTTAACGCAACTTTACTTCAACCAATAGACGATATTACGGGAAGGATGCAAATATTTAAAAAGGCTAACGGGTTTAAGCCGTGGCTTGTGGATAGAAAGATCGATTTCTGCAAATTCCTTCGAAAAGCCTATGACCCATATGTAATACTTATTTATAAACTTGCAAAGGAGTTTACCAACGTGAATCATTCTTGTCCCCTGGTGGTAAATACTTTTTAAACAATATCAGATTCCTCTACTAATAATCATAATTGTGTATCCTGATTAGGACTCGATAATTGTAAAGGACTTTTATCTAAGGGCCGAGACGTTTAACCTTCCTCTTCCCACTGGTGATTACATTGTTCAAACTACTTTTGCCTCCCACAAGAAAACTGCATTTGTTGCTAATGTCAGTTTTACATTTGTGGAAAATGTAATTATTACCCTTAATGAAAAAAACTAATTTATGTGAAAATAATTGAAAAACAAATGTTAAAATTATGGTGAAAAACATTAATGTAATGAACTTCCGGGGGGGTTCGAATTTTCGACTTCCCAAATAATAAATATGTAAATTTTCGTTTTATTATTTTTCTGAGTAATCCAGAAAATTATGTGCATAAAAAACAAAATTACAAAAGTTTTTTCTTTATAAATACACAAATTGAAACATGTTCCCTAAGTTTTATAGAAATTTACAAGTACACTCAATAAATTTGTTAAACATTAGGGGCAACTTTCTTGTTATAAATAAATAATATTTCCTAACTTTCGATAGGTATCTTTCCGACATTTTAACAAGTGTTGCAAAACACTCGCGCATCTTATCAGCTGTCGACGTCAAAAATAAAGAAAAATAAAAAATAATAGAAAATACTTGGATCCGCAGCCGGAGACCATGAAATGAGTTAGTCCGATTATCAGGAGATTCCCAATCCGAGTCCCGAGATGACGGAGCAAGAGGATTTAGCCAGCGGCAGTGCATCCACGGGATCGGGAAACAATTGCCAAAACCAATTGCAACAATGCGTGCGTGGGAATGTCACCTGGGATTTATTGCCCGTTCACCTAAGATCCGTGCTCCACAACAATCAGCGCGATTACGAGAAGTTTGTATTCAACTATAGCTTGAAGAACCAGCTAAGATTTCGCGGTAATCTAGCCGCCAAGGTGTTCCGCCGGGAGCAGCGATACTACGAGCTGTTGGTTCAGAAAAGCATAAATGGCTTGGGTGCATTTCCATATCACCTGGCGGATATCGTAACCAAGGGCTTAAGGGTTACTCCCTTCAACTATTACCTGGATGTTTTGGGTCAACTCCTGAGGAGCGACAAAAGCTACGATACTTTGCCGAACTTTACGGCCGCCGATTGTCTTCGGGTTTTGGGGATTGGCCGCAATGAGTACCTGGCCCTCATTAGCGATCTAAAAACCCACACGCCACGATCTTTGATTTTCGGATCGCGACCCAATCCACTGGACTTTCTGCCACGCTTTCCCGTGCGCATTCACATCGAGCCCTGGTGGCGATTGGATATTGGTTACGTTCTAGAAGCGGACATCAGGTATTTATCGCCCGCCGAAAGAGGCCTGCTGGATGACTTGATCGACTTCGGTGCCCAGCCGGCTGGGAAATGCGACCACGAGGTGGTGCATAGCCTGTACAGGAAGGGCCTGATCTATTTGGATGTGCCCATTAGCGGGGAGGACAGGATTTCCATTCCACCGCTGCGCAACTTTGTGATGAACCGCGTAAGTGGGGATTACTTCGAGAATTTGCTGTACAAGATCTTTGTCAGTGCGGATGAGCACATGACCATTGCCGAGCTGGCGCAAATGCTGCAATTGGAGTTGGACAGTGTTAAGCAGGCGATTTCGTTTATCTGTCGACTTGGATTTGCCCATCGCAAGCAGGATGTGTTACAGGATCAGCCAAATCATTCCAGCTGGGAGATCACACCGCTGAACTACAACCTACATGCCAGTAGCAGCTTCGAATTTGACCAGAGTCCCAAGTCGCCAAAGACGCCCAAGGAAAGGGAGAAGGAAAAGGACAAGGACAGCAGTTCCATAGGCTATCTATCCTCGGATGGCAACACCAGTGACTTTAGCTTTGCCAATTTAAATACCACGCCCCAAGAAAGGATAAACAACAGCGATGAACAAGAGCTGAGCTCAGAGTTGGAACCGGAGGAAATAAATACCCCAAAGCAGAATGCTCCAACGACTGCTGCTCTGCCAAAAAGCGGCAAGAGGGTGGGCTTCCTCTTCGACTCGACGCTCACCGCCTTCCTTATGATGGGCAACCTTTCGCCCGGCTTAAAGAACCATGCGGTGACCATGTTTGAAGTGGGCAAGTTGTGCGAGGAGAGCTTGGACAGCTTTTTGACCGAACTGGAGCAGGTTTCGCTGCTGGATGCTGAGGGCGAGGGTGATGTCTCGCGTTACTTTGCCCACGCTGTCATTCTCCGTTCCACAATTTGCTCCTTAAGGCACTTGCTGCCTGGTGGCTTGGATCTGCTGCGACTGGAGTGCCTGGAGGGCTTGGATCGGCAGACCAGAGATCGCGTTTTGGAAAAGAAGTACAAGTTTATCATAGCCGCTTCGCCGCTGACAGCGGCGCTTAGTCACACATTTAGCATTCCCTACTTTGGCCAATTTTTGCGCAGCTCCGATGTGGCGCCCATGTGGAGCAAGCTGTTCTACAACCATATCACAGGTACATTTTTAAATATTTCTCGTAACAAAAGTTATTCTGTGACAATTTTTTATTTTTAGGCTATGGACCGCCCAGTTTATTGCTCAGCCGCGGAACCGTTTTGAAGACTTTGCCACGCCTTTTCCTGGGCTATGGAAAACTCCTGGTTAACATTTTGCACTCCGACTCCTACGTGCTCAACTCTGAGAATTTCCGCAACATAAACGATCAGCTCAAGAACGGTTGTGTGTTGCTTCAGGGTTATGGAATTCGTACAGCCGGAGAGCTCCACTACGAGTCGTTTCCTTTCCAGCCAACGGACACGCGCCAAGCCAAATGGGCTGCCCATCGAGCCGTCCGCAAACTGTCCAACCTTTTGGACCTTCGCCAGCAATGCGGCTACATAACATTCCTGAACACTGGAGTGCCGGATCTCGGCTGCGAAGATTACGAGCTGCAGGTGCGATTGAAGCCCGCACAGCGCCAGAAACGATCGTCAATTGCAGCGCCCAGCAAACCGAACCATGTGCCAAGTACCGAGGTAACTAGCTTTCAACTAAAGAGTCCCGATGAAAACCACTTTGCGACCACGCCAGAACATGGTCCGGCCAATGAGTTCACCTCGCCGGATTGCAGCCAAGTGCTGGCTAGTGAGTTGGCCAAATGCAGCAGTCGTGCGGATCTAGTGTCACAGAGCTCGGTGGAGATTCCAATGGCTTTGGAGGATATTTCCCCTACTGTAGAGGAGGAGGATGGCACTGAGGAGTGGACCCTGCTGGACGTTAGCTTTGGCGTACCCCTATTTGATGTGGATACCAATACAAGGATTTGCGAGCAGCTTGTCCAGGGACTCTGCAGCGATGCCAACTTGGAGGCACTGCCCGCGGCAGCCAGCCAGGCGCAGGCTCTCTTCCTGGATTTCGTGCAGCAGAGCTTATACTTCGAGGACGATCCTGCCAGACAGTCAGTGCAGGCCAGCCGTCCGTTGCCACATCCCAGGATCAACTTGGCATTCGAAAACGGACGAGTGGGCCATTGGAACGGGCGCTAGAGAGCCCTCGCTTTTATGCATTCCCCAAGTATTCCGTATTTCTTTTACTTTCCCAGTTACTTATCAGTTTGTGTACAGTTGGCGGAACGATTTATAAGCAAACAGATTTATATTTATATATACGTATATATTACCGCTACCGCGTTCACATATGTATGCTTACCATCGGCCAAGTCAAGCATCGCAGTCTTAAAGTTTGCGTTCGTTTTTTATTAGTTTTGTAAGCTCCCTGGGGAGACAGAAAGATAAAGATTTGCTTTGTGCCCTCCAAACATATACACATGCATAGCTAACATACCTAAACATATAACTAATGTATGTCTGAATAAATGCAATTTTAAAAACTTATATCTAAACTGAATCATTTACTGTTTTGAATCTATAGAAATTTACACTGTTACAATTCGAAATCTAAATTATTTTACAAGATATTTGTTGACTTCACTCCCAAAAGAAGGAATTTTAAGGACATATGTATTTATAATATAAATGTTCATGATCCCTACCCAATATTAAATCTTTTAAGTAATGATAATTTAAGAAATTATAACAGCATATAACATTAGAATATTAATTTGAGAACTGGTTTTAGGCCCAAGTTTATAAATTACAAATTAATGTTGGATGTAGTAACTTATTGGCTACAAAATAATGTTGTATGCAGTAATTTATTGGCTACATCTAATATAGCAATATATTTAATATTTATCAGTTAACTATTGTTAAGTTTATAATACCGTTATTTTTCGGCAGCCCTGAGTTATAAACTATGGTTTTAATCTTGTTTAAGGACGCGGTCACACTTAGTATGATTGGCACAACAAACGAAAAAGTTTTTGCAATTCCTGGCGCTTTTTTTTTTGCTTCCACCACCAAGTAAATAACCCACTTTAAATAGAAATAATTGTGTGAAAATAAAGGGCGGATCAGTCTGCAACAAATAATCCAATCAAAATAGTGAAAAGTGTAAAATAAACTGTGAAAAGTGAACGCGAAACAAGTGCACAAATTTTGGGGGGCGAGAAAAAAAAATTGGTGGGGCAGCAAATGCCAATACAAAGTGGTCTGTTAGAGGGAGGAAAAGAGAGAATAAGAGAGCGCGCATTGTGTACTCTCAGTTGTTATCATTTGCGCGGCAATTGTTATTGTTTTTACATTTGACAACTGTCCCCTCTTCAAAACAAACTCTTTTTTGAAATTTAGTTATTTCAAATAAAACTTAAGTTAATACACCTGTTCGTGCAAAAAGCAAGAGTGATCGCAAGTGTTCATTTTAAAAATAGCGTAAGCGTCGTCATTTGAAGGCCACCTGTCGAGTGCACTGCCTGCGGATATTTGTGCTTAGTGAAGCGTACATTTTCAGAAAGCGATTGTTTTTTGTTGATTTATCTTTTTATGTATTGTGTTCTGGTCTGTGTTATTTAACGGGCTAATTAACTTCTGGCCAGGCCAAAACAATCAATGAGGAGAGCCAAAAAGAGAAGAAAACCCAATGACAATTGTTTCTCAATGAGAGAGACAAAAAAGTAAAAGAGGGCTGCATCTTTCATCTTTCTTGTTGTTTGTGATAAATAATACTAGAAAAATAACTTTGTTAAATACATGATCAGGTTCGGATTTATATGAGAATAGTCTGTGTTAATTGAATCTTAGCATTAAGGAATTTTGTCTTTGAAAGAAAATGTTTAATTTAAAAGCATCACGGCAACCCTGTATTGCTCTGGCAACTCCCAGCTGTTTGCTTACTCTCCTTCTTTTACTCTCCACAAGCTACAACTTCGTTGCAGTAATGCAAATTTAGCTGATTTCGAACCAAACTGGCTTTTTTTTTAGCGGAAAACTCGCTTAAAAGCTGCAGTCGCCTGGGGATAAACCAGTTTCCTAAAGGTTGTGGGAAATTAAAAAAGGCATCGCGCCGTAAAAAAATTTTCTTTAAACAGAATATCCGCTTCAATAAGTTTTTTGTGGGCCCTTTAAATAAAAACCAATCTGTTTACCCGTCAGAGCTAGTAAGCTAGTTTTGAAAACAATAATTGGCAACACTATTGGCGCTCTCCATTGTTGTCGCGTGCTCGCTCTCTCCCCTCTCTCTCACGCGACGTCACTTTTGGCCAGGCCAACACAACTCACGCACACCTGCGACGCTCATTCTTGACTGAATTGCCGTGAGTAAGCGTTGGTCTGAAAAAACGAGCGCGTGTCGCGAATCGGTAAATCGAGACAAAGATAAAGAAAAGTTCATTATCAAATGCAGACAAGAACAACGGAAAATAAAGCCGCTAAGCAAGTGAAAATCGAAAGGGAAATGCAAGTGAAAATTCCGAGCAGTGGACCCTGCCCTTGAAAGTGTGTATGTGTTGGCCGCAAGTGTCTGCGCTTTGTGTGCGTATGCGTGTGCCTCCAAAAGTGTTCAATGTAAAAATAAAATATCCGATTAGGTTTTCGAGCACAACAAAAGCAACCTTGAAAAGGCAGCCAAGAATCTGCCTTTCTGCTATTTTTACGCATGTGGAAATGTCCGCATAGTTTTCCAAGTGTCCAATCGGAAAAACCCATGTCGTGCAATTGGAAATTTCTTGGCCATTTACCTATTCAACGTGTCGCAGTGTTTCCGTTTCCATTTGAGGCGTGATCACGCATCCTTAAAAAAAAAAAAATTGAGAGTGTTTTAATAGTTCTTAGAGATACAGTTACCGTCAAAACTTTAGGGACACTTTGTACATACTTAATATTATTAAAAATTGTTAAACGCCGTCAAAAGGACGGCTTACTTATTAAGTTTTTTGATGTAAAAAAGTAATGTCTTAAAGTAAAAGACTTTATATTATTGTTTACTAAAGGCTTTTCCTTAAATTTTTGAATGTTTTTGCATAACAAACAACTCACAACTTCTGTTCCGACCGCATCTGAATGAAATTTTCATGCCTCTGTTTGTTAGGTAAAAAACAAGCCACTGGAATTCATTTCACGCACAAAACGACATTAGAACCCAGACGCAGGATGTGGAAAGCGTAGTGAAAAAAGGTAGTAGACAACACGCAACGAAGGCCGGAAAAACGTGGAAATGATCCGCTAATTAATTAGCTAAGTAGGCAACGAAAAGCGGCGAAAATAGGTGTAACCCTTAGAACCAACAATAAATTCCGATTTGTTGCAAAATATATACCAAGTCAAGGCTTAAAATGACATCATACGCAAATGACACAACGTCCGCAGCAGCAGCAACAACTTCAGCAACATCAGCTGGCGCAGCAGAAGCAGCAGCAACAACAACCGTCGGCAACGCCCCCCAATCAGCTGTGGGGGGCGTGGCGACAGCAGCTGATTCATCCAAAGTCAAGAGCCGCGACAATTTGTCCATAAGCCGTACATATGGCGACGAAGATGGCAACAGTAGCGATGGACGCGAGAAGGCCGACACGACGCCGGAAAATCTTAAGAAAATCGCCGAAATCATTGACAGTCCAGATGGAATGACCTCGGCCACCTCGCCCATTCCCTCCCCTCGTCATGTTCAGCTCCGGAATCCCATCAATTCCGGCTTTGTGGGCCTCGGGGCCGCCATCGATGACTCCTGCGGCAAGTTCTGCCTTGGCAAGCCGCCACCATCGCCTGCCGAGAAAGGTAAGCCATCCACAGTACAGGTTATCCTCACCAAATAAAACTTGATCATGCTTAATTTTTAGAAATGCTCTCTTAACTAACAATAGGTTAAAATAGCATTTGAAACTATTGATTGTTTTGACTACGTAATTTGTTTATAGAATAGTAGTTCTGTCTTAAAGTGATTCAGGGACATGTTATATGCAGTCACTCATTAAATTTTTAATGCGCCTAATAAATCAGAAAACACAATCCATTAAAAACGTTTAATGCCAATGATGTAAAATTCATAAATGGGAACCAATACTAAAGTTGTAAATTTAGATTTACGCTTTTTTAAATGGAGTCTACAGCTCAGGACAAATTTCTGATTACCCTAATAACCTAAATTGAGGCATGGAAAAAACAAATTTTAATTTCTTAAAAATGTTTAACTAAAAGACTCTATGACTAATAAAGTAAAAAAAAATATACTTTGATAATTTCCGTATACATACTTAAATAGTCAGTTTTTTTTGTCGGTTTTGCAAGATTTGGCAACGTCTTGTCTATTAAAGTATTTAAAGTTAAATAATTTAACAAGCCTTAACGTTTTTTTTATTTATATAATTAAACAAACTTGTTTGCACGTTTCTAGGACAATTGCTTTATAATTGTTTGATTTAAGGGTAAGCCACGGACAAAATTATATCATACATTTTTGTTGTCATGTCGGAGGTTTAAGTTACATGAGTTCAACCGTAAAAGTAAAAGATACAGCAGCTAGCCGGCAAAACCCGGCGACAATTGATGGCTAATTTAGCCAGTTTGTGGCTTGTCTTTGCTTTTTTCTTTGTTGATTTGAATTTTTAATGAAGTTATTTTGTGCGAGTCTTTGGCCACGACTAAGCGCAAATATTTATTGCAATAGTCATGCCTGGCACTCACAAAGACACCGAGCTCCACACACCCTCGAACACACACACCTCGTTTATGTTGTTGATCAGATTGGCACAGTGGGCCAAGTTAGGTTGAAAAGCAAGTTCTCGATTCTAGTTTCGAGAAAGTGGAACGGGAACGGGATCAATAGCCTGCGAAAGCGGCAAGTGACATCAGCTTGCGCGCTTCGAAATATTTATGGCCCTATGACACCAAACTAAGAAGTTGCCAATCTTGAATGTTCAGGTATTCTTTAGCTAATAAAAATTCCGGAAATACTGAATGCAAGTTTTTTTTTTTTTTGACACTTTGTCTAAAATGGCGAAGCCATGTTGAGCATTTGGGTTTTTGAAGAATATACAAATTTCATACTTTAAAATGATTTTGAAATGAACATCAGTTAAATGTAAAGTATTTCTTATTCCCCTAAATTTATTGATAATTATAAAGCTTCGATCTCCTATTAAAAAAATAGATGCAGATTTGAAACAGATGTTTATTTTTCTAACATGAAATCTTAATAGGCAACATGATTGATTTATTTGCATCAAAAGTGTAAAAGTATTTTTTACAAAGCAATTGCGTACATGACTTTTAAGAACAGAATGCCTTCGTTTCTGTTCAATATTATTGTTTACCAGAAGAAAACTTTAAATCAAAATTTCAGCACTGCACTTTAAGACTTTACAGTTCTTAAACAAGACAGAAGGCGATTTAAATATTAATAGCTTTCAATGCAAATTGCCAAACAAGGCATCTCTTAAAGGTAAACAACTTTCTGAGTTCGGATAAAAATATATACAAAAACATATTTTTACGAAGCAGCTTGGCTGGGCTCTGTTTACGTTTTAATTAAACGATTTGCCTGCATTCCCTTGTTTTCAATAAAATGATTCTGCCTTAGCATTTGCGAGCTTGGCATACAGACATCGCCTGGATCGGATCGCAGTAACCTCCGATCGATCAACGCCCGCAGCTGCTGCTGAGTCATCCACTTCCACATCCAGATACTCAGTCACAAATCTGTTTCACTTTTTGAATTAATTTTTTTTTTGTTTTTATTTGCCAATGAGTTGCGTGCAAGGAATGAAAATGTGTGAGATAATGACGGCGACTGCTATAATTGTGTAAGATTTGGCAAGCGCTGCGAAAAGAAACCAAAACTGATAAACATTGTGAAATGGGAGATTTATGAAAAACAAATCAGCGCACTTGATGAAAGGGGTAATCAAGGGGCTGGGGGCCTGGGAACTTGGGCTTCGATTCAAGTACCGTTGACAATAAGACCCCAAAGTGTTAACCAACTCTGCGAATGAGTTATTATGTCACTCCCTCAACTGATTCAGCGAATTGGAATGCGCCAGAGTATTTGAAAGTGTGACAGTAAAAAGTGTGTTTGAGATTTATTTTGAACTATTTTTTTTATTTAGGTCAAACTATAAAATATCGAAAAATATAAGCATTGAAAAATAAAATTTCTCTTTTAAAGTTTAAAATAATTTATGTTCATAACGTCATTCTATATCTTTTCACTGTGGTCACGTGTACTCATCTTTTCTGATTGGATTTTTATTCTTTGCGTTTTTGTTGCGTCTCACATTTGTTCATCCAATTCCAATATAAATTTGAGGCATTAATTCTTGGCAAACATCCAAGAATCAAACAGATTCAGAACAAATCTCTTGGTTTTGGCCTTGTTCCCAAATTGATTATGTTTTGGGCATGCTTAATTGGTTGAATTATTATATTTGTAGGCTTCCGAACATTTCGTCAAGAAATGACTGAGAAATATTTAAACTATTTTGTATATGTCATTTTATTTTATTTGTCTCAGAGTATAAATGCCTATGTTCCTAACAAATTTCGAACATTATTTCGGGACTCAAAGAAATTAATAGATATTTACGGTCATGATCTATATGTCTTCCACATTTTTTGAAAGTGGAAATACTGATAATTATTTTCTACTTCTCAACCGTTTTCTTCTTTAACTCGAGCACCACAATATCTCAAGTGTATATTAAAACGCTCCGTAAAAGCTAAACAATCGCCGATAACAAGGCGCAACAAATGGCCGCCAGTCGATGACCTCATTCAGAAATGACAGATGATGATGATCACCGATCACCGATGGCTTTCTCTGGTGTCGCCGAGCGCAAAAAATATAAATAAATTGTTTTTTAACATTTATTTAAATGTGAGAACTTAACCCCATCGAAAGGCAACAAAATCGAAGTGGAACCAATGGGAAAAAAACTGAAATTTTATGTTGATCGACCAGCGATGACGTAACCTCATAATGCAATTAGCAAAACCAATTGGAAACCAATTGGCAGCGTGAGAATTGTTTATCGATTTCCGCTTTGCATTCGCCTGATTATCTCAGACTGCACATTTGCTAACCGAAATTTGGTAACAATCGCATTTGCGGCGAGTAAAAAGTAAACGATCAAAAATCAGCAGGCGGCCACACACAATTTCCCCTGCTCGACTTTCCCAACCAACAACAAAAGCACCCAATTGACCGACAAAAAAAAAAGGGAAAAATATATATATATTGTACTCTACTACTATTTTGTTTTATTTATTGCGAAAAGTAAAAGCGACTACACAACGGCTACAAAATAAAAGCCAACAAAAGACTTTTGAACAAGCACTACCACTCGACACTCGGTTTTGCGGCAATGGCCCATAGTAATAATAATGGCAATAATACCCGACATTTGTGTGTTGGGCCAACAGTTTTCAATTGTTGGCCCATAGAAAACCAGGTGGTGGAAGAGGGAAGGGAGATTGGAGTGGGGGAACGCAACGATAACTCGATAGAAGACATTTTATGGCCATGCACAGTGGGCAGCGTAATTACCGTTAGTCAGTCGTTACCTATTGTGGTCTATTGTCTATCGGTGATTGCTCCGCTCTATGAGAGGGGAAACACTTCCTGCCAAATTGGTTTTGCAAATTTAGTTATCCAACAAGCGAAAAATGTCGTTCTAGTTTCAAGCCAAATTGGAACTTCCTTAAAACGTTCTTGTTAAAAATAATTCCTTACACACAAGCAAATTAAAGGGCAATACAATGATATGTTAACGGTAATAAAAACCATTTACCTAGTAATTATTACAAATAGATCACTTTGATTTATTACTTAATGGCAAATATTACAGTTATACTCCACTAAGTATTACAGTATTTCTAGACAAACTAGTTTTATTTGCAACAAAAGACATTCTTAAGAATAATTTAAGATGCATTTATGAATTCTAATTTCCTACAGAAACTAAAATAGTTTCAATTTACGGTTTTGCAACATTTATCATAAAGTTGATATTTGAAGACAAAGTGTGTCAAATCAATAAACACCACAATCTGGAAATGTGAGCAAAAGTTCACAGATGCGTTTACGGGAAATTGAGAACAGAGAAAATATGCATAATTGTTGCCATATTTCTGCTTTTCATTCCGATTAAGCAGCTGCTTCTGAGGTTGATATCTGAGAATCTCGATTGGGGTACAATTACATTAACAAGTTAATTTGTGCCAATCAAAATGAGTAAGCTCAATGCGGAACCTTTTTTCCCTGCTGCTTGTTAAAACTTTAATATCGTATATTTAAAAAAAGGCAATTTTCTGGAAAGATGAACAAGATGCAATATATTAATTATAAATTTAATGTTGATAATTATAATGATTACACAAGCCTTTCCTAACTTTTATACAAATGAAGAAGATAAGTCTGTGGTTGTTAAAATATCACACTTTAGCTAATAATAAATAATGCATTATCACCTTGACTCCTTTTTTAATTGCTCATCTGCATACTAATTATAGTCATAAAAAAAAAATATATATATTTTGGTTCGTGACCAAAAGCTTGTTCAAAATAAGGCTGTGAAATCTATGGTAAATGGTATTTGCTATATGGCATTTGGAATACATTTTCATGGCAAGCGAAACGGAAGTTCCACGGCCAGCAAAGTTTGCCAGAGCGTAAAAGTTTTGTGGGTCTGCCCTGTGGAAAGCCCCCACATCCACTGCCAGAGAAATACAAAAAAAAAGAAAAAAAAACGAACCTGCAATTGACCGAAATCACCGAACTCTAACCTTCACTTGCCGGGCAGTCGACCGCCTTATATAGAGTACGTGTGGAAGCTACCCATCCATCCATAGATCACGATTCTGAGAGGCGGCCCCCTAGATGGTCTCCTACATCTGACGTACTTGTGTGTTTGCCGCTTGTGCCACTTCGCGTGGCAGAGCTGAAAGCAAATTGTTTGATTTTCTTTTTTCCCGTGCTTTGGCCGCGGAAATGTATAGAAATTGTTTGCGGAAGCGGTGAGGGATCTCCTCCGGTTGCAGGTGGGCGATTCGGGGCCCTTGAATAGGGTGAACTTGTCAGAAAGCCAAACACACATATCTCTATATTGTCATCCGGGATGCAGCTTGATTACGAATTCTCTTACTTGTCATACAGATAGAACCCACTGGTTTTTAGATAGTTCTGGTTTCCCTTTATTTTATTGTAGTTTTAAAAAAGTTTTTTATGATACCAATAAATTTTATGTTTTAATTAATAGAATCGATCCATATTTGGCTAAAGTGCGTTATTGCCTGCGTTATTATTTTTATATCATAAATATATTAAATCATTGGTATAAAAGCATCTAAAACTATTACATTTCGTACAATTCAAATAACCTTTATACGAATAGTGTGTATTTTTTTTTTTTATCTAAAAACTGAGTTATTTTTATATATTAATAGGTTGAACATAACTAAAATTGACTTCACTGCACATTAAAATTGTATGATGTTATTTTAATGGGAAAATTGTTGCGAATTTCCTTCAAATTTTTAATGATTTTTTTTTTACTCGTGGGTTTTATAATTGTAAAAAGCAAACTAATGAAAACCTTTTTTTATATCCTAAGATGCTAACACAAAGTGTTATTTTTTTAATCACCATTAAACGAAAAGCCGCTCCTGAATTTCTTCATTTTCTCGCTGCCTTTTTATGTATTTTTCCCCGCCGCTTGCCACTTCAGTTGCGATCATTTGAGTTCAGTTTAATTTACGCCCACGGCTAAGTTTCGTTTTCACCGCTTAAACGCTAATAATTAAAGTAATAATAATAACAGTAAATAAATGCTAATTTAATTGTGTGTCTGTTTGCTTCTTTTCTTCACTGTGTTCCATTGCAGCGGCGGCACAAAGCAGAGCGAACCAGCAGCACCATCAGCAGCAACATGGCAATAGCAACTCCAGCAACAGCAACACCAACAGCAACAGCAATTCGAAGAGCAACAGCAACCACAAATCAGGTGGCAATGATGAGGAGGAGAACTCGAGCGAGTCGAATGCAACGACGAAGGCATCGCTGGCCTTCACCATTGATCATTTCGATGCCTCCGAGAACGATTCGGCTGCTCAGGCGGCGCGCTACAAGAACATGATGGAGCGCTTCCAGAATCGCCACAAGCGCGGTGCTTCGATGTCCAAGTTGGAGACGGAAAAGGATAACAACACCACGACCACCTCGAACAGTGGCCGCCAGTCGCAGCGGAGCAGCCTGGATGCTGGGAGCAGTATGGCGGATGATATCTCCTCGCTGACGGCGGCCACGCCCAGCAGCGAACAGGCGCCCCCAGTGCAGGTGAAGATGCGGGTAAGGGATCGCAGTGCCTCCCGCGTGCGAGACGCCTCCAAGCGGCACAGTTGGTCGCCAAGGAGTTCGGCCAATGAACCAAGTGCAGCGCCTGCTCCGCGACCCACAAGTCGATCGAAGCTGCCACCACCGCCGGCGGCCACGAAGGGAACCTCCAATCTGCTGGCCAATCGCACCGCCAATCAGTTTACACCCCGATCCACCGCCATGCAGCTGGCACTGCGCCAGGTGGAGATGCTCTGTCCACAGCCACCGCTGGCGGATGGGAAGCCTTCCAGCGAGAACGATGCCGTCAGCGAGGCCGGAACCTACACCCTCGACGGCGACAACTACACGGAGGAGCAGAAGGATCTCATGAACATCGATAGGAATGGAAAGGGAGCGGCTACCAAGCAGCGGCCCAAACAACTGCCAGTGAAGTCGAGTCGGGGCAGCAATGTCCTCGAGGTGAACTACTACCACGAAACGCCGCTGCAGGAGCAGCTGCCCCAGCAACTGCCAGCTCAGAGGAGCTCCACAGGTCAGGAAACTTGATTTGATATGTGATTGAAATAAGGTTAATGAAGAATGTGCTCCAAATTTTGTTTAAAGGGATTACATTTACCATTATTTTATGTCAGGAACTAATTAGATTGATTTAAATAGTATCAGTTTTTATAAGAATTTATACAAAATCTAAATTGAGTCATTTCAAACTAGTTGTGCTTAAAAAGAATTTTATTTTATTAGCTGTTTGTACAACTTATCATTTAGTTTAATTTACCAAAGATGATATACAAATTGATTAGATCAATATATTTAATTTCCTTATTTCAAAGTTGCAACATTTTATATTCATTAGCTTTATAATTACCCCAATTAAATTTATAATAATTGTAAATTACTTTTCTGCAGGTGCCTATCTGGATCAACTGAAGAGTCGCGTGCTGCGTCAGCAGGTTCCCCCATCGCCGCCAACTCCTCCTTCGCCTGCGGCGGACATGGGCTGCTTCACCAGTGTGACCACCAGTGGAGTGCTGGCCAAGCAGCGCGCCTTGGACACTCATCCCAAGCTCACCCGGCACTCGCACAGCCTGTCCACCTCGCAGATCGACAGCTCCGAGTACGTGAGCAATGAGGCTAAACTTCGGCACACGCAGGCCTTGTCCGGATCGGCAACGGATCGCCAGAAGGCCGAGTACCGGCTGAATGTGTTCACCACCAGCACCAATCAGCAGCACCAGTTGCCGGAGACACCCACCACGCCCACCCAAAACTCGGAGGCAGCCCTCCTGCAGACGGCGCAGACGAAGCAGGATTGGATTCAGGAGTGGGCTCGCAATGCTCGGGCCAGAAGTCTGGCGCAGGATGTGAGTGGCACCAGCGCCAGTCGCCGGAAGCAGCAACAGCAACAACAACAACAGCAGGCACAGGTGAGCTCCCATTAACCGGTTTCGCTTGGGATTCGATTCGAAGAGCAGAACAGCAGAGGGTGATAAATGAATTTATGGAAAAATTCAATTTGATTGGCTAAATCTTGTCTGGCTAGTTTGGCAGTCAGTGAGTCACCATCGAGGATTATATATCTTCTTTTCTTATTGTCAAATTCTTTCCATTCTTTTTCTTTTTATATTTAAGTAACTTATTGTTAGGATTCATTCATTTTATATATTAAAGATTTAGTATTTTAAACATTCTATGCAAACCATTTTAGTTTAAACTATGTCTTAAACGAAAGAGCAAACTTATCAATTTCGTGAAGATATTTGCTTTATTTAAAATTCTTTCAAACTCAAGTCACGTTCATATTTGAATATTTTTAAGGAAATAATGGGGTTATTTATTTTAAATGAAACTTAGGTTAACAAAAGCCTCACCATATTAGCCAAGTTAAAATGACGTATAGTTTATTTAGCAAGCGCTGTTTACCTCATCCCATTAACAAGTGTTGATTAGATAGCTAATATGATTCATCACAGTCAGTTTGAGATCATGTTGTTTATAACGCTTATAAATTTGAGATTCTCCAATTATCTTATTAACTTTAAAGTCTTAACAAATCACTTTAAAAAGTTAGGTAACTTTTTTTATATTAAATTTATCTTGATTCAAAGTAATAACAAATTTAGTTATGAACTTTTTTAAAATTTGCTGTTCCATTTCATATAACATTTTCTTATATATTGTTGTTTACTTGGTTTTGACATGTAAAGTAAAATACAATCATTGGGGGTAGCTTGGACACAAACCTAAGACAAGCAATGATAAAATTAAAGCACACTTTTATGGGTCCTCTTGGATAATCTTTCTCAGTTTTCCCTTTATATTTAAAAAATTTAAATGAGATAAACATAATTTAAACAATTTAACAAATTTATTAACCAGTTCTTGGGGATTTTTTGTATCCACCACATTCAACTCTTTGAATTCATTTACTTATATTGGATTCTATTACTTTCAGCAACTGATGACACGCAGCTACAACTGCTCGGACACGGGCGGCGACTCCCTGACGGACGACAGCCTGAGTTTGTACAACCAGCAGCGGCAGTACGCGGCGGCAGCGAAGCTCAATCGCAGTCTGGCGGAGCGGTATCGCCTGATGGGCGACTGTGACTACGCCAGCGATCCGGCGTTGTGCAGCCACGGCGGGGGAGGAGGTGGACTCGGTGGACAGGTGTTGGAGCCACCATACAAACCTCCAAAAAGTCCCAGTAAGATTCCCTCACCGCTGCACACGTTGGGACGTGCGCGCAGTGCCAGTCGCTCGCGTCCGCCAACAGATGCCTATTTGGAGCAAACAGCTGCGGCTATTAGCAATCTCCAGCAATCCCTCTCCCGCCGGAGCTCGGTTAAATCGCCGGCACAGAGCAGTCCGCAGCACAGCCTGGAATCGGGAATGGGTGCCGGCGGTGGCTATCGACGATCGCCGCTCCATCGAGCGCTCATGACCAGCAGCATCAATGAGGCGCAGCTGCAGTTGCTCACCAGCGGCGAGAATCTGCTGAAGCAATTGCGTCGCCGCAAGAACTCCCTGGAATACGATCCGGGTCAGGATAGTGTGGAGCAGGTTGAGCCGGTGGCTGCTGCCCCCTTGTCGCCGCTGCGTCGATCGAGTAGCTTCCAACAGCAGCAGCAACAGCAGCAGGGTCAGCATCCCGTTCGTCAGGCGCGTCCCAATTTCCAGAACCTCTACACCCCGCCTGCTGCCCGTCACGCCCACGCCCTGAGCACCGTTCACCAGCAGCAGCAGCTGAAGAAGTCCGCCAGCAGCAATAACTTCGATCAGGCCTACAGCGACTATGACAATGAGTTGCAGTATTACATCAACGATGAGGATGAACTGGGCACCACGGGTGCCTACTACTCCAGCAACGAGGAGGAGGACGTGGAGGAGAACCACGACGAGGTGCAGGGTTCCGTTCCCCTGAGCAACACGCGCATGAACAAAGCGCTGCTGATGCGGATCGAGAGGAGCAAACAACGAGTGGCTGGAGCACAGGCTGCTCCAACCAAACCCACTTCAGCGCCAGCGGGAAAGCTCACCTTGGCACAAAGTGGAGCTGGTCTGGTGGCCTGTCCCAATACTCCCGAAATGCCACGACGGAATATCAAGAGTGCTCCCAGGGTTGCTCCCGGATCGGGCAATCGAAACACCCGCCAGTCAATGCCCCGGGAAACGAGCCTCAGTCGATTGGCCCAACAGGTGCCCAGTTCGCTGGCCAATGCCAAGAAGCAGCTGCTCCAAACAGCCAGTGCTGGTGTGAGCTCCAGCTCGAGGGATCAGCGGGTGCAGCCCAAATACCTAGACATCTCCAAGTACAAGTCGGCGCAGTCGAACAATTTTCTGCGCAAGAACGATGCCAAGAGCACACTGAAGCCAGCGGATCAGATGAAACGAAGTCCCAGTGCCTCTTCCATGGGTCTGAGTCGCGGCGATGGAACGCGTGCCAGTAATCGCAGTGTTCGGAGTACTGCCTCCGCCATGAACACCAGCACAACATCGCTGGGTGGCGGAAATCCGGGATCCAGGAACTCCTCTGCCATGCGACGCGATGCCTCAGGTGGGTTTACTTAATTACTTACTAAATTATAAACTAAAATATGATTTATTTTAATAGTAAACAAACAGAAGGAGGCCGAAATGGCCATGTGGAAGCGACGATCCACCTATGATCCCATGAAGGCCGCTGCCGAGGATCGCCGCAAGAAGGAAGAAGCCCGACGTGCCCAAAACGAAGCTCAGCGACAAATCAACGATGATGAAATGCCTTTCGAGAGGTGAGCTAGGCGGTCATTGGTTGGCAAAGTCTCTTTTAATAGATAGATATCTCTAGGTTACCCTTAATGTGTTTAACCCAGATTTTATAGATGATCTACAGGCTTCTAGTAATTAACTATAAATGGGAGTCTTAACTTACTTAATGTTTAAATTATTACTTTTAAATTTAAAACAAAACCATAGGGGTTTTAGTCAAAAAAAATTGTTTAATTTCAACACATTTTAAAATATTGACAGATCGAGACTACTTTCTATTCAAGAATTAAATTAGAAGGTATATGTATTAATAACCTTATTTGTTAGTTTGTTAGTAACGCTAAATTTGTTTATGCAGAGGCTCATCCTCAATTGTAAATCGTAGATTAGCTTTTAAGCAAGATCGTGTCACAAAATAGTTACTAAAATTTACCTAAAAGTGGCTAATATATAATAGAATACAAATTTTAAATGAATATTAGCTATTTACCATAGTTAGCCTAGATTTCAGGAACACTTTTTCAAAATATTTTCCAGTAGAAGGTTATTACTTATTTTCCAGTACACTGAGCTACAATTATTTTAAACAACTTTCAATTTTCTGAATTTGATTTTTAACCTTTGTTTTGGTTCTTTTATTAGCTTAAGGTTGTGGGTAATATCGCGGCTAGAGGTAAAGGTGCGTTCTGGTCATAGATAAAAATACTTTTGCTGTAATCCAATCTCTCATGACTCACAACTAGTTTAAACCTCTTGATTTCTCCTGATTTAATTTAAAGTAGTGGCCAAGTAACGAGTTCAGTACTGAATTTGTAACCCAACACCGCTCAGTAATCAGTAAAATCGTATTAAAATAGGAACTATGTCGTAAATGATCCAGCATTCTGTACTTATGATTTTGCTAATTGATTTCTTCTCTTTTAATTTCTGTACACCCCAACACACACACACTACCAATCAACACCACCACTACCAAATCAACACAACGTAAACGTAAAAACAATATATATATATATGAATATAAATCGGTAGACCATCACGATCCCACTATCGCCGTGGACAATTATGACCAAGGGATGGTGTGCTAGTTACCGATTTCTGAGCCATCAGCCTACACCTAAACATTCAGTTGACTATCTTTCCACGAAACCAAAATAGAAAAACCAAATACTTTCCACTACAACTACAAAATAAAGAACATGCCACACGATCAATCGAACACGATGCAAAAAAAAAAAAAAAAACAGCAGCGGCAGCAGCAGATTGTATCACTAGGATCCAATTCTAGTGTCAGTTACAATCGCCAAATCGAATCGAACAACGATCACTTTGAAAACGGATCTATCTTGCGTAGTATCCACTGAAAAAAAAAAGAAAAACGATTTTCCAAATCAACGACAACTAGAAACAATGATATAATTAGGACAGCCAACCCGAAGCAGATTGTGGGGCTTTCATTTCGCAAACGTAATAGAGTTTTCTTTAAAACAAAATAAAAATAAAAAAACAGTTGTAGTATTACTGTTGATTATTATATGCATAATAAATATCAATCATTTCGTTGTTGTTGTTCGCCGTTGTGCAATTGTCTCGACAAATTTGTTTGTTCGTCAGTTCGTTAGTTAATTTGTCTTGTGCGGCTTCATTTGATTTTGTTTGGCTGAGCAACGAATTCGATCCGTAAAAAGCTCTCGACGATTGAAAACTAACCGCATCAATTCTAACTTCTAATCGAAATTATTCAAAAGGTTCCACAAACTGATTACGATATCCTTTTTTATAAAACGCAATCAGTTTAAGGAATCACCTTATTAACCTGCATTAGTAGCTCATTAGGGAAATTGACATTTTGGTGATTAATTATTGGATTACCAGGATTGTATGAAAATATCGTGGTACAAAATATAATATTTGGTTCAGTAATAATAAAAAAAAATATTTTGAATTATAGGACTTCACGGACATCTAAGTGTTCCTGTTTTTAATGGACAACATTTGAAAAAGAACGATTTAAATGCTTTTTAAAATGTTTTAATTTTATTCGTAATATAATAACCGATATTTCATACTTTCACTGAGTCAATCCATTCTTAAAAACCAATTGTCAAATTCCAAATCTTTCAAAATTACAAATTCAAGCGTTTGCTCTGGCAATTTCCACAAAATTCTTCATTACTCTGTAAATTGCTGCAACCCTTACTACTTAACCAGCCATAAAAAATAAATAATTTTTAGTTAATATTTCCGAAATGGTTTTGTAAAGTGTAAAAACGTTTGTCCTGTTTAATGCCTAACCGACATCACATTTAAACATGCCACTACTTAACCAACCAACTAACCACGGAAACCCGCTAACCACCACACATAAAGCCAGTCAGTAGAATAAGCTAACACATAGACAACGATTAAAAAGCTTCCTTAGAACTCGCTAGAATAAAAACTCACTTGAGATCGAGAAAGAACACACATCACAAACCATCCAAATTGTTTGCATTTCGAATTGTGCATATAGAAATATCTAAAATATTTATTTTAATGAAAGTATAATATTAACAAATATTTTATATACACAGTGTGCTGCGCCCAGCCAACAATTTGACCATCACGAGCGGAGGCAACAGCTACAGTCCTCGAAACTCCGTGGAAAACGACGCCTGGACGCTTGGTGAATCCTCTGAATTCGGGGAATATCCCGATGACTACGATGAAAACGATGAGGAGGTGGAAGGCGACGAGGAGATTGACTACGTGGGCCAGGAATCCGACGAAGTTTTTGAGGCGGAATCAGGAGAGGCTGCCATTCAGGGCGCACAGTAGGCAACCGATAAACAGAACACAAAACCAGCAACAGTGATAAATAATTCGATATATACATAACTATATATATATGTATAACATATTGTATTTCTTAGCGATCGATGGATGCGATGTAGGAATAACCTTCTACGAGTTTTGTAAACCGAATTAGCTGACATGATTTCTCCACGGCTTTTTTATATAAAGCATATAATTTGGACACCGAAAATCATCGAAAAATCCAATAAACAAAAACTGTTACTCAATTCTGTCCACATGCCATAGGAAAAATGTTTTTATTGCTGAAATATTTACTCTTAAAATGAACTAAATTCAAAAAAGGAGAAAAGATATTCAAGTATATATTGTTAAACGTTTAAAGCTTCTTGATTTGCTAAAATTCAATTAAATGGATTATATTTTAAATATGAATTCTTAAAAATGTCGGCAATGGTGCAATTACTTCAATATGAATGAACAAATACTCAGATGTGTCCTAGGCTTAGTTAGAAAGGGTTAGAAAGGGATTTAAAGCCGAGACGAATTGACTGCAATCAAGTGCTAAACAAAACAATATAATTTTAAGATTTGCTGACCCACAACACCGGGGAAAACTGACCAAAAGGAATTGAATTTAATTGTTTTGTGATCTGAGCTAAAGTTTAAATGCGTTCGAGAGTTCAGCCCTTTCTTTGCCCGAATACGATTACTGGGATTTCAGCCCAAGGAATTAGTTTGTTTTTGGTAGGAATTTGTAGTTACTCATGAACTTATGTCGTAGGATTTTTTATATACATATATATTATATATGCGAACAGAACACTCGATGGAAGGTAGCTTACGTAACAAATTATGATGATACGGTCTAGTTTTATATATGCATACAACACTATACACTAGCTGAGTATATATCTTATACAGCAGACGTCTAGTTTAGTACTATATAAATGGAGCATATGTGGTATTCGCTTTTAAACCAACTAAATTGTTAAAACCCTTATCCTTTGAAGCAAACGGAATAATGTCTAAATATCATGCAGTGGTGTCGGTGTCCATATTTGCAACTGCTCGATGAATATTGAGTGGATTTGAGTTCATTTCAATAACTATTGTATTTTACAGCAGCCGGTATTTTAAAATATTATCTCCAAATGCCCAAGTCAACTTAAGCAATAGACAATATACTATAAACAAAGACTTTTTTCGAAACCGATTCATGTCCAACGAAAAAGTTCAGGAGCAGTTGCCCGGTTTAAAAAAAACATAATTTAAAACTAAAATATATATTTTAACAGAGTTAAATTGTAATGAAACAAACTACACAAACAGCCGTCTAAAACATTTTTTAAATTTGTACATTTTAAGTATTTAAACAATGATAAAAGAATTGTTTTTCGTATCGTGTCCTATTCTTGTTATTTTATTTCTCCAATAATTTTAGATAAACCAAAATAAACGAAGACAAAAATAAACAAATTTAAATAAACAAAAGTGTTGTTTTGATTTAAGATATATTTTTCAGGTTCAATGTTCGCTAATATATTTACGTGTGAGATAGTGGATATATATATAATATATACTTCCTACATATTGCTTTTGTTACCGATCCGGAACAGACGTAAAACTTATTTCAGTTTTTGGCAAATGTTTGCCTATAAATTTATCCCCAAAAGTTGTATCTCAACTTTAGGGAAATAATTTTAATTCCTAAATGTAACGAATGCTGTGGATAGATATATGCATGAATGTTTTCGATGAAAGTAAACAAAGTACGAAAGTGGAATTTGTAATATGCGGACTGTAAGATAAACAATATTTGAATTTTAATTACAAAACAAAAACAAAACAATATTGTTATATGCGGAATGTCGGATTAAAGTGTGGGTATGGTTGCCGCTTCAAATTGTGGGTGGTGGGAGGAGCGTTAAGGGGGATAGAAAGGAAACGTCAATTAGATTTCGCATAACACTGAAAACAGAGATTACAAAATAACAGATTCAACAAAAAATGTTTCAAAATAAATGTTAAGGATCCTGGAAGTTACCATTGGAAAGTAAATTACTTAGCTAAATTCTTTTTTGTGATAATATAACAATGAACTGGCAATTAGCTCTTTTTAATATATATTTTATTTAGTTTTTGTTTATGAATAAAGAGCTAACAGAATGTTTTAATTTAATATGGTAAAAGCATTTGTAGTATGAATATGCATGAAAATGGGATTATAAATTGTTTCAATTATAATGTTTATATGTTCTGGAAAACTACTTCTTTTGTTGAAGCTCCTTAAAACGTCTTTGCTCATTTTCCCGGAAACGTCGGCGGGAAGCCGGTGGTTGACCTTGAGGATTGCGTATCACCAACGACTCCTCGCAATATTTTTGTGGATTGTAGGTGGGGGCTGGTGGTTCGAGATCCCAATCCTCCTCGGTCTCCAGCATAAATTCATTTTCTTTAGGCTTCGCCGGGGGTAACGCATTCGGCAGCTTGTAACGCTCGAAATCCGAACGAGATTGGCATTCACTTACGTGAGTCTGCAAATCAAAATGAATATCCTGTAATACCCCATTTACTTTAATAATGATTTTTTTGGAACTTACCATCATATCGGCCACGGAATACAAGTGGGTTACGTTAAATGGGCAATGTACCATTTCAGTGGATGGAAAATTCCTGGAGCAACGTATTAAATGCACCGCCAAGCGATTTGGCATAATGCGATGAGCTTTGTCATAAGGACAGATAACATGTTTCTCGAAATTCGGACCTGCCACAGCGTAACTCTTCGAAGACATTTTAATTTTTTTGTTTTCTAATTGATTTTTATTTATACAGACTGATTCCTGCCACGTTCCAGATCAGAATGTCAAAAATGTATCGACAAAGATTACATTGCTGATATTTTTTTAAAGGCCTTCTTATACGAGCAAATTCCTCAGCCGTTTGTAATATTTTTAAAGCGCAATAAAGTTACTAAAGTGGTCACGTTTTTTAATCTATTGCTCCCTAAGCTGTTAAAATACCAACTAAACTCCTAACCCGACTTATTGTATAACCAAATTCCTAAGATATTTTAAAGGACATTGCTTTAAGGGAAAATATATCTCACTTTTTTTCAGCTTCTTCGACTTTATTTGGTAAAAATAAATGAATAATAAAATCATAATTTTATGAATTTAAAGTATACTTAAACTATTTATTTTTTTAAGTGCGGCATTCATGCAGAATTTGAATCCTTGTTTCGTTTTGAATGCAAACAAAAAGAGGGACAAGCCAGTCACGGCGAAAGCCAACAAAAAGTATAATAAAATGAAGCAAAACTAATTAAATTATATGAAATAGAAATGTAAACAACAAGCTCGAGCTAAAGCAAAACAAATAAAACACCCATAAATATTTATCACAAAGAATAACAAAACGAAACAATTTCACGGTGGAAAAAACACCAGACTCCGTGAACAAGTGATTTTGAATGTTTGTGAAATTTGGCTAATAATCTGACCAGCGAAATTAGTTTGCCATAAATGCTTAGCAACAAAAAATATTATTTTTTCAATTACGAAAAACTATATTGAGTTTTAATAAATGCAATAATGTGGAATTAAATTTAAATTTAAATTGTTTATTGTAGGGCAATATTTTGTAGCAAATTGAATCCTTATTCTAAAAGTATTATTTATGCATTAGCGATAATTATTCATAAATATTTTAGCAAGATATTATTTAAACAAACTTCCAAAATTTTTTAAAGCAAAGATAGCACAATTAATTTGTTAATCTCGTAACATTTATCTGTCAGTATGCACCTGTTAAATATGTGAAATTCTGGTTGCCTCACCTCCTGTTTGCCACATTTTTCAAAGAAAAACAAAGATACATTAAAAGCCGCTGAAGAGATGGGCAAACAAAAGCTTATTAATTATTATGATTGTTATTAACCTTTGGGTTGTTTATTGCTTAGCACGTCTGGTTTCTGGCTACCTCATCTCACATGGAAAATTCGAATTTTAATTTCCATTCCCATTGAAAATTTTGAAGTGCCCCTAAGCCCCCAATCCTCTTGCTGATTTCGAGGGGATTTTTGTTTTTATATAGAAATGTTTGGGGTCTTTTTCTGTGTGTTTGTGTGTGTGTGTTTGGTTTAGTCTGGCACTTAAAAATGGTTTTATTTATGGGCTTTTATCATTTCAACTTTTCCAGGATTTGTGATATGGCCATAAACAAATAATGCCTAATGTGCATTTACTCATAAACAATGCAAATCAGTATTTACGAAAAGTGATTGAGGGAATCCGGGCTCTTGAATTTATTCACCACATTGCCACTGGTACTTGAGGCCACTCGGTTTCTCGTGATAAATGGCACTATATCCACTATATCCACGATATCGATCCCATCCACCCAAGGCCCCAAGTCCAATTGGACTCTGCATTTGTTGCTTCTTAGTGCGTCAATGAAGACTTTTCAGCTTCTCGATTCGATTGCCATTCAGCCCTGAGTACCAGATACATTTGTCATTTGCCGCTGCCGGCAATTATAAATATTGGGCATGTGTGTGAATATATCATTACTTTATGGAATGTTGTGTCGGGCTGAAGAGTTGTATAAGTTGCAGTACTTGAGAGTATTTACGTTGCCCAATAGAATGGAATTTTCCTAAGTAGTTTGCGAAATTGAACGTATAAATTTAAGTAAAGTATTTCCGAATTTTGAGTACTTCTCTGACTTTTTCAGGAAAGCTGTTGTTAACAAATATCATTTCTTTTTTTTAAATATTTTTATTTATTGTTCAGGGTAAATCCTCCTAAAATTATAATACAAGCTCGGATTGTATACATCGTACATAGGATGTTTCATGATAATATGCTTAAAATGCCAGCGTTCTGCCAAAAGAACTAAAATAGAGATCACATAACCAAATCCCAAAGCCACAAAAGAACTCCAGAACTTCTGAATATTCATGAGAGCCTCCTGTTGAGCAGGAGCCTCTGCAGGCAGATGTTGAATGGCGTCCTTTAGCCACTTGTTAATCAAACCTGAAGGATAGGGAAAATGTATTGGTTTTAAGTTTGTAGTATCCAAGGGGAGAACAATTTACCGCCCTCTGTAAGATGTTGAATGGAGTTATCAACCCGTGGTTTTAGCGGCGAGTTCTTTTCCATTGCCAGCACAACGGGCATATAGACAACGCACTCCTTCATGATATGTAAAGCTGATCCTATTCCGGATCCAGATTCATCCGCAACTCGCAAATACCGCAGATAAAACTCGTTGTCGTAGTAGGCGCACTGGCCTTTAGCTATTCGAGAAGTCTGTGAAGTAAATATAAAAATATATGTTCCATCTTTCAACTTTAAAATACCTTATAAAAACATTTGGAAAAAGAAACCTGTTTTTACAAACTGAATCATTATTTTCTTCAGCCTAATTAATATATTATTAATATTATAAACTCTTGTTTATATTTTTTATACTTCGAAAGTTAGCAGTTAATTCGTTATTGCCATGACCTTATTTTGGACATTTGTAATCAAGTTAGTCTCTGCTTAAGTCTTTAAGTCACCGGAATACGGTTCATATCAACCCAGTTTATTTTGCAGTCATGAAGAATTAATACCTTTAAATTAAAAATGTTGCCAAATACGCTTATCACACTGATAAGATATTTTTTCTTGAAAAACAAGTTGGAACTGGCTTTTGTTTTTCTATCTCATGGTATAAAGTTCATTGCTACGAAATTTGATAATAAATGCCATTATAAATCCGCTAAGAATTGTTTTTAAATCTAGTTAGAACTGATGTTATTCGGACATTTTAAAGTGGTCCTATCAATGTTTTAATTAGTAGTATCTAGTATAAAAAAATATTGATACAGAACATATTTAAAACTAATAAAGAAAATGTTGTGTGTGTTAAATTAGTATTATTATTAAATCAACTATTAAATATTAAATATATGTTCTTACTAGATCTTCGCTTTGTTCGATTATTTCCATCTTATCGCCGACTTTTCGAGCAACTTCATCGCTGGCATCCAGGAAAAATTGTTTGTTTTCGGTAGCTCCTGCAGAAGGTGGTATATGTGATGCCAGTAAGTCCTCCAGTGTGTCAATGGTAACCCTTTAAATATTCAATGATTATAACTATTTTAAGAGTATTACCAAAAGGGATTAGCTTTTCACCTGGCTGCTGGGTTGGCCAAAATGGCAGTGAAGCTGGCCCGATATGTGGCCACCAATAGAATGCAGTAAATCCAATACCAACCAGTTAAAACCCTCAATGGCCAATTTCTGGGCATTCGAGGTAGAGCCACATATAAAAGCATACTATAAGTAAGCAGAATGCAGTTAGTATAATCATCGAAAAGATCCCGAGGTCTTCTGGATTCCTTGGAAATACGATATCGACTAATGGCGATGCGAAAACTAATTCGACGATATATATTTGGATCCATGGCAACTGCGCGATTTCGACGAAGGCAGCGAAAGAATCCCGAGGATACGTTGCTGTTTATGATGGCGTTTAGAAAACTAATGCCATAAAAAACAGTGCCAACCACAAAAAGGGAGAGTAGAATGCCCGCCCACATGCCGCCGCTGAAGGGCAGGATAAATGTTTGCCAGGACATGTCCGTCGAGGATTCCGGGGTGAGAAAGGTCAGGCACTCGAAATTGTGGGGCGAACTAAGCTCCACTAATTGCAGATACACCTGAAACTGGTGCAGGTCCCCAATGGCAAACCGGGCACTGTGGCCAGCCTGTGCAGATTAAAATATTAATAAGTCAACAACAAGCCGGCTTAATGACATATCATTATCATCATATTTTAAAGGGCTCTCACCACCTCCTCTATCAGCATCGAGTCGATGTGCGACTCGTTCTGTCCGTATCCATCTGGATTTCCATACCCATTCTCCAGCTCCCAATCCATATTTTCCGCATTTTCACTTCGGTTGGGTTTGTAGTAAACGGGTTTGAAGTTCAGCGCCTTGCCCAAAGCACTCATAATCTCCACTTCGACTCCTTGGAAGCTGTGTGTCGTATTTACCCACATTGCCATGGGCACGTGCTCGGAAACGGCAACGGGCATCGAGGCTCCTGGTAAGGAATGGATTTAAAAGGATCAGAAGTGGGAAGTTTTGTAAGGGTTTAAGCAACTATAATTTGCTTGAAGCGATTTTATGAGGATTTATTTGGGAATTTATGTTATTAGCATTTTAAGTGTCTTAATAGTATTCTAAAAATGACACAATATTTTATAAGGTATTAAGATTACAAGCAATAAATATTTGTTAAGCTGTTTTATATCTAAATATATAAAAAAATTGGTTTAGATGAGGTTCAAATCATTTGCATTTAAATTTCTTAATAATTCTAGCACTTAGTTCTAGAAATATTAAACAAATATATATTTATTTCTTACTCACCGAATAAATCACTTGTCTTCTCTGCAAATAAAACCTTTCCATTGACACTTTTGCCCAATTCCCAATGAGCAATATTCTTTAAAACCAAAACGCCACTTAGAATGCCGGGAAAAGCAATTGTGGAAATGGTAAATCTACAAATATATTAAAACTCAATTAAATTTATAAAAAATTAAATATGAAACATACTTTTCATCCAACTGTCTTTTGAGAAAAATAGTGCCCACAAAAACGCTCCACAGGTGAATCATATCCCTTTCAAAAAGTCGTGAATCGTGTAGAAAAACAAACTTTTTCTGCATATTCAACGATCGGTTGTCGTAGATAAATCTAAGAAATCGCTGAACCTGCCAGCCATTCAATATGGTGACTATATTTAGTTCACAATCACTGGATTTAATGGCGTTTAAGAAGATCTCTATATTCTTAGGAGGCCTTTGGAGATCCTCACTGGCATTAACGCGCATCACAAAGAAGGGAACCACTTGACGACCCACCGATTCGAAAAATACCCGATCATATATGGGATAATGCAGATCATCCGTGATAACGCCAAAGCATTTCTTAACATTCGCAGTCCAGAGGATTTTTTGTAGCAGTATTTTGAGATGCATTTCATAATCATTTGTTGGGTTTTGAGTGGGAATTTCGGTGGCCATCGCAAGGGATATGCAAATCCCTGTGAGGATTCCCAGCCATCGCATCCTTTCGCCGCCGAACACAAACTGCTGGCCACTCTCCAATCCGGCAGTTCGTTAACCTGTTTACCGGGGAAAGCCCTCGAGTCCTCATTGCATATGCAGATCTAATTAAACTTGGCCGAACTCCGTGAACTGGGAGCCCCCGACTGTCGTCGGCCAGTCAGTCAGTCAGTCAGCCAGTCATTTATCGGGCTCCTCGACCTGATTTACTCGCATTTCAACTTTCAACAACAAGCGGGGTTATCTAATTAAAGTTTGCCCGCCCAGGGGTTAATTAGTTTAACCAGGTAATTTGTTCAAGGTTAGAGGGAATCTCTTTTTGGGTGTGATGTAGTGACATATCCTCAAAAGAGTTCGGGATCATAAAACTCTCATAAAAATGGGAAACAAGAAAAAGGGAAGAAGTACAAACATATAGTTGTAATGACTTTAATCTATTCACATTTTTTATAAAATTTAAATTTGTAATTTTTATCTTAACAAATAATATACGTTTAATTATAAATAACAATAACAAATCAATTGAATACTCTGTTCAAAAAAATGTCCAGTTTTAATTGATTGTGTATTCAAGTTAGATTTTTTTAACAAAGCAACTAATTTTTTATACCAAAGTTAATAAAACATTAGCGATCTTATTTTAATTTTAAAATATTAATAAATATGTTTCCCTATCCGTTTTGCTATCTTTTCCAATACATTTAAAACGTCTAACCAAAGGACCCCTTAATTATTGTCTAGCTTGACCTACTCATCCCCAGAACCTTGATAACTTACTCATTTATCTGCTTAAGCAAAACTACCTTCCTCAAAAATACCCACAAGACCTGAGCCAACGGAAAGTATTCCAATCAATACCCATGCCATCCGGCGATAACCTCTCCAAACCAAATTAAAGAGATGCCAACCAACTCACTCAAGAATCACAATTTGTAAACTAAAACTGGAAGCAGCAATCGGGCGTCATTAAATTTCATTTAATCAGTCTGCCACTGATTGAGATCTATGGCGAAAGTTGTTGTACCGATCCGATGTTGTCACTAATTCGATGGCCGACTACTGACCATTATTTCCCCGCCCTTTCGGCGAATGAAGAGACAATTGGATCGGACTAATTTATCATAAGACCATAACTAATCCGTCTGTCCGTCTTCATTAGGGTTAAAGACAGACACGAGATCGGAGTCCCAGTTGCCATCATACAATCTGTATCTGTATATCTGAGTATCTGAGCACTGAGTTGCAGTCGCGAAATCAGCAAATTGCGATCATCCGCAGTCAAGGCCCGTCCACTAACGATATAGTAATGCGGACGACGACGTGTCACTGGACACAAGACATTCAGTTCAGTTCAGTCAGTCAGTCTGTCCGTCAGTCAACCGATTAAAGCAGCAAGAGCGCCCAGAAGCCGCATTCAAATACCCATTAATGTCAGCTCAAGTCAGCCGGAGATTTCGAGCCAATCAGCCTGCGGATGCGATGTGATGTGATGTGGGCAGGTAACCAGTATATACTCGTATAGTCTCGGTCTTACTTATACCCATATAGCTATACCCATAGCTATAACCATACCCATACCCATATCCATTGCCATTCGTTCGTTCGTTCTTCTGCGTTTTATTGTCGTGTAATTAACTTTTTCCGAATCGTCCGGATTTGGAATTGTTTGCACATAATTGCAATTTAATTATTTTCTCTCGCTCGTTTCCCTTTTCATGTTTTTATGGATTTATGTTGGTCGCGCGGTCTGCTGGCCATTAGCTTGGTAACAGGTAACACCCGGCTCTTTGGCCCAAAAGACACCTAAGCCCAGGCCGAGCCGCCGCCTTTCGGATGGATATGGCCAACCTGACCGACGAGCCATCCAAGCCGGCAGGTAGGTAGCGCAGAAATCGATTTCGGTCGCCCCCGGACCGCTTCCCATGTCCAAGTGTCAGCCGGTGCCGGGTCCGGTCTCTGGACCAACACTGAGAAGAACTGGAGTGAACTTAGAGAAGAGTTCTTAGTTGTAAGAACATTAAGTAGAAGAACAAGAAACGAGATAAGAACAGATGGTACTTTTCAACTGTCTTCTATAATACATTTTTGTAAACTTTTGATAATCCAACATGCATATAAAATTATTGTGATATATTTTTTCACAAAAAGAACACAGATAAAATAATTAAACATTGTTTGCTTATTTATTTATTATCATATATATTCTTCCATAAACAAGAAAAAAAATTTAATAATTGCGCAAAATCCTTTTATATCAAAAAAAATTTTTTATATAAGTCTAAAATTAATAATGATATCACACGTTGAAGAATTTGGATCAAACATTATAACGTGCTTGTACAAAACCAAATTCGTTTATGTAATATTTGATTTAATAAAGGAATTATTTATTTCTATCAATATTTTTTTTAAATATAAATTATCGCCCGTTAATAAGTGAATATTTTAAAACTGAAATAAAAGCCAATTTTAAATAGAGATATTTTTTTCTGATTAAAATGTATGGAAATTAATGTCCTTGTCAACAGGGGTTAACCTCCACACCATAAGTATTTTTTAATAGATTTTTAAGATAGAAATCAAGAAATATGGTTTCACTGTAGAATTTGGATTAAAAGAGATTAAAGTTCTGACAAGTTCAAGGCAGATATTTTATTATATATTGAATGTTATAACTAATTTTTTCCAGTGTTGTGTGCTCCTAACGAGTGCATCGCATGCGATGGGAATGAGCGGAGATTTCGGCAGGGAAGTGTATTGGATTGGATTGAAGTGGAGTGGGAAGTGGGAATGGGAGTACGAGGTGTATGAGGAGTGCCTAGTGGTAGAGGTAGAAACAGGGTCCAGCCGAGTGGAAAACATTTTGCACTTTTATGGCCCAGATTCACTTGGTCCGCGATCCATGGCCAGGAACAATAACACCGACCGACCAAAAGACCGACGGACGGACAGAGGGCTGGATGTTGTTGGCCTGTCTGTGTGTTTGCATTGACACATTTTCTATTTTTGTTTTTCCTTGGGAGAGAACATTTTCTCCGGCTGAATTTATGGGTTCCCCGAGGTAACCTCTTCTTCGGCTGATCCCCGTGTGCACATGAGTCGGCCATTCGATATGCTTCTGTTTTTAATTCCAACAAAATATTTTATGCGAATTTGGCAGTTTATTGTTCTCGGCTTTGGCTTAGAGTGTGAAATGTAACAAATTTTTTTGGCTCAGCGTGTGCGTGAGCGTGTGCGTGTGCCGGTGTCCTGGGAAATAATTCAACAGTTTTCCCACCTTCTGTTCGGTTCAGTTCGGTTTTCGGCCGGCCAAGTTTTTCTCTTCAGCAACAATTTTCCCCTGATTTATGGCCCCAGCTGTGGTCCTCCATCTTTATCTATCTGCCAGTGTGTGTTCTCCTTCTTTTTTTTTTTTGCCAGTTAAGCTCTTCTTCAGTTACTTACAGTTTACAGAGGGCAGGAATGAAATATTCTCAAGTCCATCCAAAAGTTTCTTTCTAGTTCATTGACAAAGTTCGGTTCACACGCTCGGGAATGGAAATATATATATTTGTCTTCGCACTTCTGATTAGTGAATCAGCGGAAACGGGTTTAATATGCAAATCGAATTTTGCCAACTTTATTTATATATTTTTTCGTTTATGCAAACACTTTTTATCAATTTACATAAGACGCTGACTATTTTATTCTCTAATTGGAACATGTCAATGGCAATTTATGTAATCCTCTTTTTAAATCTATGCTGACTTGAATTTAAACTTGTTCGGGTTTTTTAAATGTTAACCTGATTGAATGAGTTTAAAATTTAAAGGAAAGTCCACCGAATATAAAACTGAACTATTTTTGTATTTTTTAGAATATTTATAATTTAAAACTTTTGTCTAGTTTTTTATATGACAAATAATCAAATTCATAATAAGTTTATGTTTATACATTTTAGCTTTTGACTATTTAAAGAAATGATTCAGTTAAGTTCATTAAATCCGGTTCACAAAACAAATAAAGAAAACAAATTAAAAACAAAATTTGTATATTTTAAACAATAATAATATCACATACCAGTCCATAATAAAAAGTTGCCTTCGCTAAAAATTTTATTGCATTGTTTTGAACAAAAACATTTATACTTTTATAATTTCTTCTGGCTAAATAGTCAAGTTATTAACGCTTTTTGCTGGCCAAGTTAAACACCTAGTTCCCAGGAAATACAATCGGACTTCTAAGATACCACAAATGTTTTAGTTATCAAGAATTAAGTACATCTGTTTTTTCAGTTTCTATCACTATTAGTTTCAGGTCCATTAAATTAATTTTAGAAAATTAATATTAATTTGTAATTTCAAGTAGAAAAGTTTTATTGAGAATGAATGTTACATTTATTATATTATATATGAATATCATATATGTACGAAAAGAAATAAGTTTATGTGAGCTTGGCGAGTTTCTCGCCTTTATAAACCTGATATGGAAGAACCGGCGATATGGTCAGTAATCAGCAATAAGTAATAGTGGAATATGCACACACAAAAGTGTATGTTTGTGTAAATGTAGCGAGTCTAATCAATCTGTACGGCAGACAGCTGTATTATCTGACCAAACTGGCGACTATTTGAACTAATTTCATTATCTTAATGAGGACGTTATTAAATTATTCACGTTTACAAAAGCGCCGGTCGATTCGATTCGATTCGATTCCATTCGATTCGAACAAGTTGTCCAATATCAATGACTAATCTACGAATCTATGCACAAACAATACAACGTACACGGGTCGTATACGTATTCCTGCTCCATTGTACTATATTATATCTCCCACTACCCTGGATGTGTGTATGTGTGTATATGTGTATGTGTGTATGTATGCTCCATTGAATAAAACTTAATCAGCATTTAATTAAATGCATAGAGAACAAGGCAACTGCCATTTTAGGAGGAAGGGGTGGGGTAGGAGGAGGTGGAAAGGGGGTGGTTGGGTGGTAAAAAGCGATTTCGTTGATTATGTA